AATGTTGTTGCATTCAAATAAGGACAAAATCAATGCATTCCTAAAAATGATAATTTATTTACAGAATTAATTTTACAATATAAAATCTTATTGTATATTGTTTACATACAAAACCTACCTAAAAATGAATCGATTTTATAAGTCCTTTATTTACAGTCGTCACTATTTAAAATTATTAACTCTCTCGAATAATGTTCGTACTTCCTGTTAGTGCCTGAAGCTGCCTACACAATATCGGATACGCGGCCACTACAATCGCGCGTAGTGTCACGCGTAGTTACTTGACAAAGGGAAGTTGGTACATAATTTTTGTCGTGAATTGTTGGCGGCTGTTCCCAATATGTCTGTAACGGTAGCCGAGTGGTCAGTGTGATAGACACTCGTCTCATAGACCCCGCGGTCGTGGGTTCGATTCCCACTTACCCGCTTTTTCACCAACCCCCCTCCCACAACTATATATGATGAAATAATCAACGATAACGTACTCTGGCTAATATGCAAACTCAAAGGCCATTTTTTAATTTCATTTATGTTTATCTAAAAGTGTACGTGTATTATGCAAACCAGCAGATTTCAATTTACCATTGTGACATTACGGGCGTTATAAAGAAAGGCAGAAAGCTACTAGCTAGCCATTGGCAGCCGCTCTGAATGAATAATATGATTTTAATCATTCAACAGGTCTCTTATCCATATTCTTTTAAGTACCTTATGTGGTATTTGTGGGGAATGGAGTAATTGTATTGGTGTGTTAATGTGATTTTGTAATTTACTATGAAAATCTTTACGAGGCCCCCAAGTGTGTTATTGTTTACGTAAAAAGGGCCAGAAACAATTAGTATTAAAATTTTGAATTGAAAACTTTGTAATGTTTGATTAATTTTTCAATTGTTGATATGTGGTTTTGTATCATAAATGAAGCTTGTGAGGAAGAAAGATGATTTGTTAATATGGCGGTGCCATCTGCGTATGTGGCGTTAAGTGCATTCTCATTTGTGGGCGCCATAAAAAAAATAATAATAATAAAATAAAAAATAAATTTAAGAAAAATTTAAAGTATTAATTATTTCCATCTTGTAGGAAATAAGAAACAACTATTTCTCCTCCTTCCTACAATACCTAAGAGAGAATTGCACCAGAACAAAAATAGTGGTAAAATAAGGAACATGAATCCAATATTAATTTTTTTTTTTTTGTTTTAATAGCAAACAACAAAACACATCGTACATAAATTCAGTTATTATTAATCTACGATAGTTCCATGCTTCTTTTCCAAATAATGTATTGTAGATAGATGTTCTGAAAATTTTCTTCCTTTTCTAGATGCCTCACTCTTATATAAATAAAAATTGGACATCTGCCGATAAAGTGGACTACATGTTTATACCCTATTTTTCTTTTTTGCTGCAGATACAATTGTAATTATCTTCTTCCAACCACTGTTGGAAAATCCAATAGAATACTTCTCCTTTAACCTTGAAAATTACTTTCATCTTGTCAATTGGTACAGTATATCGTCCGCAAGTGTATGAAATTGATAGTTTATAATAGGTATGATATTTTGCTTGCTGTGCCAATGTCAATTGCTCACTTCTAAACTGGTTTATATGCATTATACAGAATGATTGGTTTGACTCCTCCATCTGAGACAAAGGATTCATCTAAAGCTACATCAAACTTTATAGCCTAAATGATTCATTGATCAAATCATGAACATTTCTTTTTTACTATTTCTTTTGCAATATCATTTAGAAATTTACATTCTCGTAAGCCAAAAATCCAAAGGTCCTTCCTGATGTTTTATATTAATTTTTTTTTTCAATAGTACATATGAACGTGGTTAAGCGGATCAAACATAATTTTTGGACTCAACTATCTAAAATTCTACTAGATAAGGTATTATTGTTGAATAAATTATCTCAACGTCCAACAGCATGATCATAGTATCATAACCACATCCTCTGGATTCGCTTTCGTTCTTGTAAAAGAGTTTCGGTTAAAGATCCCAGTCAAATCACACCATTGTCATACGCGATGACAAGCGAACCATATTTAGACCGTGTGATTTCCAACATTCCCTTTGGCATTTATTGACGTCGGTTTTTGTGAGATCTGTTGTCCGTCTGGGTTGGCTCTTTTTCTGTTTCAAGTTCGTACATTAAAAGTGCTAGTTAAATCACGTCATGCCTCAAACCAGCGAGATGAAGGGGACCAGTCATAATTTTGGAATTAACTGATTTTTCGACAACAGTTTACTTATTAAAGGGTGGTCCGCCCTGCTTCGCTTTTATTATAGATAAGAAACAGTAAGACAAAGAATACTTTTGAGTAATTTACGACCTTCAGAAACTCCGTTATTCGGAATTATGCAAGTGTGAATCATCAACCTTCGTGCGCCTGGTTAGTGGTTTAGCTTTTATTCGTGTTTTCGACTCGTCAAACCTGTCCTATTCCGGATTAACCGCGAAATAAATGTGTATTCCTTAGTGACCGGTTGTTTCATAATTTGTTGAATTCGAGAGGAGCGGTCAAGAATGGGGTAGTTTAGAAAAACACCTTTTTCATTTTTTGCCGACGTTTCGACCTTTATTCGGATCATCTTCATTGCATAGTGTTGTGCTATTCTTGTGGTGTCATATTTGATTGTGACACCACACTTTCATACAAAACCAATATGACACCACAAGAATATCACCATACTTTATGCCCCTGAAGATGACCCGAATAAAGGTCGAAACGCAGCAAAAAATAAATGAAAACGTTGTTTTTCTACACTACCTCATTCTTGACCGCTCCTCATGGCTTCAACAAATGAGTGAGAATAAACCAATTTGTAACCAATTGATTGTCAACAGGAATTACTTCAAATAGGTTTTCAGTCCAATTAACAGCAAGTTTTGAACCAACATTCAATGACTTAGTTCTAATTTGGTGAGAATACTGTTGAGATCTATGGAATGATGAAACTGTAGATGACCTGACTGGGCCTGGGACAATCTCATTACGAAAATGTCGAAATGATGCGTCTGACAGGGATAGAAAACGTACAAAATATAGTACATATATTCCGATAATCCTAGTTCAGTTACTAGCGAGGGCAAACGGACTAAATTTCAGTATGAACAAAATGCTGTAAAGCATTCCAACTCTTAGTTAATCTCATTTAGGCATGTCTTGTAAAATATGGCCTGCTGTTTAGTCTTAACGGAATGCTTTGCAGACGTGTGAACTAGGAAAGACCCGGAACGAGCGAAATCAAACGGACCCTGGTCGATCCTCATTCGCACCGAGAATTTTTGGGACAAGAGCTGTCGTTACTAAACCGTCACTGACCCCTGCCGATTGACGCAACGTTAAAGTAGAGTGAGGTGGCCTATTTCGAGTTGCGAAATATTTATTGTTCTGACGATCAGACCCGGCTTGTAAAAACGCCAGGATTTTTTTAAATTTAGGTTAAATCGATATGTAAAACTAATATAACTGAAAAAGTTCGATTAGATGTTTAAATTTAACATCGACGACCGTCTGACGCGTGACATACGTCAGTGGATTGAAAACTGCAATATTTTACCGTGATTATCACCCTCGTCGGCATAAATCCGAGGAGGGTAAAAAAAGAGGAAAATAATACTTACAGTTTTTCTGTGAGGGGTGTCAAAGCATTTGTAGCCGAGGGTCGCCCATTGCTCAACTGCCGCCTTTAGGAGTGGCTACGGCTTGGATTATCGGAGAAATTACCGATTGACGCGTATTCCAATCGGGAGCTTCATACCGGAAAGGTACTGATAAGAGAAACCAAGGGTTGCCAGTCTGACCCCTCACGAAATTTCCCCGTTCAGAAACCACCCTTCCCAATGGTCACGTGTTGTAATTAAATAATTAAATTACTTCTAAAACTCGTCACTAAGTTTCTTCAAAATATATACATATTGTTGTTTTATTTTAAATAATAAGTATTATGCATATAAATAAACATAAATTAATTCTGAATACATTATGACAAACTACATATTCTGCCTTAACTCTTCTTAACCTTAATAAGATATTCAATACATACCATGTACTTCAACAGATTATCCATTTTAGTTTCGAGCAGTATATGCCTCCTTGGCTTTTGTTATTGTACGTGTACATTACTAAATATCCATCCTTCTGGAGTGCCAAGGCAACGACAAGCTAGTCATTTCACATAGCCTGTGCTTAAATCACTGTGAGTGGTTAAAATTGTTCTCCAATTAAGCCCTGCTGCCAGTACTTATCATCCATGTGTAGTGACCTTTATTAGTTGCTCTTCACTATTTTTTTTTCTTTCTTCAGTAAGGTCCACCTTTCCTTCTTCCACCCTTTGCTATTAGGGTGGCGTGGAAGAGTGTGGAGGCAAGATCCATAACCCAGGTGATTCTGAAATACTGCAGTTCCTGCATCAACGATGTTCTTGACAGTTGAGGTGAAGCAACCTTAAACAACAGTTTACACCCCTCTTGCAATTTTTAAAATGACATCCTTGCCCTTCTCTCAATTTGGGAGTGGGATGGATGTCCCATGGTGGCCACTTTAAAAGGCACATTAAAAAAAAGATGATAATAAAATTTGTTTATTCAAATAAACATAATTAAATTAATGTAGTTGATTTTTACATACACCTCGGCTTGTTGTCATTTTCAAAGGAATCATCCTTAAATAAAAGAAAATAAACATTACCCTCTAAAAACCTTTGTATAATTATGGTATTTAACCAAAACTTTTGATTTATAAAACACATAAAAAATTTAAATGTATCTTAAAAAATTTATATTCGACTAGAAATTTAAATGTCCCATAATGAAGAGACCATCAGATATATGTAAAAAAATTGTAATTAAACCCTGTTTAATTTATAGAAAGATATATTAAAAAAAGAAAGAAAAAGAAAAAAAATCCCGCCATTTATATTACAAGTAAAAAAAATATATATGTATATATAGTACATTTTTCTCATCGAAGACATTTAAAAATCCATCTTTCACATACAAGACAATTACTCGATTTAATTAGCCCTGTTTGGATAAATCAATTGTTTTATCAACTGATCACTGAATTCACAAATACTCTGATAATTAATCTGGTGTTAGGAAGGTATCCGCCTATAGAAAAGTAGGTAAGCTTGAGTAGAAAGAACCTGTTCCTCTGTTACAACTGTAACATTCCTATCATTAGCACGGTACCATTGTACTTTGGGCTTACACGTTTCTCCACTTCCATTTGGTATAAATGCATCTTTGTCAAATTGCTAAAAATTTCATTCATCTAAATGTAGAACAAATGTACTGGTTCAACAAATAATACTTACAGCAACATAAGCCTCGTAATGACCACCGTTAATACCTCCTGAGTGCTTGACAACTCCAAACAAATGATACAGTATATTCTTACTCTTGTGTACCTTGAAATAAAATCAACTGTACAGTGAATTTCACTTTATTGTGTTTTAATTGTGCTGTTTTTTGTTATCCTACCTTAGCTTGACTACAAAATGGTGCCATATCCAAAATAATAGGGAACGAGACTTGACGGTTGACTTTTTGAATAGAAGACATTTGAACTTGGAATCTCTTAAGGTGTAAAATAACTATTTCTGGTACGGTTTTTATGAGCAATTGTTTTGAGAAAGTTGTGTACACTGTTTTCCCATCAGGGTTACCTAGAAGAAAAAAAAAGTAATTATGGAAAGAATGTAAATACTTCTTCTAACATTACCTTTGTTGGCCCTGGCTGTACATTCTGTACAGCCGACTTTGTTACTCCCGGTGAGTATTTCTTCCTTGATGAACTCTTGCAAGCATTTTTCAATCGAACTGTCATTGTAGTTTTCATTTTCCACTTTAGTTATCTTCATTTCCTCCTGCTTCGTATAATGGAAATTTTATTGGAATACGTTAACCACCAAAAAATGATATATTTAATTCTGTTTTGAAAACGTATTTTTACAGACCTCTAAGAATTCTTCCATGTCATACAAATTTGATATACAGAGGCCATCATCAGATTCCCGTCCACCATTGGACATTGCTTCAAGTGTCTCACCAAAGGTGGTTTTTTCACCTACTATTTCTAAACAGTCTTTACTCACTTGATTATTGTAGAAAAATGCTTCTTGCACTTCTCGATCCTCAGCTTCTAAAAATGAGTTTTAAAAAGTGAATAAATTAATGGAGTTAAATAGATTTAAATTTGGTTAGAAAGTTATATTAAAATACTTTGATGTGTGACTTATGTTTTCTTTCTCTTTATTTTTCTATTCTTTTAATATTTTTATTAATTAAATCCATTATATTTAGTCATCTGATTGATCAATTACTTCTTTCAAGTAATTAATCTTTTTATATAAGGTTTTGGTTGAAATGAAAAAGCTAGTGCTATTATTTTTATTAATAATGATAAAACTGTTAAGATGATAGATCTTTTAAAAACTTGGAATTTAAATTTATTAATTTGTCTGAATCTAGTAAACAAGTACATACCATTACATTGGTAGCCACTAGAGGGTATTTTCGATGTTGATAAATCACCAAATTCTGTCTCACTAGTAACTCGATCGGACATTTCTAATGGAACATTAGAAGGCGGGTACATCTTTCGACATGACTGAGGATCGTAACTCATTTCAAAGTTACTTAGCATATAGTCTAAAGCTTGGCTAAGTTTTTTACTACCAGCGGTAAAGCCATCAGGCCCAACCTCAAAATAACTGTAAAAACAGAATTAGTACTTTACAAGATTTTTACATGACGATTTACTCACTCGTCTACTTTTTTCCTAATAATATCAGCCTTTATATTGTTGAGATTGATATCAGTCAATTGAATTACAGAGGAGTTTCGCCCTCCGCCAAAGACCATCGATGAAATCACAGGTATGCCATCTTCAAAAGCTATTGTTTTACTCTTTACAAAAAAAATATTAGTAATACATAGGACAAAATACATAATTAATTAAATTTGTAAAAATTTATATACTTTTGCATGAACTGAAGGGCAGTGTTTGTTATTACAGCATATTGGTGGCAAAATCTGGTTGGCTTCTTCGTTCTCACACCACCTATATAATAATAAATTAAAGAATTTTACCACAAATTAGCTACACGTATTATTTACCATTCTTCACTGGATGTCCATTTCCCTGCATCCATATGTTTTTCCGGTGACCAGCTTAAAATAAAAATGGATACTGTTTAAATATTTTTTTTCTCTACAATATTATATAGAAATTGACTTATTACTAATTTCATAATTATTGAATGGAAAGATAAATTGTAGACCAGTAAGTAAAATACAGTTTATTGCCAGTGATTCCAAATCAGGTATTTGAGATCAATTTGTATTTTAATCACACATATTTTTAAATTTATTTTACATTCTTATCATTTCTTGGCTTTGATAAGAGTGATCCTGATTTACAAGGGAAATGCATCGGGAATAAACATAATTTTACTTACACAGGTTGTTTACATTTCAATATTCCATCCAATAAGAGATTGACTTACTTCATCCAGGTAAGGGTATTTTGTGTTTTTTCGTCCTTTTCTGACTTGGGCGTTTCTGCGGTAAGTCTGGAGAACTGATTGCAAAGGTTGTCCATTAATGCACCCCCCTTCATGCTTACTGCCTCCTTTCCTAAAAGCAGACAATTACATTTGTCGCAAGTTAACCAGAGGCAGGAAAATATAATAGAAACAGTTAAACTATCAACTGTTCAATTAAGACTTCTAAAGAAAACATTTTTGTACAATTAAGTTAGCCATTTATCAAAACACCAACAATGGTGTTTATGTGTAAATGTCTCCAAGGTATTTATTTGCCTGTTTATTCAGAAGTGGCATGTAAAAAGGACAGCCTTGGCTTTTGATAATTTACACCTATTACAAAAACACTATATTTTTTAGTTCAAGGTTTAATTGTTTCACTATAGCATTTCATCTCTAGGATGATAAGTATAACATTGTAGTTAGGGTAAAAGGCCAGATGTTCAAACGTGGGAATACATTTAAAAAAAATATTTTTTCAGAGAGAGAGAGAGAGAGAAAACGAGGGAGAGAGAGAGAGAGAGAGAGAGAGAGAGAGAGAGGGAGAGAGAGAGAGAGAGAGAGAGAGAGAGAGAGAGAGAGAGAGAGAGTGAGATGTGAGAGAGGGAGGGCATTGTACATATTGAAATGGAGCCGCTTCCCCTCTTTACATTTTGAACATTTCCTTTGTTCCTCTAAATTTCCATGTATTGTTTACTTCCTTAAGGCCCAAAGTTTGTTCGAATTTTCTCTAAATTTGTTATATACAGCTGTTAATTTTTGTCAATGTGTTCTCACCATTTGTCACTTAAGGGTCATAGCTGCCTTAAAACATACACCAATGCAGCCTCCCCATCACGCGAACCGGAGGGGCCATGGCCCCAGAGTGGGAGAGGCCCGGAGGGCCAGCCGCATTGCAGAGGGATGAGAACTATATAAACAGCGTGATGTTATTGCTGAACTAATGTTGTTTCGGCTCTCCTGAAAGGATGTGCATGGGCTGTGAACATCCACATCCCTCAAGAGCCGGGGTATTCTTTTTCACCCATATGCAAAGCACTTGGATGTAAAAGCAGCTCCTACTCCATTTGAGCTTTTCGACCCATCAGTAAATGCTAAGGTAGCATGCGGAAGGTTCGCTAGGATTTCTAAAAATTTTTGTTTGTATACATATGGTGGGGTGTTTTCTTTTTTGTCACTAAAAAATCATTTATACAAAGGGCACCAGACCATATTAAAACATAAACCATTAATTTTTTAATGACATAATTAATATTTACTTCCACATTTTATTATTTTTACATTAAGATGTAATGTAATTTTATGTGCATAATATAAATAAAGAACCTTTAAAACTGCATAACAATTTTTTTTTATTTTTTTTTATTATTATATTTTTTTATTTATGTTTATTATATTTTTTATTTATGTTTATTATATTTTTTATTTATGTTTATTATATTTTTATTTTTTTATTTTCATTTATATTTTAAATAATATCTCCCCATAATTATGAGATTTTTGTTTTTAAAATTTAAAATTTGGTTCAAATCTACTACCTTGCCAAAGGAGGAGGCTTGGAGGCTTTTCCTGTTAAAATTATTCTATTTTTCTCAGTAGTCAAATGTAAATTGTTTTTGCTTATAAAAAAACAACTACTAAACTTACAACTACTAAAAAACATACTCCAAAAACTTACCATTTTCTATCAAACATTCCTCTTGTGCACGTTGCTCAGGTTGGATCGTAGAAGGATTTTTCATAGAAATTTCCTGATCACATTGAGTTTCTTTAGAATTTTTTAAATTAATATTTTCACTATTGTATGTAGTTAATTCACTCGATATGTCTTCTTGAAAACCTATGTCCTCCTTCATTTCTTCCTTATCTGATGTTTCTAAAATTTGTTTGTCTATTGGTGAGTCATGAGCATCATTACCAACTGCCGAATTTTTTGTTAAAGTTTTAAAACCACAATCCTCTGTTTTAAGTTCATCACTGCTTAGCAATGCCCCAATTTCACTAGTTTCCAATTCATTGTCTGCTTGATTGGCATCATCTGAGTTCACATTACCGTTATAATTAAACCCATTTGCACAGCTTTCACTGTCATTTGAGTTTTTATAATCCTCTGATGAAAGTAATAGTTTATCTCTTCGCTCCTTCCTCTCTTTTCGCCTCTCCTTGTGAGATTTTGGTTTGCTTACGTAACTGTCCATTTTAGAACCCTTCATAAAACTTGGATCGCTAACGCCTTGCCCGCCCTTTTTACGAAGAGGAGTTAATTCTGACTGAAATTGCCACAAATCATCATAATGAATAAGTAATAAATACAGTAAAAGCAAATTAAAAATGACTACCTCTGTCGTTAACACAGGAAGAGAAAGATCCATGAACTTTTCAATTGATTCTGAAGATGAACCGCATTCTTTGCACTGCAGTCTACTAACAAGTTGTCCTCCAAAAACTTTTTCAGGTCCAAAGTCTTTGACTTGGCACAATTTTTTATCTATATCCTTCAATTCTTTCTTCAGTTCTGGGCTGACGTTCTTTCTCATAGCGGGAGTCAACAAATTTTTCTCTTTCATAATTAAATTTTGAAAGGACTGAAAAAGAAAAATCAAAGTATTTATTTTTAACAATCAAATAATTTTACAATGAGCAAACCTGATGAATTATCGTGCGTAGAGTATCTAGGAGCAGTCTCAGAAATTCATGAGCATCGTGCTGCTCATCCCACATAAAGTGTGGATGCCTTTTTGTAAGTTCTCTTAAAATTGCAACAGCGGTTGATACTTTGACTTTATCTGCACCTTTACTTGTCAAAGTTCGATGGAACTTAAGATATTCTTCAATGAGACGATCGCAGTCACAGCGTGTGATCTCGAATTCCTACAAACAAACAAAAACTGATTAACAATTCTCTACAACTTTAAAAAGCCTAAATAATGCAGGAAAGACAAAAAAAAAAATAAATAAATAAAATAAAATAAAAAATAGGGAATTTGTCCATTAATGAATTAAAAATTAACAACTTGAAAATATTATAATTGCTTTTTTTATCTGACTCCCTTTTATCAGTGCAATAAACAATTTTTTTTATTTTTGGTGTGGTATTAGAAATGTGATGTTCTTTTTTATTATTTTTATTGTAAGTTATTGATTCTATACTGCAGCATGGAATTTTATTTACTCACATTTTCTACATAGCATGAGTCCTCATCGGTGGTAATTACATGGACTTCCCAACAATGTGTTTCCACTGGATAGACAAACGTAATTAACACTGAAGAGGACTCAAGTCATGAAGTCGAAAACGTTCTGTAAATAAAATTCCATGCCGCAGTAAACAATCAACAACCTACAATAAAAATAATAAATTTATAAAATAAACAGCAGCAAAAAAATTAATTATTTATTAAAAATATAATTATATATAAAAATATAAATGTGATGTTCGTTTGGCTTGCATAGCCATCTGTTAAATTGAAAATAAGGGGATGGAAATGGATCTGGGCATACTTTTATTTTGGAGCATAACTTACTCAAGGGTGGCTTCAACTGCCAGTTTTTACAGCTATTTACCACACAGATTAATTTTACATTTATAATTATTAATAATCAAAATTCTGGAGAATAGATTTAATAAGGTTCTGACTGGAATTGCATTTATAATCCTAAAAGAAAATTTAAAACTTCTTTTTTTTACGAGGGTTCGCAACAGCAGAGGTTATATCAACCCTTGGGGTGCCGGGGTTTTTGAAAAAAAAAGCCCATTTATAAGTATGTCGGGATCAAATGCAGGGCCGCTGGATTCGAACCCGGGACCTTTACCTTACAGAGATGAGTGCTGTGTCAACGCCTAAACTGTTGCAGCCACCGACGCCCCCTTTAAAACTTAATTCTGATAGTTATTAGTAAAGATAAAATAATTTGTCAATAATTTTTTTTAAATGTCAATAGAAATAACAATATACAAACAACATAAACTTTTAACAATTTAAACTTTTAACTATGGTAAATGCTTACTTTATTCAATTAAAGAATAGCAGTGCAAAAAAAGTTTTTCTGACATAATGGTTTTAAATTTGGTTTTTGTTCTCATATATAACTAATTATATTTTGAATCGAGGTGAGTGTAAGACTGAACATTGGCAAAGTTACTTACAACTTCCTGACCACTGTCCAAAACCAGCTGGACAGGATTGTCGAAATCGCTCAAAATTGCTTCTTCTAATTTAGGGGTTCGGGTCAAACACTGCAACACTGAATTGGCATAGCATGTGCTTCCTTCATTGATTAACCCCTAGAAAAAATATTTCTATAACAGAACAAACTCACGTCTGTGAGCATAAAATAAATAATTCAACTTACTACAACACCTGGAATATCTAAGCCTTTTTTTATATTTAAAAATTCTGTAAAATAAAATTAGAGCAATGAATGTGGCAGTTCAATTACAAGATAAAAATTATTAAAGAACAAAGGAAACAAACTCTGATTTATATTGCTCGCTGTGCTATTTTCCTTCTCTGTGCACCTGGCAGAAGCAGCAATCGGGTCTGTTAGTTTTATATTTACATTCTTCATGTACTCTAAATCTGTAATGCAGGACTTCAATTTTTTACTAGTGGAAGCTGGTACTTGAGCTTCGCACGTATAACACCTGTAAGATAAGAAATTAAAATAAAAAACATGAAATTATACAAACTATTCAGTTTTTACAATAAAATACGTACCATACATTGTTGTCAGAAATATTAATGACTAGCGCATGACAAGTTGACCGTGGGACTTTGTAATGAGCCAAGCCGTGCTCACGAGAACAAGATTTCACACCACACTTTAGACAAATCCATGGCCCAGACACCTTGAAATGATTAACATTTAGTCAGAAATTTAGTGTTATAGCAATAATATGTCGCTACATACTTGAACATTAGGTTGTTCCTTGAGCTTCAAACATGATTCGCAAACATCACTTTTTGACTTTTTCACTTGGTTGAGGCCAATCGACTTGTCAACATGAGGGCAACCATTTTTGTTACTACCTGTTACAAATTTAAAGATAAAGTATTTAGTGGTAAAGCAAAACAAAATTGACAATTTTGTAACTCAAAGAAAACAATGCACAGAGACATAAACATATTTTGCATATTGTGTAAACAAACAAAATTATAATAATGTAATATAATATTTTTTTTAAGGCCTTACATTATTATTTTATGTATGCATCATACGTAACACACTACAATGAAAAAAAGTATGTGATAATTTTGTAATTGAGTAGAATAATTATAAACAGAGCCCTGATTTGTAAGCAAATAATTTTGCTAACACGAACTACCATGGTGATCTGGTATTTATTTGTATCATGAACCGCACGGTACAGTGATTCAAATTTTATTCTACGTAAATATACAAATTTGGAGAATAGGGCTAATTTGTAATTTTTTGATTACAATAAATAAATAAACTATTATTTAATTATTATTTAAAAGGTATTTAAGAATATGAGAGAAAAAAGGCAAGAGCCGAAAATTTGATTCGTCAGTGTCATTATTCTTTCACATTTTCAACCTAAAAAAATGCCAAAAGTGGGAACTTCAACTTTTTCTAAAATAGCATGCTAGATTTTTCTTTTCAATGCAAAACAGAAATTAGTTAAATCCCCAGCAGGATTATATTGCAAAAAAAATTGAAAAACTTCTTTGACACCACAACGAATGAATTGGGGAAAATTAACGAATTAAATATATAGAATAAAACTGAAAGAAAATTAAAATCTGAAATATAAACAATTAAGCTGTTATAGAATGAATTGCTGATACAAGTATGCTCCCTTCATCTTTTTCAAAGATGAAAAGAATTATTCGAAGTACAAATATTTTTGGGCGATAAACACTGTAGCTTACAGAAACTATTTTTGAAATGCATCTCATTGTCAATTTTAATTCAGATCATGCCACTTTCACTGTGGCTGTCGAACACATGTTGACAAAAGCGTCTTATGCCGGGGCGGTAGGCGATTTTAATTTTTCCCTTATTTCAAATATACACCATTCCAGCCAACTTTACTCCCTTCACATATTTGCCACTGCTGTGGGAAAAGGATTCAAGTAAAGTCTTTTCGTCTCCACCATTGTTTTCAACAATTCTCTTTTGCAGCTTCTGCTTTTCAATTTTGCTCCAACTAATCAATAAATCACTTCTTTTTTTTTAACATACATATTATTAATAATCGTAAGCATATAAATATTCATAATAATTTTTAAAAACATAAAAAACAATATTTTTATTTAATTATTAAAATTATTTAAACTAATTTTTTCAGGATTTCGTAGATTTTACATATTTTTAAGTTTGAATTAGTTTTACACATAAATGAGCTGCTTGTTGTTTTTTAACATCTAAAATTATTTTTACTATGTGGTGATTAGTGACCGTTAATCGATGATTATTCGGAAATCGTGAGATGCGGTCTGGTGTGACATGGGTTTCAGAAAAACATTTTCTTTATCATACCAACGTTTCAATCTTTATTGAGATCATCTTTAGGGCCTGGAATTTACAAACATTGTTTAAATTTAACAAATACATGTAGGTTGTGGAAAAAAGTGAATTTATACAATGCAAAAAATATTTTTTTATATTCAATCAAAGTATGTCTACTCACTCAAAGTGTTTGTTTTCTGCGTCAAACACTTTGAGTGAGTAGAAATACTTTGATTGAATATAAAAATATATTTTTTGCATTGTTTCACAATTCAATTTTTCCACATCCTAGATGTATTTGTTAAATTTATACAATGCAAAAAATATTTTTATATTCAATCAAAGTATTTCTATTCACTCAAAGCGTTTGTTTTCTGCGTCAAATACTTTGAGTGAGTAGAAATACTTTGATTGAATATAAATTGAATATAAAATTTTTTTTTGCATTGTTTCACAATTCACTTTTTTCCACATCCTACATGCATTTGTTAAATTTAAACAATCTTTGTAAATTCCAGGCTCTGAAGACGATCTCAATAAAGATCAAAACTATTATTCAGAAATCGTGAGATGCAGTATGGTCACTTCGCAACAAAAATCGCGAATTATAATTGTTTATTTTGATTCCGAAATGCTGCTAATCTAGAATTTATCCTAGCTCTGTTCCCTCCCCACAATCTTGTCCTGTTACTGCCTAGTCCTGCTCTAGTCCTGTTCGCTTCCATCTCGCTTCCATACTGTCCACTGTTAATTAGCCTCCAAGAGTGATTTTCCTTTAGTTTTCTTTCAGTTTTTCTCTTATTTTCAAGAAGCATTTTTTTTCTTTCGTTTTGTTAATTATCGCGTTCAAAATAACACGAGTGTCTCCTCCCGCATCCTTAATGCGACACATCATACAGGGTTCGGACGGAACCCCGAAGTTAACTAATAGACTAGGATTCTGTTTTATCTTTGGCCAGAGTTATTGCAGGTTCTAGCTATTAAACGGCTCTCCTCCCTGGTTGTCGAGAAAATCCAGCCACAGTTAACAAGTTAGTATTTTAATTTATTTTGTACTTATTTTATTTTGTATTTTTATTTTATTTAACCAAATTTTATTGCGACCGACCAGTGCGTGCACATAAAATTTGGTCCTCCGGGCCGGATTAAATTTTTTTTCTGAAAACTAATTGTCGTCTATTTAAAGAATTTATCAAACCTAGCACAGGGATTAACAATTGTTTATTTACACCTATACCTCTCGTACAAACCTCTTATCTTTCCGTTCTGCTCCCAAACCCTTTTCGATTAGTTTTAAATAAAGTTACCTTTTTTAACGAACAATATTCTTCGATAGCAATTTTAACCAATTAATTAGTAAATTTTTTCATATTTTGCATAAAACGTAGTTTCATTAGAGTACCCACACCATACACTTCAAAAACAAAATATAAATTTGTTACTTGTTTACCTCCGTAAATTTTAATTCTTGCCTTCATTTATTCATATTTCGTTATCACTTACAATCACTAGCTTTACAAATATGCTTCAATCAAAATCAGATCCAAAATTGAACAATTACTCTTAATCAGAGAGGATGCCTTTGCCAGCATAACATTTATCTGGAATCGCACTAAAACAGCAACAAGCGATCAACTAAGCGTTGTTGAATTATATTGCGATGAAACGATAGATTTGAGAAAAAAATTCGAAGATGCGAATCTTCAAATAATTCAGTGTAATGCCCTTTTGCCCACTGACGAACGTATTGATACTTCTAAGGCGAATAATGCATTTTTGGATGTTTTGTTTTCCATTAAAGCGGCGTATTTAGATTTGAAAAAGCAAGTCGAACCTGTGATGGCATTAAATGAAAGTCATAATTCCTCATGTAACCCGCTCCCTACAATACATTTGCCACAATTTAGCGGTACAACGGAAGATTGGCCTGAGTTTTTTGCACTTTACAATTCATTAGTTCATCACAACTCCTCTCTGGAAACAACACGAAAATTTCAATATCTCAAGTCTGCATTAAAAGGTGAAGCTCTGTCTACCATTTCAGGATTTATACTATCTCCTGAAAATTATCTCTTGGCTTATGATGCTTTAAGAACCCGCTTTCAGAACGACAGAAGAATAGCATCAATGTATCTTGCGAAAATTCTCAACTTTAGACCCTTGAGTTCCCAAACTCTACCTGGTCTTAAGGAATTTCTTAGTGTCCATCAAACTTCAGTTAATGCCATTAAGGCTCTTGGTATAAAGGATTTGTCCGATTTTTTACTTTTCTCCCTTGCTTTTAAAAATATTGACCCTTACACCAAAAGGGGATTCGAAAATAAACATTCCTCTGATCAAATCCCTTCATACCACCAATTCATTGAATTTGTTACCAATCAAATTCGAACTGTGGAATGTTTAGAATCTCCTATTGCTGGAAACAACTTAAGAACTAGATCCCAACAGCCGCACATCTTGATGATCGAATCCTCCCCTGAAGTTAGAGATCCAAAACATGTTGTTACTTCTACACAGTCACGAGATTTTACGTGCCCATATTGCCAAGTACACCTTTTATTTAAGTGTCCTTCGTTTTCAAAAATTTCCCGAGATTGTAAATATAATTTTTTACGCACAAGCAAGCGGTGTATATAGATAGATAAAAGATCAGGGGAAATAGTCACGATAAGTATAAAGAAGTTAAAAAAAGAAACGTATTAAAATGAAAAAAATAATTATCAGCACAGAAAAAGAAAAATGACGACTTAGTCAACGCAAAAACAAATGTATTCATTAGGCTTACCCCTATAAATTATATTCATACCTTGGAAAATGCACTTTTCCTGTAAAACTAAGCATTTTCCTTAGTGTCTCTTCATGTACCTCTTTTGTTGAGAGAATTGTCTTATTAAAGTGGCTGTACCATAACCGGACTAATGCTTCACATTTACAAAGGATATGTGTGATAATGTCAAGTTTCTGTCTCTGCTTGCTCACCTTCGTTATGTGGATTAAAAGTTTTGAGAATAATAATTACAGAACATCTCTGACATTCATCCTGTGTATTTTAAAAATTTTAGAACAAATTGAGGTTTTTTACAATTTAGTGTATATAAACCCGGGCTCTACTTATAAATAATAGTTTCTAGCTACTAACAGACTACAATGAACGTCTTTATTCTTTTGCAATACATATTTCCAAATTGTAAACTGTGTGTATATATTAAAGAATAAAGAGATGGCCGCAATTGTGAGGTCCCGGGTTCGAAACCAGCGGCCCTGCTTTCAAACCCAACATATTTACAAATGGGCTTTAAAAAAAAAAAAAAACGAGGGTTCATATTACTTATAAGGGTATTTCAACTACATAAATATGTGCTCTAGTAAATGTATAGATCTGCAACCCTTATACAACTTTCACATTCAAATTAACGGGGAATCTAGAAGTTCAACAACTTACTCTTCCAAATATAAATGTTTTTTTAGATAATAGTTCACATGTTAAAAGATAATTCACATTAAGAATGTGATAATAAAATGGCAAATTTGTCTAGTAACAAAGACAAAAAAATCGACCAAACATGGAGAATGTATTGCAGAGTTGCAGGAAAAATGAAATGATGTCTCTAAACCTGGGTTTCCACTGCACGAAACTCACTTATGAAACTTGTCTCGCGTTGTGGAGATTTAGCCAGGACTGTGAATCTTTTGGCACAAGGATGTTTTGGGGTGTCAACTGGCTGTCAGTTTTTTACTGCGCATCAAAAGCGTTTCGCTCCATGTAAATCCACTTTTCTCAAGAGAATGAACCAGGAGTGCATTTGACTTATCTGAACGTATCACAGCTAACAATTTTACGGGAAGCTAAATACAAAACTCACAAAAATAACAATAAGAGAGAGGCGTGGAAGGAAATTAGCATCAAATTTGACCAATTATTGGTACTCTTAAAACAAAAATGAAAACTACTGGGGTTTGCCCATGAAATAATTAATTTTATGACCACCGACAGCGTTTTCTTCATTTTTCTTTTTAAAATAGTACCACCATGACAGCATACGCTGATGCAGCAGTTTGTGTAGTTATAAACGGCATGCTTGTCTTGTGCAATTGATGGCTCACCTTGTTTTGCTTCTATGTTGCAAAATGTTTCAACGCATGGAAATGTTTAACCCGAGACGGCATTTCGCAAGTGATTTTTTTCACCCAGTGGAAACCCAGGTTAAAATTAGGTAGATCAAAGAAAAAAACACCCTGATTCTCAAAACTTCATAAAATTGAAGCATATTGTGAGAGGATAACTGGGAAATAAAATAAAACAGTCAGCATATCATAGATCTCACCGTTGTCCACTGGCTCTTTGCTGTTGACTTCCTGCGTCTTCCTCCGTTTTTTCCCCATTGTTTCTTCATTTACAGGTGCCGAGCGAACGAACAAGACTTGGCCGAGGCCCCTAATCAAAATTGGTAAAGCTATAATAGTTATCGCCAGGAATAAAAGTAACAAAGTTCCAACTGACATTGTAAATCGGTACTAAATGACTCGGCAAAAGGCGCCTGAATTAATTATCCAATTATTATTTATGAGTAAAAAAATTAACATTGAAATAAACTAACGAGACTTACACGTGACAGAATGTTCCAGCTAAACAGCCGAAAGGCGATTTTCGTTCTCGCTCCAAACGGCCCTCTCCTTCGACTCAGGACCTGAACAGATTGGAATCAAAAATGTAGACATTATGTATCTTTTATTATTTTAAATGTACATGAATTTCAGGTTAATATAAATACGAAAAAGACTCCATTCAAGAGAGACCCGAATCCCGAACCCAGTTCGATCCAATTTCAAGCCCTCGATTAATTGAAAAGCGAAATCGATCCGATCGCGCTACTTGCAGCAGGTGTCTGCAAGTTGAAAAGTCTGAAAGATAAGCCTTTAAATTGATTTTATCTAGATAAACGAGACTGCTGAAACAAAAACCCCCAAAGAAAAACAATTCAATCTGATATGTGTTAATTTCAACGAAATTTTAAGGCTTGAATCTTTTATTTGGGAAAAACTATATTGTAATTAGCTGAAAATGTACTTTATTTATATATATGGATCAAAGATCCTTTTACAAAGCATATAAATAACGAGGTTATAATCAATTTAGTAGTAAATAAGTACAAGTAAATAAATAACATTGATAAAAAAACAAGAACAAAACAACAACAAATTTTAATAATAATGATTATTTAGAAATCGTGAGACGCCGACTATAAAAACTATAGACCTAAATTTTCAGGAGAAAACTCTGAACCCGTTTTCGTAGACCAAAAGTCAATCCCATTTAAGACTTTTGTGAAGTTTGTGGTCGGCACCATCCACTGACCCATGTGACGTGAATAATACAACACAGTCCACATGCAGTAGATGTAGAACAATTGACTCCTGACCTTTTAACATCGCAAAAGAAAACAAGGTGGGACTAAGCGAACAGCCCTGAAGGATTCCATTGAAGAGGGGGAAAGAATCAGAATAATCGTTGGCTACTTGAGCTTTAACAAGGTCGTTTGGAGCGAGAGCGATGGTTGTTGGCTGTTTAGCTGGAACATTCTGTCACATCTCAATAAATAATCATAGAATATAATATTAGTAGCAAAGTAAGTTTCTGGTAATAGAACGTCTGGAAATAAAGCCATGTTGTTCTGGAATAATCTCAGGATTAAAATAACGTGATATGTATTTGATCCTTTATTTACTACGACGGATTTTATTCGAAATAGATAAATTTGGCAAGGACAGTAAGATTCTGGTCTGTCCTCGCTGGGGTTTTGACGAAGAGAACGAGCAATCGGTCGGTTTATTATTTGAACAAAACAGCCAGAATAATGAAAGATTTGTGTGTTGTTACCTCTTTGAATGACGATAAAATACTGAAAATTTCGATTTGGTTCATGTGGATGAACATGGCGAGATTTTAATCGACCGTTTTTAATCGATGTGAACTCGAATTGGTCGACTGTCCTCGAGCGCCTTTTCGCTCGTTTCTTCAGGCAACCGAAAGTGATTTGACTTGTGTGTTGTGATGTAAGTTTTCCTCTTTGGAAGGATCCGGGCTGTCGACCCTGCCAAATCGTTTGGAGATTTTCAGTTGCCCGATTAGAAAAATTATGCATCCGAATGTGCGACAGCTGTATCTACGGCGGATCGTCTGCTCGTGCTTGTGGAATCTGGTCGTCCAGACTTTTATGATCGCCGCGTTTATTTTCTTCATCAACTTGAACTTCCACCCTTTGACCTGGCTCCAGGATTGGATCCGCTCCGTTCTCGACTGGAGGACGTGGTTTTATTTCTTCCCGCTGTCCGCTGTCGTCCTGGCCCAGGGGGTCGTCTGCTCCAAGGGCTACATTTCCGTCCAGCCCTTCTACCCGACGAGATTCTCGATAATGATACAGATATTGTCGTTAAACAACATAATGTCGATGTCGATGCACGTTTTTATCGGCTACCTGATAACTTGGCTCTATTTGTCCGTAACCGGTGGCATGCTGAGCAGGTACGCAATGCCGGATGGCACTTTCAACGAGGAGCGGCTCTTGTTGATATTCGGCGGCGTCTGGGTCAATTTCGTTTATTTCGTGAAAAACCATTTTGCCGGCGCGAAACACGCCACTTTCCCAGTGCTGCAACTGCCGAAATTCTCTCAGATTAAATCCGAACTTTTTCTGACTGTCAAAAGTTCCTTTCCGGACGTCTTCCTTCCCAATTGTTTTTACATAGTCTTATATTACTTTAAAGGAAACGTTCTTAGAGGTCTGGCTTGTCAGCTTTTCGATCTCCAGCCTTCAGAAGAATTGTTGGACTCCGTACAAGGCCTGTTCAACATAAAGATGCTTGCTTATTTATGGCTTCTGTCAGCGACCGTTATTTCGACTATGAAGCTCATGGAGTTTTTGTTTAGAGTCTACTTGACAGAAAGAGAAATTTTTCCATATTTTAGCACTCTTCTGCCGGCAGGAACTGTGACGCTCGAGGAAGCCCTCAGATCGAGAGAATTCCCTTTTCTTAGACATCTTGGGTTTTTAGATCTGTTTCTGCTTTCTGAGAACAGCAAGGAAAGAAGAGCCAAGATATTCACTCTAAGCCAGCCCGGAGGACACCCCCACATCTGGAATTCGCTGCGGAATGACTGCTTCTTAACGATCGAGTCGTTTATCACATCACTGACTGGCCTACTGATTTTCAGACAGACAAAGGAAAAACCCGAGGAGACATACCATCGCTATGGCATACAACCAGGAAGTGCACCTCCTACTTCGCCGCTGTGTGCAAAAACCCTTCCGAAGAAAGCTACTTTCCCCGAATTGCTCTTCTCGAAAATCATTCAAGCGGGGGCCAATTTGAGTTTATGGGTCGATTCTAAATTATCTTGGTTGTACAATCTGCCGTTCACCGTTTACTTTTTTGGAGACAGAAGGGATTTACAGATAAAATATGCGCTACAACAAACACAACCGGTGAGAAATCTATATTTATTTATAGTTTTATCTAATAATAATAATTATAATGCTATTATTTGTTAAATACTCGCAATCAAGATGGAATTTTTTTTTGTGGAAGGTATAGTTTCATATAGCCAAATTTAAAGATTTATCATACTTTATAATCTCTCTCTCAGCATTAAATATCAGCAAATGCATAATACATTAGTGTTTGAAAACACAGGACAGTTTTAATATTGTATTTATTTGTTCTTATGTTTGTAGGTATTATGGGCTTGTCACAGCCTCTCTTATCTCGCTGTATACTCACTAACTGAGGACAACTACGGTATCATACAGAACGATCTTGCGAAAATCATTTGCTTACTATTAAAGTTAAAACAGACGCTGGATTCAATCGACAGGCATGTATCAGTACAGGCGGTGGATCCATGTGCCAGCTGGAGGACAACGAGAACCAACAACAGCAAAACAATGACCGCCCAAGCCCTGAACAAGTCTGTCAAAAGGGCCATTTACAGAATATCGGATGCATTCAAAAACTACATCCCCGACCTGCAACTACCAAGGGATGCTGAAATCCAAATGATAGCCTTTGCTGAATATAAAGTCTGACTATCGTGATTCAATTTAAAAATAATAAAAATGCTTGTTTTTTGTAAATATAGCTAAACCTTTTGTACACTTGTTTTAGTTTTAGTTAATAAAATCAATTAAAATGTTGGACTTTAATGTTCCTTAAAACTATTCCTTTACAGTAGAGAAAAAAAATATTGCCATGTAAACTTATATTTTATTATTAATTAATCAAGTATGTAAAAATATATTTTTAAAATATTTTCTCATGTAAGGGTGAAAAAAATTGCTTGTTTCTTGGTTAATAATAATCGTAAATATTGTTTTTTTAACGTACTCAAACTTTGTCAACATAGAATTAACTAACAATGAACAGAAGGGTGTAATTAGTTGAAGTAATACTGCTCCTGAACAATTTGAAGATAGAGGTGTCGGTGGCCACAACGGTTTTGGCGTTGACACTGCTGTTCACCATAAAGTGAAGAAATGTCCAGGGTTCAAATCCAGCAGCCTTGCATTTGAATCCATCATACAATGTGCTTTTCTCAAAAGGATAGTTGAATACCCTTAAAAAAAGAAGCTGTGTTTTATTTGCATAACCACCTTGCACACACCATGCAAACCACAATGGTTGGATAGCATCTTAATATTAGGATGGTTTAAACAATGTTGCAGGCTGGAATTTGGTTGTTTGTCTATTTTTAATATTCTGTAAGAATTGTGAACAAATAGATGAATGGTGGAGTGAGTGTGGTGTTCAATCCTCTTTAAAAAGATAGTTCCTACTCACAGTAAGAGACTTATTTTATTACTACTTTTTAAAAAGGATTGTGTACAAGTTTGATTTTATCATTTGTTCACACCATCATACGACCAGACTATGGTGATTCTTGTTATATTAAAATTATGTGAGAAATGGACTAAATAAAAAATTTAAAGCTACGTTATATGTAGAACTTTTTTTAAATTGTTGAATTATATATTAAAAAAAATAAAAAACAAATTCAGGGTTTAAAAACAGTAAAAATTAATAAACAACCAAGTCACAAGATAATAAAATAATACTAAAAAAAATAGAATAAAACAATTTAAATTTCAATAAAGTCAAAATAGTCATTTTTATCATTATGCTTCTGTAACAAATTTAAGAATGGTTGGTCAATAAGAGGTAAATCAATCCAATCTTTCTGTTTTTACTGTAAATTGGTTGGCAGTGGATAAGTTATAAATTCTCTTTTTCTATAATCGACTTACAGTTTTTGATTTTCGTCTAGTATGTCTACATACAAATTTCATATAAAGACAAAATATGGGCCTTCATGTTTTGTAAATCTTGTGCAGTTTTTGTATATGCTTACACACCGTGTTTACAAATGTCAGAAAAAAATTTCTCTTTTTAATTTAATTCCTCTACGAATTTCTCATTTTGTATTCACACATTGGCCAGGGGAGGATCTGCAAGACCATATGTAGGCCCTGAACCTATACTTGTGATAACAAAAACACATATATAATCACAGACACAAAAAAAATAAAATAAAATGAAAAAGAGAAGTGGATAAACTCCAGGGGCACAGTAAACTTATTCTAAAACAACCCTTACCGAGACTGGCAAATTCACCAAGGAAAGGGCCAGATTCAGAGAAGCGATAGGTCTATTAACTGGTCACTGGTGATCCCAGTGACATCTAAATCTACATGACGGGCAAATTCAACGATGATCCCATTTACAGATTATGCAATGAGGAGGAAGAAACAACCACATCATCTACAAATATGAAGCAATGGGGACATAACCTTGGATACAAAAAAAAAAAAAAAAAAAAGGACTACTTCTGAGAAGAAGAATCAAGTCAATCGCACTGAACTAGGGAACTAGAAAAGTACGAAAGCCAGAAGGCTCCTAGCATCCATCTATATCCTCATCATAACAATCATCTGTATTGAACAAAAAATAATAAAGGTATGTTTTACATAAAAGTCACACACACATTTTGTGTCTTCTTTGGGAGCTTAAGAATCCCAATTAGAGTTGAGTTGAGTTGGATTTTGAATGCAACAACTTTTGTTTAATTTTTGTAAAAAAAAAGTTTAATTAAAAAGAAACAATTTTTTAAAAAATTCAGCCTGTCTAGTTAGTTTTGCATTTAATTTCTGAATTTTACCATGTCCACTTTATCAGGATTGGCTTTTAATTAAAATAAAAAATTATACAATACCTGAAATGAGAAAACAATGAATAAAAATAATAAGTTTATTAATTAAATAATTTACAATATTTACATATTTACAGGTAAATGTTTACAGTTTGTACAAATAGAAAGTGTATTTAAATTTTAGACTGCTGTTTTAAAGCATCAATAACACTAAGACAATACATCAAGCTGCCTTGAATTTGATCCCAATTTTTCAATTGTAACTCTAGAACATCTTTTAACATTTCCTGTAATTTTTGGTTAACCAATATAGCATTTGAATGTACTTTGACAAACAAGCTTAGATAAGACTGCGCAAGTTCAAAGTCTCTGTTAGTCGAAAACATCCAACGGAGAGTCTTCAGGAAACTTAAAAGCAAGGAATCGGATCCTTGCATGTCAAACGACATGGAGTTGATTTCAAAATCAATTGCAGAAGGACCCATCTCCTTTAATTTATTTACAACTGTTTTGAAATCTTCAGAAGCCACAGATTTTTCAAGAAATTGACCAAAAACTGTCTTATTTATCAATCTATCTAATCTGAGAGTCTTGAGGCTGTCTTCTTCATTAACTACTGAGGAAAAGTCAAACTGTATATCTTTCGTCGGCAGAGTTGGGAGGAAGAAAGGAGCGACTTCAGGCTTTTTCAGACCACCAACTGGTTTATTCCTTTTCTTTATTATGTCAATGTCTAAGAGATTTTGCCATCTGGAAGTTGCTAGACCTGATAGAGTAGCAAGACATTCAATCTGATCTACAGAATCTTCCTCATTTTCATCTTCTTCATCATCTAATTCTTCTAATGCGATGGGTTCTGGACCTCTAGTGCCGGGAAGATCCAATAATGGAACAGGTGCATCAATCTTAATGGCCTTAAATGATACGTAAGAGAAAGTTGTTCTATTTGCCCAAAGATAAATTCCAAGATAGTTTACATGAGCTGTTGCTAAATACTGTCCTGTAGGTGACATGTCTATTGAAATACAAGGTGACTCAACCCTAAAAATGTCTATTAAAGAAGCAGTCGGAATATCCCAAGTTCTCACAGTTGCATCCATAGATGCAGAAATCAACCATCGGGCGTCTGGGCTGAAAGTACAGTCTGTCACTTGGCCCGAATGGCCTATGATCTTTCGAACAACCTTTCTCGTATCTATATCAACTAGAGATATTGTGAAATCTTCTAAAACAACACCAATGAGAGATGACTCCTTATGAACTCTAAAAAATGAAATAGGTTCACCGACTGTTAATCTGCTCAATGGTTTTGAACCTGGAACAAAAACAGTACAATTATTTATTTAAAATTAATATTTTATTTTATTTAAAATTTTGATTTATTTTATTTATTATTTTAATTTATTTAAAATTAATTAATGTGGCTTAACCAAAAGATATTTAACACATTCAGCATGGATGCTTTACTACAACTGGGTTCGGCCCTTCTAATCTACATAAAGTTATTGTCCATTTACTACTTTATGCGTTTTTAACCTATTTTTTTTTTTATAAAACAGGTAAGTTTAAGCATACCTTGATATATAATTTTATTTTAACTGTATATTTTTTATTAGAAAACCAAAGAAGTAATTTTTTTTAAATCTTTCAACATTATTGAAGTTTTATAAAAATTTATTTTTGTTTTTTATTTACGTTTGTAATCATTGTTTATAACTGCAATATTACTTTATTTCAATCGTGCATCGAATACCTTGTGAAATGGCAGAACCACAACCAAATCCTGGGAGTGGTAACCCACCAAAATGAAAAGTAGAAAGAGTAAATGTATTTTCATAGCTTGATTTCCAATTGAATCGTAAAAGAGTGATTTCTGTTTCTAGCTGTTTTTTAGAATCTTCTTCGCTGGATACAAAAAACAAAAACAAAATAAGCTCAATCAAATCAACATAACGAATTACTTAAATTCACTATTTTTCATCGTCCGCTTGACCAATTAATAACATTCAATTAATTAAGGTTTTAAATTGAGATAAAAAAGTCAGTGTCACGAGCGGGATTCGAACCCACGACCTTCGACTTTATACGCCACTACTCTACCACTTGAGCTATCGTGACTTCGATCCACTCGGACCCTAACTTCCCATCTCAACCCCACCTTTTGAATTGAGATGGGGAGTTAGTGCCCGAGGGGATCGAAGTCGATACCTCAAGTGGTAGAGTAGCGGCGTATCAAGCCGAAGGTCGTGGGTTCGAATCCTGCTCGTGACACTGACTTTTTTATCTCAAATTAAAACCTTAATTAATTGAATAACGAATTACTAAATCCATTATATTTAGTGGCCTGATTGACCAAATTACTTCTTTCAATTAATTAATCTTTTTATGTAAGATTTAGATTAAAGTGAAAAATTTGAAAAATGGCAAAAAGTAAAATTCCAATGGTTGAGATGGAGAGTTGGTATCCGAGTGGATCAGTCACGACAGCTCAAGTGGTTAGAGCAGTAGCGTACTGAGCCGAAGGTCATGGGTTCGAATCCCACTCGTAACACTAACTATTCCATTTCAACCAAAAACTTTACATAAACAGATAATGAATTACTTTTGGGAACATCACAAATATAACTAGCCATGTTTCTAAAAGGAATTCAATATTGTTATGATTTTTAAAACAAGTTATTTTTGTGAACGTAATAACTATATTTAGTTTTAATATTTACAATAATTTTAGCATTTATAATTTTGCATAATTATAGTTTTATTTGTATTAATGTTTGTATTGTTAAAATACAATTTTAGTTAATTAGTCAGATTTGTTATAATATATATTTGTTCTTATTAATATACAATTGGGGGCCGCGGTAGACGAGTGGTTAAGGCGTCGGACTCTCGGCTAGTAGATCACGGTCGTGGGTTCGATCCCCACAGTCGCCTCTGGACTTTTTTTCTGACGCCTAAGGGGACTAGTGGCCACAATTGAAAGAAATTGACACGGCACTCATCAATGAAAGGAGCGGGATCAGATCTCAGCAATCCTGAATTTTGGTCCCAACCCCCTTAAAAAATGAGTTTCTTTGATGGAAGAACATGGAGCCAGGGATAAAGTACAATAAGCTGTACAGCTGCAGTGCTCAGGAGGGAACTCCTCCAGTTCCTGGTATCCATTGTATTTATTAAAANATAAAAAAGTGTTGACAATTTTATTGTTTGTGTAGATATAAAAAATTGTACAGTACCTAATAGATGTATTTGTAAAAAAATAATTATATATCCTTTCACTTCAGTAACTTCTAACTGTTCCTAACAATAAGTAATATTTACACAGAAAAGTCCTGTTGAAAAGAAATAATTTTTTGAGAAAAGCTATAAAAACTCAAATATCTATGTCAAATAAAGTAGGTAGGGACAGCTATATGGCAATGCGCCGATTGGCAAAAGGGTAAAAGAAGGAATAAGAAGAGTCCGACACAGGTCAAAAACGGCAGAGTCGCCTCCTAGCTGAATGTGTTAACCTTGACGCTACGTGAGCAGCCGTCCTCCATGTTGAATCTGTTAATAGATAATTTTAAACTTAAAATTAGACATAATAACTTACATATTTTTGAACTTTCATCAGGCTTAAATTTCCAGAATTTTAAAAATCCATCGCCACATCCTGTTAAGACTAACTGATTTAATGGATCAACAGCTACACCCCTGATGCTCCGTTTGTGCGCCGTTATTGCTCCATAGCTACACCTATTAAAACACTAACGCTCAGCAACAATAAAACTAACATAGTCAATAATGTGAATACCTTTGGATTCCAGATTGAATGTTGAATCTATCCACATGGCCAGAGCTGTATCCGATGACGATAAAATTACCGCAGCTTGTCAAATGGATGCATGTGGCAGTCACATTCAAAGTTACTCTCGTCGTGTTAACAAGTCGTTCGGGAAGTAGTTTGTGCTCACCCATTCTCCTTTTGTCATAAGACCAAGAAGTGACGAGTGGTGACCCTAGATGAAGGGCTGCAATATTATCCCAATCCTTTTCTCGGACGGTTGCAGATGAGAACTCTGTTATAGGCGGCATCAGAAGGTTTTCAGCATATTCTTTATTCTTTTTGGCGGTTTTCCTATTATAATAAGCTCGTCCCATGCTGAAGTTCATGCTCTCATTGATAGCATTGAACACTCTTAAAGACGAATCTCCTGCTGCGCTTAGAACATGGACAGGATTTCCTGGGTAAAACCTGAAATAAAATTAAACCAAATGAGAATAATGAAATAAGATGATGGCAAAATGTTTTTCACCTTCAAAATATTTGCACTTAAGAAAATTTATTTTAGTTGACAATATAAATAAATGCTTTTATGCACCCAGTTCACACATTTAAAATTGAATTTACCTGATATGATTGGGCTGTACTGCATGACCTTCCCTTAGTCGGAGGAGTCTGGCACCAAAATCAGGCTGATCAAAGATCCAAAGTTTAACACTGTTGTCAGAGGAGGAAGTGATCATGAGAGGTTCATTGGGCAAGCAAATGGCCGAACACACTGCGCCGTTGTGCGCCTCTAAGATCTGGCTAGCAACTTTTCTCTCCTCAAGATTCCAAAGAACGACATGACCTGAGACGGACCCAGTTGCCATGATGGGCTGTCCATCCGTCCTGAAACTTATAGCCGTCACAGGGCCCCAATCCTGCGTGAATTCTACAATCATCTCATCGTACATAATGTTGTGCAAAATGATACGCCCATCGTTCAATCCCACTGCCACAACATCCAATGCAGGAGCCTGCTGCAACACTTGAACCGACGCTCCCCACCCTTCAAACGTGTGAATCAATTTTGAAGTTTTTATGTTCCACAGCTGCATAGCACCTTGTTCACTACCGATTAGAATCTTGTTCAGATACGTGCTCGGGTGCATAGCGGAGGTAATCCTGAAAGTGAGCGGATCGAAGGTCAGTTCGAGGAACAGATCCTTCGACTTGCTGTCCCACACTTTCAACAGGTTGTCCTCGTCCACGGAAATGATGTGTGAACCGAAAGGAAGAAGGACGTGTATCGGTTTTTCGTGGTTTCCGAACGAGTCCGCGATGACGGTCCCTCTCCTCCATGACTGTATCTTCCCACCGTTCGCCGTGTAAATACGTTTTCTGTCCGTCGCAATACATGTTATTTCATTTTCGGTCAAGTCGCTCACGGTGAAAAGTGACAAATGGTTCAGACCGTATGTGTGATACGCTTTACCGACGCATGACACTACTATGTGTTCTTTCCTCGATTTCAGGTACCATGTCGCGCACGGGACGTGGTTGCTCACGTAGCCGAGGGCGCGATTCCTCACGAATATCTTGCTGGCTTCGGGCATCCTAATTTTTAAAAAAAATCACAGCACTGACATCCTGCACAGTGCACAACAGTACCAAGTACCAACACGTGGTTACGCCAAGTTAACCTTCGACTACCTTCCGAAGTTCCGACATAGACTACACGATAGCACTAAACCGGTTTTGGGAACTGAACTGGATAGAAACAGAAGTTTTATCCTTATGTCATGACGTCACGTTAGTGCATAACCGAACGTGTAGTTTAAAATGATTACTTCTTTATCATTTTTACAATTTCCCTATCCATTTTTTATTACTTTTCAACAAAAAACTTATATTTATACTAATTTTTTTGCAACGGCAGAGTTCATATCAACTTGTTGCAATGTTTCTGAAAAATATAAAACTATTTGTTAATCTCAGAAGCTCCGAAATTGAAACTGGGACTATTTGTCCATAACGGCCACCGCAGTGTGCACGAATGGCGAATATAACTTTTTATATTAATCCATATATGTTTAACGGTCATAATTGACCATAATAATTATTTCAATTAAATATAATTTCAACCAAGACCTTATATAAAAATCATAATTAATTGAAATAATTTTTTATCGAGTTACACACGACATCAGTTGAATTCAAAGTTGAAATTATTTTTCAAAGAGTTAAAGATTTTTAATTGAAAAAAAAATTAAGAAAGCAAAACAAGGATTTAATAAAAGCCTTGTTCTAATTTATTTTAATATAAGTAATATCGTTTATTTGTAAAGATAAAATGATAAAATAAACGTATTTTTCAAGAAAAAAAATCGAAAAAAAATGTATTGTCTTTTTTGATGTAAAACGCTCGTAGGCACTACGTATTTTTCAAGAAAAACGCAAAAAACTATAAAAAACAATCGAAAAAATTTTTATTGACTTTTTCTACGTAAAAAGCTCATAGGCACGTTTTTTTACACATTTTTCAAGAAAAACGCAAAAAAAAGATCGAAATTTTTTTTATTGTCTTTTTTGAAATCATAAAATAGATTTAAGAGGTTAAGGTAAAAGTTCCAAATTCCAAGTACTTTCTGATCAACGATTTTAATTAAAAAAGTGAAAATTGTGGAATGTTGAAACTGATATGGAATGGACTGTTGTTCAGAATGTATGCAAGACAAGTGGACTTAAAATTTTCATGATTATGTTGAAATCATAAAATAGATTTAAGAGGTTAAGGTCAAAGTTCCAACTTTTCCAACTTCCAAGTACTTTCTGATCATTTCTTTTTAATTATAAAAGTTAAAATTGTAAAAATGTTGAAACTGATATGGAATGGACTGTTGTTCAGAATGTATGCAAGACAAGTGGACTTAAAATTCTTATGATTATGTTGAAATCATAAAATAGATTTAAGAGGTTAAGGTCAAAGTTCCAACTTTTCCAACTTCCAAGTACTTTCTGATCATGGATTTTAATTAAAAAAGTGAAAATTGTGGAATGTTGAAACTGATATGGGATAGAGTATTGTTCAGAAAATATGCAAGACAAGTGGGCTTAAAATTCTCACGAATATGCTGAAATCATAAACTTGTTTTAATAGTGTTCCAAGTGTTTTCTCACGATTTCTGAATAATTGTTTTCTGAACATTGCCTAATTCTAATGGTAAATTTGACAACTGATATGGTTGTCAAATATTTTAGTTAAATCTCCCACATTACATGCAGTATGACAGTATTATTTTCATGCCTCCTTTATTATTTTGTACTGTGACTATCGTATGTCTAGATTTGTATTTTAGTTTGATGAAAGAAGATTTTACCGAAATGTAACATGGTGTTTGGTGTGTTTATGTAGTTTAATTCACAAAATTATACAGAAAACCGTCTAATTGTTCTATTTATTAGTCGTATAGGACGAAATTAAGACAAAAGGTGGGGAATCGATTTCAACAAACGCATGCGCTACCTGCCAACAGCCGAACAGGCACTCATGCAGGCTAATCTCAATTCTCAGTCTGCTTGAGGGATGTGCCTGAACGATCCTGTCCTTCCAACAACCTGGTTCCTTATAAACTGGTTGGTGACATAAGATCCCCCTTATCGTACCTGACAGTTTTCAATTTTAGAAAGTCCACGTTGGATTTGATTTGACATTGAATTGCTATAAGAACAGCAGATCCGACGCAACAATCCAAAAACCAACAGGGGCCTATTTTATCTTAATATCTCATAACAAATGTCTCCATAAATATTTTAGGCTTAAGGTAAATACTAAATTTACTAAAAAATATTATTTGTATATTTTCAAAAGACCATTTTCTAAAAATTAGATTGCACTTCTAACACGATTTAACTCTCATGAAGCCTGGCATGTCAATATGGATTGACTGTAATTATCCAATTATTGAAAATTTCAGTGACATGGGTAATACATTAAAGATATTGCAGGCTTTCATCCTTAAAAAATCACTTTTTTTATATATTAATAATTTTTTTTATAAATAAAAAAATATTTTAATGTAATAAAGTCATTAGGCTTAGTAAATCCATTAAAAGGAGGAAAAAATATCTTTGATTTAAAGTTCTGTAATGAAGAGTCTGCTTTGTGTCATACTGAAAGGGAAGATTCACCAGAGCAACACAGAGGACACAAGACATTCAATCAATAAATACCCAACCCACGGTCCATTTGCCTTTTTGTCCAAATTCCAACCGGACAGATAATAATTTCTCATATTACATTTAAGAGAAACATACTATATTCTCTGCATTTGTGATCTGGTCTGTAATCAATTTGTGGAACAGTTGTTAAAAGGAAAAAAAGAACTATTTGACAACATTCCACATCATCTAATACTTCAAAGATCATACTCAAGACAACAGCCTCTTATTAAATTTTATTGGTCAAATTAAGCGCATTCTTATCGCTGGGTAAATAAAATCTTCAAACTGTTTTTACAAAATCATACTGCTTCTATTGCTAAGTGCTAACTTATATTTAAGCATAACATTACTGTAAAAATTTCTACCTATACCGTTTTGAATTTTATCATTAAAAAAAAAGGCTAAAAGTAACAATATTTTATGTTTTGAAATGACCTTTCATAAAAACACGCTGAACTAGCATCGGCCACATATTGGGTCTTTACTGACAGGTTTGACAACCCAGTGACTTTTACGACACTCAGCCTCAACAAAAACACCTAAGACTCATAAGTTGTACGATGTACCATTTATTAAAATATGATCAAAAAGGGTCAGGAGTATATGAAGTTGTTAAAAGAAAAAAAAGAAGGACTATTTGACTACATTCCACATCATCTAATACTTCAAAGATCATACTCAAGATAACAGCCTCATCTTAAATTTTATTGGTCAAATTAAGCGCATTCTTATCGCTGGGTAAATAAAATCTTCAAACTTTTTTTAAACAAAATCCTACTGTTTCTATTGCTAAGTGCTAACTTATATTTAAGCATAACATTACTGTAAAAATTTCTACCTATACAGGTTTGAATTTTATTATTAAAAAAAAAAGGCTAAAAGTAACAATATTTTATTATATATATATATATACAGGGTGAATTGCTACTCGTGCTACAAACTTCTCCAGTAGATTCTTGGCTTTTTATCGTACCTTCATCTTCTTATTGAAAAATTAACGGGGATTTCAACGGTGCTTATAGATTTTAAGAGAAATGTTTAGATTAAAAGATATCACGATTTTCCGACGCCAGGACGTGATATCTTTCAAAATCGATAAAAAGCGAAATTACTCTGAAATGGTTGAGAATCGGACCATGGACAATATGAACTTTTTTGTTCATTTTAGGGTCAAGAATCTACTGGTGAAGTTTGTAGCACGAGTAGCAATTCACCCTGTATATATATAATATATTAATATATTATATTATATTAAAAACACGCTGAACTAGCATCGGCCACATATTGGGTCTTTACTGACAGGTTTGACAACCCAGTGACTTTTACGACATTCAGCCTCAACAAAAACACCTAAGACTCATAAGTTGTACGATGTACCATTTATTAAAATATGATCAAAAAGGGTCAGGAGTATATGAAGTTGTTAAAAGAAAAAAAAGAAGGACTATTTGACTACATTCCACATCATCTAATACTTCAAAGATCATACTCAAGATAACAGCCTCATCTTAAATTTTATTGGTCAAATTAAGCGCATTCTTATCGCTGGGTAAATAAAATCTTCAAACTTTTTTTAAACAAAATCCTACTGTTTCTATTGCTAAGTGCTAACTTATATTTAAGCATAACATTACTGTAAAAATTTCTACCTATACCGTTTTGAATTTTATCATTAAAAAAAAAGGCTAAAAGTAACAATATTTTATGTTTTGAAATGACCTTTCATAAAAACACGCTGAACTAGCATCGGCCACATATTGGGTCTTTACTGACAGGTTTGACAACCCAGTGACTTTTACAACATTCAGCCTCAACAAAAACACCTAAGACTCATAAGTTGTACGATGTACCGTTTATTAAAATATGATCAAAAAGGGTCGGGAGTATATGAATTTTCTTATCAGTTTTAACAAAATTATGTGTATAATTTTATTTCAACTCGTCACTAGGTTAAATGGAGAAAAGTCAGAGCTTGAAGCGGAGGGACAGCAGTGGAAGCGATGCTTCTACAAGTCGAATACCTGTATCTTATACACCGTCGCTTTCTAGGAAACAGAGGCCTAAATTAGAAAGACACCAAAGCTTGGTAATGCTCTTTTATTTTAATGTTTAGCATGTTTTAGTATGAATTTATTTCCTTACAGATCAACTAACCATAGGCAATCTTACTTCATCATTTAAAACAGCAAAACTCTTACTTTAAGATATAAATATTAACAATGTTCTCATACTGTTTTTTAAAGTTATTTTATATGAATATTAACTAAGGGTATGAATTTCTGATAGAGGTCAAATTTGTCATGCGACTTTCTTGCTAACATTTTTATTTTAAATTTAAATACATACATAATAAGGAAAAAACAAAACTTGTTTGCCTACATTTTTGGATTTATTGGTTAATTTTTGTTAGCAATGCTTGTCTTCAAACTCAAGAGGCCGAAGCCCCAAATATGACGACGATAATGAGTCTTTAAGGAGTGGTTTCAGCGGCTGTAGCAACGTTTCACAATGCGACCATGCTCATTTCGCCAGAAACGGAACAACGTACAGCGGCCGGTCGAAAAAATTCATCGTTCACTGTTCACCCACACACTTGGACTCGGACAAATATTTGACCCCGACCCAGAGAGCAAATGCAACAATCAAAAGGCTTCAGGTATATTGTAAAAATAAAAGTGCAGCAATAAAAAAAAAAGGATTACAGTTATATGTAACTTTTATGTAATTCTAACTGCATGAGTTGTTAATGACCTCAGTGAAGGGTAACTACATCCTTCTTTTGTTCCAGCCAATTTAACCAGAGTTATGCTTCTATTAGAAATATAACAGTTCCTATTTTTTTTTCTTAAAAAAAAAGATTAAATTCTAATCAAATCTTCTTCATAGTCCATGTTACAAGAATCTCAGGCCGACATCGCTGAAAAGGAAAATGAGATTGCCAGGCTGACTAAAGAACTGGTGGAACTGAGGCTGGTTAAAACCGAGGAATTATCAAATGGCCATTCTCCTGGTGGGGGGTAACTAACTTAATAACGTAGCTATTAGCGTAAAAACTTTCAACTCAATTTTATGTGTGCTAACTTAAAATTTTTTCATTTATTTTCTTTCTCTTTTTTAATTTTTGGGAAACCCATGTGTCTACTAAAACTTAATTTTGCAATTTAATTGCCAACTATAGAACATTATAACTATTGAAGTTACTAATTTATTTAAAAAGTTATTGCTAATAAAAAAATAAATAAAAATTAATATGTGAAACAGTAACTGCTTAGAAAAAAAGTGTGAGAAACAAAGTTATTTTACCTTTGAAATAAACAATGATGTGAAATGCAGTCAAAAACTTTTTAAATTTTATTTGTCACACAATTAGAAATTTTAGAAAGACAAGTAAAATAAAGAAAGACTAGTTATTTTTCCAGGTAACCAGAAAAGTTCATGTGGTTTTTCATTTGTTATTGCTTTAATACTGTTAATAAACATTCTATTTACATAGGAGGATCAGAGTTTACATCATGTAATACCTAGAGGATAATGTGTCAGTTTATAAAGAAATGTCTTGAACAGTTCACTTATAAATTATAATTTATAACTACACTATAAACACTATACATTATTAATGTGTTAATTATAACACTAATATTATAAATTATTTTCTTTCTCAGGGCTCCAAAACTCATATTTTGTACCATTGTATAAATTTAAGCCCGGTACTAGGGGGCAGTTAGTAAAATTTGCACTACTTTCGGTGATGAAACAATATGAGTTGCATTGCTTAAAAGTACTTTAAAAAATTCGCTTCTGGGTAATAAGTGGATTGAAGATGAACGACAGTCTGCTAGACCTTCAGTCTTGAATTGAGGGTAGCTATCGACTTTGATTCAAGTCAAACATGTCAATAGCTTGCTAGAGTGTACAACGTGGAAGCTGAGGAAATAAATTGACCTACAGTAACAAGCTTCTTAGCGATTCTCTTAGTGTTCTTAAAATTTGCCTTTCATAGCTTCCATGGCACAAAGTTAAGTTTTTTCGTCACACGTGTCTAAAAACAGATCCTGTACAGTTGCACCAGGGGTTTGTACTAAATGGCCCTGTCTTATTGATGTGAAAACCAAATATTCACCAATGACCAATCTGATGCTTTATGGTGGAGTAAGGCAAGCATTGTGTACTATAAACTCCTGCCACTTGGCCAGACCATTATCGCAAAAATCTACTCAAACCAACTGCAACGGGTGTCTCTTCCCCAGAAACAGCCTGCTCTACTAAACAGAAAAGGTATTTTTTCACCAGAACATGAGACATACAGCCAGAATGAAAAAATGAGGTGACAACGAATGTTGGTATGGGAAGTCATACCACACCCAAAGTACTTTCCAGACCTGGCCCCATTTGACTTTCACCTTTCCTTATCAATGGATATTTGGAATCGGTAGTACCAAATGATGGAAAATGAACTGAATTTATTTTTTAAATCCCAGGATCCAAACTTTTATTAGGAGGGCAGTACTGGATTAGTAAGCAGGCTAGGCATTACTCATTAAGGTTATAGACCCAATGAAGACCTTCCATGAATAAAATATTCTAAAGTAATTTTAATTGCAACAAGGATTAAACTGTTAAAGCTGCATGAATTTATATGGTTGCCTGTTCTGTTTGAATTTAATGCATCTTAACTTTAATAGGTAAACAAATTTAAACAAGTATCTTTTTTGACTTTTGTTTATGCGTTATTTGAAATCAGACTGTAATAAATGCTGAATTAGCTTGAAAAGCATTTAATTAAAAAATAAATAAACTAGTAATCGTTTGAAAGTAAATAAATAAAAAATGTTAATTTGTAATTCATAATAAAAGTTTTGCTCTTATTCCAATTAATATAGTCAATTATTGCTATATTTCGGCTAAGCAAATATGGATTGCTCTGTTTATGTTAATTTTGAACCATTTATGATACATTTTCAATTTTAGGGAACTGAGATTAACCATAGATCCAGTAGGAAGGCAAACTCTAGAGACAACGTCATGTTCCCTTGCAGATTCTGGTCATTTTGAAGAGCTGAGCCTGAGTCCCCATCCCTCACCACGGAATGCACCTAACGGTGTGCAGGAAAATGTAAAAAGAACTCAGAACTTGGTTAGATTATTGTTAATTAAATTGAATGCTCACTTTAAGTAGTATGATTTTTAATTTGAAAATTTTTTTATTTCAGGTACATTCCACGCCAGAAACGTTTAATAATAGTAGTAGAATTGATTTGTTGGTTCACAGGCTTGCAGAGGCTAATGATAGGTAATTCTGAAAATATATTTACATAAATCTAATGAAATTTGTTTATGATTTTGCATGTTGTTCAAAATATTTTTATACATCTTTTCTTTTCATTTTTTAGGTACTATGAAATGAAGCCACAATATGAAGGGCTGAAAAAACAACTTGAAGAATTGCAGCAGTCTAAGGACGAAATTGAAAAGAAATTCACTGAGAGTGAGGAAAGGCATAAATCCACGTATCTACAGTTATTCAACAAAGGACAAGAGGCGGCAATATTTCAAGTATATTTTACATCGTTTGACGATGAATCTCCTCTAATAATACAATATTTTAGGTCGATGACATGACTGATGGGCCTAGCAAAGCTGAAAACCTTCCTAAACTGCTGAAAGAGCTTGAAGTCACTAAATCGGAGCTTGAAAGTGTTAAGGTATAATGAACTTTCACAATTTAAAAAATATACATTTTTATTTATTTTGATGTTGTACATTGATATTTAAATTCAATACAATATTTAATTAGTACTGATTTTTTTGCACAAGCTAAAATTAATTTTGATCCAGCCGTTTGTCCCCCTAGTTACGTTTTTGATCAAATTTCATTTTTAATTTTGAAAGTATAAAAGGTAGTGCGTTTAAATTAAAACAATGCTCATATTTAAATAAAAGTATTAACTTTTCTGAAAGAAGAAAAATCATACTTCCTTTTATATCAAATATTATTCAGTTTGTTGTTTTCCCCGTACTAACATTGGGAATTTTTGTTTTGGGTGGGATTTTTTTTTTTTTTTTGTACATCACAGGATGTAGATTTCTGGAAGACGCACGGGTCGTTAAGTGGAAAGGAGGCTGTTTCTATCTGGAACCTTTGCCGAAAGGTTTGTATCCAAAGTGAAAAAAGACAACAATCAAATGACAAGAAGTTAGCACGCAAAGAACGATGTTTGCTTTATACCTGGCACTCACATTTGTAATAATAAATCCACCCCTCTGCATGAAATGCCTTGGTTTCTCTTGTTTTCATGTCGTAGTGTTTTAATTTAACCAGTCCGGTTTTACTTATTCACTCCGTAGGAATTTAAATTATATTTATATTGAACGCCTGGTCTTCAAGGTGATTAAAACAAAATAAAAATAATTATTCGTAATAATTTAAATAATTTAAAGTTTATGAGAATGTAATTAAATATATTTCTAAGTGTTGAATAATGATAAGGGAAGTAACTAACAAAGCGAGGCTAGGGACATGAGATCTCCGAGTTTAATGAAACCTTTTTTTTAAATAATAGGTCGAAAAATAGGAAGCTCTGTGAGACTGTTCTTTTCAATGAGTTTAGAGCAAAAAAAGTTATTTTTTTTTTAAATAAGGTTTTTCTGGTTTTGTTGTGCATGTATTTCAAGGGTATTATGTATTAGTTGATATGCTTTTTCCTTTAGGATAAGAAAATAATAAGTAGGAGCATATTAAACGAATGAGATCAAATATATAAAAAGTTACAAAAACCACGAGACGTGTTCTGTAAAATATGTCAGAATAGAAGTGAACAATACAACAACAAGAATAAACAAATTTTCATTGTAATAAAAAATAGACATTTTTGGACTGTTTCCCTGGGGACAGTTTTTTCTACTGATGTCCGGTGTTCCACCTAAAAGTTTATAACTCCTCTGAACCGTATTCTAAATGAACATACGACTGTTGGAAAAGTGATTATTTCTTCTTTCAGGCTATGTCAGCAACATTAAGGTATAATGCTCAAACATTTTATTTTATTTCTCCAGGTTTCAATATATTTACAGAGGCAATGTTTGTGCCATTATGTGTTTTATAGCATTCTAAACCCCCAGTAAAGTTTCCATTAGATCTAAAAAATAAATATTTAAACCAACTTAGCTATGTCGTTTAGTTACAAATTATGTATTTCAGTATCAACAATACCAAACACAATTTAACATAGTGAACGAGCAACTAAATAGGTTAATTTTAGCAAGAAACAAAATTTATATTTGTTCTTTTGTACCTTTGCTCAAAATTTTTTTAATTTTGGACTGACTTTGGACAAACTTTGGAATGACTCCACCAAAAACTATTGTGGTTTGAGACCTACACTTAATGGCACAAGCGTAGCCTCCATAAATAAATTAGAATCAGAAATACAAAATGAAGTATTTTTGTTGATTTCATCCTTATGAATCCTTGAAATCTAAAAGTCATTGACATAGGCAGAAAAAAGAATAGGTTTTCCACTGGTTGAATGCTATTGAATTTAGATAAAACCGAGAAGAGTTACGAATTTTAAAGTGGAAATCTGAACACCAAAGGAAAAAATACACCCAGCTAATACTGTCTAAAAATATCTATTTTTAGATTGCCAGAAAAATTTGTATTTAAGCTCTTTAAAGAATTTAAAGGTTGCTTAAATATATCCAAATTTGACCTACTTTCGGAAGGATCTTTTCATTATTGTGTAATGTTTTATTTATCTTCTCTCAATTAAGAAGAATAATTGTTTGTAATAATCTTACTTATTATCTTCTCATCACACACTGCAAAGGCAGAAAAACTTAATTAAAAAAACAAAACAAAAAAAAAGCATGTAAATCACTTTTAAAACAATTCTTGTCATCTAATATTTTTTCACCTATTATAAAAAAAGTTTATTAAAATTGGTGATCTCGCATCTGTAATCTCTTGTAAATAAAGTAAACCCTGTTGTATATGTTAAAATAATTTATGGGAAGTGACAATGGATGCTGTCATAATTTTCAGAAATCTGCTGTGCAGGGATTGTTTGGTCTAACAGTTTTCTCATGAACACTGGATAATAATGTATGGTCTTGAAGAAAAAGCAAATTCACTTGTTACTACCAAGCTTTCGACCTATTTTAAAGTCATCTCAAGGCAAAAAAAATTTAAATATGTCTACAGATTGACATATTTAAGTTTTTTAAAGTTAGTTAAATTTCTTTGAAGGACGACTCAGTAAAAAACTTAGCCTGTAAAAACTTAAATAAGTCAATCTGTAGTCATATTTAAGATTGTTCTGCCTTGATGATGACCTTAAAATAAGTCAAAAACTTGGCAGTAACAACTGAATTTGCTTTCTTCTTCATAAAAACTAAAAAGTCATTAAAAAAAACCCTAACCATCCTCAAGACCAAACATTGATCCAGTATTCGTGAAAGAAAAATGGTCTCTATTTCTAACATTAAATAACAAGCGTTCATACAAATCCAGTATGTTTTTGTTTTTAAACTGTTACTGAATTTTTTGTTCGTAATTACTTTTTAACAGTTACGAATTTGATTAAAGTTTAAAGGAATGGACTTATATGGCGACTTTATAAATATATTTTTCTTTGTCTGTGAAGTTCAACTGGAATACAAGTTCCAGTACACTTTATATAATTTATCACTCAACTTATGTTTATTTTGGGGTTTGTGGTCTCTTGCACACATCTAATTAGAATAAATTACTACTACTTAAAAAATAAAACATGCACTCTTGGCAAAAGATATCCTTATTAATAATTACAAATTCCATTTTATAAACAAAATTTATTCTAAATGTAATTTGTGCACCGTAAGCTCTATTAAGGTGTCACATTTTCTTTTAATCTTTATTACAGGTGACACTAAGCAAACTTTTTTAAGATAAGAGAAGCCCAAAATATTGCACGTTAAAAAAATAAAATAAAAAGTAATAAAAAATAAAATTCATGCTAACAGATGTAACCTAAATTGTTTCCATGAATGATTTAAAACAAAATTGTATAAACGATAAAATTTTGAACCTAAAATGGTAATAACTGCATTAATCCTTCTAACAAACCTTGAATGCTTTTTTCTCTTTAACTTGTAATATTTTTTATTTTTAAATTTTATTTATTTATTTTTTTATTTGGAAACAGTCTGATAAACCCACGAATTTTTATTATAAACAGCTAGCTAGTTCTTGTTTTTTCCTTTTTAATTAAAACTTTAAAGAAGTTTTGGTGTTTATAAATAACAAATTATTTTACTAATAATCGCATGTTTGATTTCTTTTAAAAACCATTTAGTCTATTCTTAGGTTTTAGATTGCAATTATCGTAATTTTTTTTTAGATTTTTCTTAGAAATCTATTTTGCTTTCTGATTATGTAAATTGTACATCAGAATCTTTTTATTTTTTTGTATTGCTTCTTTTCGTTTCAAATTTAGACGTTCAAAGGACACTGTGAAGTAATGATAGAAACAGCCTCTAAATTGGTATGTTAATTTATTTTTGTCTGCCAAATTTAAATCCCAAGGTTAAATTTTTGTAATAAGGGTAAGTCGATATTTTCTTTTTAATCGTTTTGCTTTGCTGTATCATATTAAACCTCACCTTTTTATTTTGGGCTTCAAATTTAATAAATTATAAAACAAAAACCAATGTACATTTTGTAAATATGCATGTTGTTAATTACACAATTTTTAAAAAATGTAATATATAGAATATTTTTGCTGTTGTTGATCTGTTGCATCATGAATAAATTGATCGTGATTTATTATCAATTTCTGAATAGAAATGTTAGAAAAATGATAAATTACTGCATAATAGTAGCCACTTGCTGAATTCATTTATATTACATTTAATTTGATGTAATATAGTCTTTTATATCGGGCTTTTAGATACATTAGAGCTAGACTAAGTCGTAGTAGCTGTAATTTTATTAGACGAGATAATTATAAATGTTGATTATATGACCTTAAGGTCTGGTTTCTTGGTTAGTTCAGGGTTTGAAGAAAAAAAATCAAAACTGCTATTATGTGTCAAACAAAGGGTGTGACCTCATACCTCATGATAAACTGTTCAAAAAATTGTCTAATCTAGGAGAAAGTAAATTGGACAGAATAAATAAAAACTGTACAAGTCTACCAGAATTAGTATAGAATCCTATCAGATCCGATTAACATCACTAAGGGAATTTTGCAGGGTGAAAAGCTAAGCCCACTCTTTTTATCACTTTTTTGTCAGATATAATTAAATTCTTTCATAACCATAGTGCAGAAGGCATTAGTGTTAACAATATGGCAGATCTAATGATAATGTTAGTTACCAAAAAGCAGGGTTTGTGCTCTCCGAGAACTGCAGCCTTCTGGCTTATTGTACCGACTAGTTCAGTGCAATTGACTTAATCCTTAGAATTATTAGGTCATTGACTGTCGCTGCCTTTTTTTAATTTTTGTTTATTTATTTTTATTTGTTTGTCTTCATTGAGCCGTTGCTTTGCATTTGAAGATGGTACGGGTGGCTGTTAACTGGAACCAAATACTCAGAACCTATGGGAAAACTACACTAGTATCTTCCAAGCTGAGGTTCATGTAATCGAAAGATGTACCCAATTCAATCTGAATAAAGAGTACAAAAACAAGAAGAATAGCTATCATGTCAGATATCCAAGCAGCCATCAAAGTGCTAAGTCCAAACACCATTAGCTCAAAGATGGCGCTGAGTTGCAAAACCAACAAATTAGGTATGCAAAACAAAGTCATCTGCTAGGTTCCAGGACATGTAGGAGTAGAAGGCAACGAGAAAGCAGATGCCTTTGGAAGGAGAGGGTTAATACCGCTGATAGGACCCGAGCCCTTCAGTGGCATAGGAATGCACTCTATCAATGAGCATCTCAGACAGAAGGATAAAAAGAAAATGAGGGAACAATGGAACTCGCTCATTGGACACAAACAGTCCAAGAACCTGTTTGTCGTTCCACCAGTGGATTCTCTTTTTGTTGGTGTAGGTGGTTTGAGGGCAGGCTTCATGATATGAGTTTATTATAACTTCTTATATTTGCGTAGAATGTAACGTGTAATGTGTTAGCTCAATATCGTGGGTATTTTTAATGTTAGCCATTGTAGTTGATGTATTTCCCCCAGTAACTCGCCGTATTTCTCCCAATTTGTGTTTCGGGGGTTTCAACCCACATTACATGTTTTACCCAATAATGTGCTTTCCATGTAGGTTGATGGTCTGAGTTTGATATAAATCAATTCACTAATCCAGTTTGTAGTACAGCGAGTAGCAAAGGTAATATCAATAATTTCTTGTCTTCAGTTAGTTACAAATGTCAGTTCAGAGCCTTTATTAACAATACTAAGATTGCTAGTACAAATTCTAAAAGCTTCTCACCTCTTTTGTTGGTGTTTTTGCTGTTTCATACCTCATTGTGCGAGTTAGCATCGGCTCCAATGATTAGCTACTTTGCCTGCAGTATTGTATCAAGCCATCAGTTTCCTTTGTCGGTAGAGGTCCTATTGAGTCATAGGGCATGTAGGTTGAGGCTATCATCATATTCGTCCTGACTCCTTCCTTTATATATTTAATCTAATTACTGTTTTGTCCCTGGAACAGAGCTCGTAAGTGAAAAGACATGGTAGTTCATTTTTAATTGAAATGCATGTTCTTATGCTTTGTTGCGTGTGGTTATATATGATTTTTCTTCCCTTACCTCCCAATCCAGCTACTCTACTTTTTACTAGCCAGGGTTTCTTAAGGGCTACAATTGATGATGTACTCCTTGGCCACATGAGAAGCATTTGTTGCAGCTTTACTGTCCTGTAGGTTGCTTGAAGCACCCTCAGCATCAGTTTTTACTGCTTTTTTCATGACCCTTAGGGTTATCATTGCAAAGCCAAGATGCAGTTTTAAGTTGGCTTTGCTTAGAGCCCTAAAGGATTTCTATACAAGTTAGACACAAGTGTTAGACCTTTACTTTCTATTCTCTGACTAATGACCCTCCATACCTGAGTTTTGCGATTTAATCAGCCCAAGAATAGTGGCAGTGTTCGTAGCACCAATATGGCCACTCTAGAGGTTTTTTTATAAACCCTGATGTAGGCCCCCTACAGAAGGTGGATAAGAGGTACAGTTTCCATAAGCCATTCCTTGGCAGTTTGGTTCTTGCAGGAAAGCCGCTTTTTGAATGTACTGTAACTGATCCTTTGGAATTTTTGCACCTCCAAACCTCCGCTATGATGGCCCACTGGAGGCCCTGCTCTGTTAGGCTGTTAACTCTTTGTCCAGGTATTCTTCCAATACAAAGCGATTTTTAGCGCTTTGAGGCCTTGCTGATAGGTCTCATTGCCCTTCCAGCCTACTATGTTGATGGGGGTTTGGTTTATTCCACATCATTGGGGCTGGATTGTGAGATTAGAGTAGGGATTGAGGTAGGAAGAGGGGTAAGGTGTGGGCATAGGGTTTAGGAGGTGACAGGACCAGGTCCAGTTCCTCCGTACTCCTCTTGATTAACAATGGGTACAATGTGAAAGTGCAAAGTCATATTAGAGACATAGTATCACAAATCTCCTAATGAAGGTGTAGCCATAACTGCGTATTCATAGAAGGATCTGCCGCTGTGGTTGGAACACTAGATGTGAATGTACAAAAAACAATGTGCCTGTTCAGAAATCAGGATCGGTTAGACTGAAAAGACCTCTACGCTACAATGATATACCCCTGGTAGTTTCTTTTTTTATCCACTAGAAAATTAAGAAAAACAGCGTAAAACTGTCATGAAGAGTAATGTTAGAATCCCTATAGTTTTAAGTATATTTGTTTCCTACAAATCTTAAAAATGGGATTTTAAAAATGAATTGTTCAAAACATTGGTTCGTTCAGTTCTGCTGTATGGGGGACAGATCTGGGCTCCATGTTTTGCAGATGAAGTTGTAAAGGTACAGCTAAGGTTCCTAAAAACCTTGCTATATTTACCAAAAAATTGTTGTAGTGCCTGAGAGACCGTTTCCTACCCTTAAAAGTCACTATTTTTGACCAAATTCTGGGTAAAGTTGCTCTCCCTCCCTGATGATCCTATCCAGAAACATTGTTAAGTAGTCTAGTCTGACATATGGAAAACAAAAATATTTCATTTAATTGGGTACAAACACTAAAACAAAACAAAAATCTCAAGATGATTGCTGCCCGATGTATTTGTGGGTATCACAAAGTGCGGCTACAGTATTAAAAAAAATCAGATTCAATTATAAAATTTGAAAATAACTCATTTGTATTATCATTATTAATTTGAATTAATTGTTCAGAAACATCTCAAATACTGTAAAGATATTTATTTAATTTGAATATAAATAAATTATGCTTTTTATTTAAGGTCTTGATTGTAATAAAAAGCTAGTGTAGCAAGTGGGATTCGAACCCACGAACTTTGGCTCATTATGCCGCTGGTCTAACCACTTGAGACTCCACTCAGACACCAACTCCTCATCTCACTCTACAACCTTTTGAATTTTCCCTCTTTTTGCCAGTTCAAATGCCATATAATCAGGATTCAATTCTGACTTATGAAGTCAGGGAGCTGTTAACGAAGGGATTACTTATTTAATTAATATATTAATATATGTATGTTTACAATGTTAATTATTTAATTAATTATTCTTTTTATCCAAGGTCTTGGTTGAGATGAAAAGGTAGTGTCATGAGTGGGATTCGAACTAAGCTTGTCGAAGCTGATGGACATGGGTTCGAATCCTGCTCGTGACACTAACTTTTTCATCTCAACCAAGACCTTAGATAAAAAAGTATAATTGATATGGTAAATTATAACTGCAAAACATATATGGATAATATAAGAATTTTAGAAAGGGAATATATTGGGAAAAGAATATTTTCAATAGCTCAAGTGGTTAGAGCAGTGGTGTATTGAGCCGAAGGTCGTGGGCTTGAATATTAGCTTTTTCACCTAAACCAAGATCTAAAAAGTATAATTAATTAAAATAATTAATATGATCATTTATGACTGCTAAATACATATATGGATTAATTTAGATTAGAAGATTAGAATGATCAACCATCCAGTGACCAATACCCTACATTGTATTCCATAAATTCTCTCAAGATGGTCTTTGCCTCACTTGTTTTAATAGAGTAAAGGCTGATATGTTGCATTTTTTGTTGACTGTCCTTTTTTCAAATAAAAAAATATTTCCCACCGAACTCTATTCATGAAAAATTGTTATCTCAATTCCATACTAATTTACTGAGCAGAAAGCCAATGAAAAAACTTAAACCTTTACTTAATTGATTCTCTTCAAAAATCGAAAGATAAAATTTGCTTGCTATAACTGAATTAAAGATTGATATTGTGTGCTTCACTCGCAGGTTTGTCGAATTACTCAAACGTGTTTCGGCACTTTGTACTTGACTGAAGGCACGATGCCAAAATGCGTTTGAGTAATTTAAAAAACCTGCAAGTGAAGACAGACCCAATAAGTGGCCCGTGCCTGTTCAGCATAAAATAAAGATATTAGGTTTATGTTTATTTGTCTCTGGAATTCTCTTCTTTATGCAGTATAAATCTCATGATATTTTGTACAAATTTCTCTCGAAGTCAAATTGGCAGACAAATTATCATTATTAAACAAATTTTCCTCGCCTCTAAAAAACAAAATTTACCTAAAAAGAAAAAAAAATTATACATTGTAACTACTGTACTCAAACTATGTACCCAACTTCATTTTGTACAAGACTCTAATTCTTAAACAAAATAAAGATTAAGGTTACATGGCAAGCTTTCGCCTGAAGAGGATGATCTTATAAAGGTCTTCGCAAGTAATTGCAAGGCTTTTTTTCATCAAACCCTGGCTAAACCAGATCTCCAAATCATATACTACCCGTGATTGATCAATTTAGGCCATAAGTAGATAACATGTGATTAAGGCAAATCCATTAAAAGAAGTAGTAAAGGAAAAACTAATTGTTTTACGAATGCTATTCCTTTCAAAATTCAATTATATTACACTTATATTTGTAATAAATTAACCTTTTGTTTTACACTAATAAAAATATTTCAGACCATGTACAGGAGGCTGTTGGAAAGTAATAAATCCAAGGGTGAACAGGAGGCGGAAGTGACGCTCAAGTTTCTTAAATCAGCGTTTTATTATTTCCTGACTGATAAGGAGAACACGACAGGCCACTTGGCTGCCATACAGAGCATCCTTGGCTTCACTCCAGACGAAAAACAAGCGATTGAAAAAGCTTCCTATGGGTGGAAGTAGAAATTTCCTCTTGTGATTTTTGTTTCCTTGACGTGTTTATGTTACCATGAGGCCTAGTGCCAAGTGTTCCTTCTCCGAGTGATTTGAATTATTGGTTTGTAAAAAAAAATATATTTTTTAGTATAGCTCATAAATTACTACTATTTGAAATATTAGGTGTTGTGTAATGTGGAAGCTGTTAAAACATCTTCTTATGCTTTCTTTTATTTTCTATAAATTCATTAGCTATACTGATAAGTTTGGGTTGTTAAGTCCGTCCAAAAACGGTGTTTAAATTTGTACTGAGGATGTCAGGATGCCAAGTATATTGCCTTAATATCGAAACATAGACTGTATTTTCTTAGGATTTCTAGGAAGTCAACGGTTGATTCGGGTTAGGTAGTAAAACAGACATAAGTGATAATATATAATGTAATGTAATACTCACTATTTGTTTTAATTATTTATTCTAAGGCAACGTGTTGATATTTAGTTTTATATTGTTATTCTATGTCGTATATGCAATTTGTTTTAAATATTTATATTTGAACTGTTAATTTGCTTTCAATCCACATCACAATTGCACATATCAAAAATAATTTTGTTTTGGACCAAAACCTTGACTTAATATTTGTAAAACATATTGGTCAAGTGAAAAGCAAGTAAATTGGTGTTGGTTTGAGTTTTTGTAAAGATTAATTTTTAAAAATTTCAATCTAAAAAAATCAATAATATTTACTGTATATAAAACAATTTTGGTTTTCAAACTCTCAATTTTATCATGGCTTGATCTAACTATACCATCTACTTTATAAGTGTTTTAATAATATATTATAATATATAATAAATTTTTTTTTTAAATTTAGAATATGCAATCTAGTCTGTTTGTTAAAACATTAGGACATGGTTTTGGTCTACTATTGTTTGTATGATACCTACGATGATAACAAATATTACACAATGTGTCGCTTTCAGTCACTTATTGAAAAATGGAAAATAAAATTCCCTTTTTTCAAGTTGCATACATTATTACAAATAAATCCTTTCAAGTTGTATTATTTGTATTGGTTGATTTGTTTTGTAAGCTCAAATAATTTTACTTTGATGCGTAAAATTGTTTAAAATTCATCTTGTTGTCTATAAAAAATATATATATTTATGTGTTTGAACTTTTATGTTTAATTTTATCCCTTAAGGTGTGCTCTCAAAATTCAACTTTTGTTTCTATTGTGAGAACTTTAGGTTCAACAGATACCAGTCAAACTTTTGTCATTCGAGTCATAAGTTGGTCATTTTGAGCAGGAATACGACATGAAATGTGTGAACGTCTCAATTGGTTGTTCAACCTTTCCGCATGTTGTGTTGATTTAAAAACAAGCCTCTGGTTTTGAAGTGTGATGCTAAAATGGTTGGAATTTTGTCATAAGTATCACTGCCTTTGGAATCACCAACTTATTTAATATATATTATTTAAAAATACGGATTTGAAAGAAAATTCTTTTTGTTCAATTGTCATAGAAGGGGATCACAGTTGGCATGTGGTAAGTGGGTTACTGTCGTAGATCCTGCTGTCTTCGGTTCAGTTCCTACCAACCCATTAGAGCGTAGCTTTTAAATTATGATAGTAACTTATATTTATGATGGTAACTTATACTTTTCAGCTTTCAAGTTTATGGTAGCTACTTATACTTGGCAGCTTTTAGGTTCATTATCATATATAAGTTTATAATCTCAACTTATACTTTTTCAGTTTTTGAGTTTATGATCACACCTTATATTTTTCAGCTAACAAACTTATTAGTGTGCTATTTTATAGACCCTGGTTTTTATTTGTTTTTTTAAATTCTTCCCTTGTAAATAATAAATATGATAATACTACATACACTGCTCTGGCTAATATGTAATGACAAGGGAATTTAAAATTGGAAATTGTCAACGAATTGGAAATTGCCAGATTCACTATTCAAAATTAAGAAGTTTGCCCATTTACCTGGGATTACAAGTCAATTCTGGTATTTTTAGTACAAAATTTGCATTCATGATTTATGAACTCTACAGCATAATGATGACATTTGTTTTTGAGTGTACAAATAAAGATGTGGGAGAGTGTTGAGTTCTATCATAAAAAAATGTAATTGTCAAACTAACTATGCCTGATTTAGAAAAAAAAAATATATACACACACATATATATATTTTTTACATATATATATTCCACGTTTTGATACTTTTGTATTGTTTGAAATGTTGAAAAAAGTATTATTAATTCTAAGTCAACATTTGCTAGTTTTTAACAAACAAAATGCCGTTATTTCCAACATACCTTGAAGAGAAAGTATATATATATATCCTATCAACTCGGCGTCCCCTCGAAGAAATTTTACATTTAAACCGGCGTCCAGGGCAAAACAGCGTCCATATTTGGACGCCAATTTGCCAGGCCAGTGCTTTCAGCTCACCATCATCAGGCAAGACACGTACCAATTTTCAAGTGGATGTCCAGATTGCACTTTGTGCCAATATTTGAATATTAATAGTTGAATAATAATATAAAATGTATTGCTTATCAATATTTTCCTAATAAAGTAAAATAAGAAGCAAGAAAGGATAAAACAAATATATTAAATTGGCCAAATTCATTTAACAACTGTCAACTATGTTACATTATTTCATGTATTTGTGCGAGATAAAATAGAGCTTGTAAAATATTAAAGTTCTTGAAACAAAATAAATGCCTTCAGTTTTTCTTCCTTGAGATGAAATCGGTCGCGATAAAACTTGATTTTTTTGAAACATTTCATGTGATAAAAGTTATTCCTTATTCTTTCAAATCATATTTCATTAATAGAAATTTAAAATCCAAGTATTGTTTTGCCAAATATAACTTTTCTTCATCTTCCATACAGTTAGTGCTGTCTTCGATGAATAATTTTTGCAAAATGGGGTTCGGCTGAAATAAACGCAAATGCTTTTTCACAGCAGGTATATTATTAGTTCTGCTGGTTTTGGTCAGCGAGTAATTTGCAATTTTTTTATCACTGAAGCCGTAAACGAATTTCAAATGTTCTTTAATGCTTAGCAATAAATGACATCCATTTGAACTGGCTGAGACGTTTCGAAGTTTTGTCAGATCGTTTGGTATCAATTGGATGATCGTTTCTTCATCGTCAGTATCTTCGTCGTCAATATTTGCATTATGCAGTGTGAAGGAATCGCTATAGGCATGCATCAAATTTAAACCGTGTACGGACATAAAAACATTGATTTGATGCAAAACATATAAAACATCGTCTTGCGTTTTATAAGTAAAATGGCCCAAATTATCAGCGAAATAAATCAATTTTGACAAGCTGTTTTTTCTATCCGGTTCAAATTCTCGGATTATAGTCAGAAGTAGTGACCTTCTATGTTTGTACATTTCTAAAAGCATGTACAGATAATTGTTCATAGCGACAGGCTCGTTGTTGACAGTTTTGTAGCCTCGAACTACTTGAGTTTGTAAGAAAGTTTGCAGTTTGTAAGATAATTTCATTCCGCTTTGAACTTTCATGTGAACATATCCTGGATATTTTGACTCTATTTCTGCTAATAATTGTTCAGCATTCGATCGAATTTCAACCCCTTCTTCTACAGTCATAGAGATAATATACGGGACCAATGGCAAGGGATGAACTAGCCCTTGGTTCACTGCCACTTTGACAATTTTAAAAGCCCAATATCTAACACCTGAATGTGCATGTTTGAGGGAGACGAAAATGTCTTCTAAATATAATTGAAGCACAGTACTGCTGATTCCCGATTCTAAGTCATTCATCTCTTTTAGATTCTCCTTTTTTGATTGTTTTAACCAATTTTTTTCTTTGTCAGCCATTTTATTGTCTACTTCAGTAATAAATGATCCAATGTTTCGTAATACCTGTATTTTTAAATTAAGCGGTGTCTCACCGTCAATTAGAGTTTTGTGATATATTGACTTCAAATCTTCTTTTAGCAGTAACTTAGTATAACGGATACAAATGGCTCCGAATGCTTTTAATGTGAATAAAATTGAATCACTATCATTTCTTATAAAAAATATAAATGAACTGTATACTATATCTATCAAGTCATGAGGGAATTTATCCTTTAGTAAATCTACATTATCAAAATCAAAAAACTGTAGAAACAGCCCTATTGACAATACTGTACGACTAAATTTCAGTTTCCACCTGTCTATGCATTGATCCATGGAAGATTTCTTCAATTCAAAATCCAAAAGTTTTTTATAATTTTTAATGTATTTGAACAACGAATCAAAGTTCTCTACTACTAAAGCATAGTTGTGAGAAACTTTATTGATAATTGTTGAGAGAAATGACATGCAGCTGTATATGATTTTCGGTTCCTGATTGAGAATCAATTTTGTTGAGTCTTTTTCTAAAGAGGATATTAATGACAAATCAGGGTTTTTGATTAAAGGTATGACTAACTCTAGGATCTTTGCTACACATTTAACAATCGTCTGCCCTTCTAATGTTTGGCAACTGAATAGTAAGTTAGCATGGAGAGTTTCAATGTAAGGTATAAACAGCTTTGGGCACACTTTTGCAAACTTTAGCAAAATAATAAAACATGTCGTCTTTGCTGTTAAATCGTTAGTTTCACTTTTCTCGAACAGCTTACCGATCATCTGCTTTGCTACATTAATCATCGTTTTTGTAGTTTGTTCACTCGATGAAAATAAATTTTCTAATAAATTTTCAAAGGGTTCAAGTTCAAACATGTCTGCTTCCATGACTGTTTTTACCATATGGTCGACTCTTTTTTGAACAGTGTTCGATTCTAAATTAACTGGTGAAAACCAGATCTGTTGGAACAAATCTAACACAGATTTTTTAATTGTTTCTTCATCGTTTATCCGCTTTATTATTTTATTGCAAATTTCAGGTATGATTGGTAGATCGAGGTTATGCAAAACGATTTCGTTCAATGTTGTAATGACTTTCTTTCTCACGCTTAAACCGACATCAAGAATTCTTGACATAATCATATCCACATATATATCTATGAATTTGTTGTTTTTCAAAATGAACTTTCCAAGGAGATCCAAAATAGCTTCCCTCACTGAGATGGACGAGTCATATAAAGAATATTTTACAGCCAGTTGGACGTGTTGGACATCTAGAATATTAGGGTTTTCATCTATAATTAATGAAAGTACTTTAATAACTTTTGTGCGAATCAAAACAGAATGATCCTTGAGTACAGTTACAATTCGTTTCAAGTACAGGTCAAAACTGTGAAAAAATTGTCTTTTAAAGTTAAAATGATATAAGAGAGTAGAAGCAGAATTGTAATCCAAATCGGGAATATGAACTTTTTCATGAACTATCCGAGGTGCAAAATTTTCTTGATATACTTCATTATACCACTGTACAATAGTGAAAAATTGAGCAAACTTTAAGAAAGAGCCAGTGCTTTTGGCTGATTTATAATATCTCAATATTGCCTCTTCGAGTAGATCAGTTTTCACGATTCCACTGGTTTCTGGTTTGCCCTGTATCAATAAAATTATTTTTGAAATACGAGTCTTGAGCGATTCATATTTTATCGCTTCCTTTTGCAACATGACCGCTATGGATCCTAAGTAGTCCAAGCACATCACTTTAAAATGAACTTCACTATGTTTGGAAGCAAAATTGACCAATATTAATCCTAAAATACTTAACACGAATTCTGCAGCAGGCCATTCTAGTTTATTTATGTTTAAAACTAGTTGTTGTACAAAACAGTTAAAAATTGGTATGTAATTATTTTCTGGTTGAGTTTTACACTTTTCTAAAAAAGTAGTTAAAAAGTATGTTGTTAAATTTTTATCCGTATCAAAAATGTTTTTAACTTTAGCGGTTGTGTAATCCAAACGGATATCTGAATTCGCAACACTCTGACATAGATGAAGGATTAATTCAGTAAATTTTTCTTTATTTTCAGCTGGAGTTTTTTTATCGGCTAATTTAGTCACTGATGATAAAACTTCTTCAAAAATTAGCTTTCTATGTTTTTCATACTTTGAAAATATCAATACCAACAAATTCATTGAACTTACAAGTAAATGATTCGTTTCCTGTTCGCTGAAAAAAATAGATACTCCTAATGATGACGCTTTTAAAATTATTGTGTCAGTCATTATTTTATTGTCAATTAATTCACACAATAGATTGCAATTCTGTAGGCCTTTCTGATGTTGCAGTTTCAGTTTTTTGTTTGCAGCAAGCACTACTAAATATTTCAATTGGCATTTACCAAATGTAATTAGGCGGTCAATAATTTCTTCAACAAATAGCCGTTGGTCGATTCGTGGCGATGTAAGAATGTGCAGGATGCACCAAGAACAATCTAGCCCCGTTAAGTAAGATTCGTACATTATTTTATTGATTAAATCTTTTTCTCTGACTGTATCGCTAGAACTGGATATCAGCACGATGTCATTACTACTTTTTAGGTTGCAATCTAATACCATCAACAGCTTTGTAAGCTTTTCTAAAGGAATGGAATCAGTGATGTCTAATTTTTTCAGATTTTCTGTCAATTTACAGAGTTCTTTGATATGAGCATTGGAAATTGCTGAAGTACTTGGGCTAAAGTCATCGACAAAATCAACATCTTCAAATATCCGATCTACCAACATCATAAATTCTTCATATGTCTCTGAGCATTCAAGCTGTTTTTGTTTCTTTGAACATGGAGATAATTCATCTTGTTTAGCATTAGAACAATCTCCCTTGGAATGAGATCGTTTCTTTTTCAGGTGACCTGTCTTTGTCGGTGTGTTTTGAATGGCTTTTGGTTTCTTCTTTAAACTATTTGTGTCTGTTTTGAAATTGGTAATTGAACAAATTTCCTCTTGAGACATTCTTTCTAAAACAACAACCGGGGTATATTTTTTTATTTGTTCCATAAGAAATTTTTCCGACATTTTCTTCTTCGGAACTAACTTTCCAATGGAAGTTCTCTTTTGCTCACATTTTTGATTAGTTTTACAATCCATAATGAATAAGTAATCTTTTTGTTTTTCTTCTGAATTAAAAAATATTTTTAATAAGTCGAATAATGAAAGTGAATATAGTTTATATACCTATGTTTTACTTCCATACAAGCAACTCCAAAAACATGTCTTGTTTGAACTGCATATATATATTTTTTCTTTTTAACTGCTTGACCAGCTTGGAAAATATTCCTTCTTGATTTTAGGATTTTATAATCTAAAAATATCATGAATTAATTATTTATAGTAAACAAAACAAACAATAAATCAGTGTATAAATAAAAATTTCCTTTCTGACACATTTTTTAATTTAGTTTTTTTAGTAATAACATTTTTAGAAATTATTACATTATAAGTAGCAATGTGTGTAATTTAACGACCTCATGTTCAATTTTGAACTAGTGAGGAGCGGTCAGGATTAAAGTATTTTAGAAAAACACTTTTTGTTTTTCGTTTTGCTGAATCTTCAGGGCTTATGTGAAGTTAATATTTTTTTTCCAATGAACATATGTTTTATAATTCACCCAGGCTCTGAAGATGATCCGAATAAAAGTTGAAACATCTGCAAACAAATGAAAAAGGTTTTTTTTCTGAAATACTTTAATCCTAACCACTCCTCTACTTCAACAAATTGTAAGTAGCGATGGCATGCCAAAAATTTGTGTTATTTTTTTCATGAATGTGTGGATCCTTTTTTAAAACAACTTTTCTTTATAGTTATGCTTTTAATGTACTAATTTACTGCAATTGTTAAAATGACAGTCAGGTATTAAATAGGTTGCTAAAAATTTTCATTATTCAACAGTTTCAGATTGTATACTTTTTTCAACTTGCAATTTTTATTATTTTTCTCCATGCTTATTGATTTTACGACAGTTTGTAGTTGTGATGTGATAGTGTAATCAAAAGGCTATCAGAAAGGAACTCATTAGTACAGAAAAATGGTCGAGTAAATGGTGATGAATGGTAGCAATAGACTGGGTGAGAGTACATTTGGAAATTTTTGAAAAAAAAAGATTAAATAAAAATAAATAATTAAATGAAAAATTAATTTTCCAGTATCATTGTTTGCCTTTTTAAATATGTAATAGCTAACAATAACGGAACATGACTTTTAATTATCTTTCATGATCTAACTTTGATAAAAAAAAACTCAATTTTTCAATTATTATTTCTATTTCTTCAATGAAACTTAAATTATTATTTAAAAAATCTTGTAACAATTAAAATTGATTAATTAAGTTGGTTAAAATATTAGAGGAATAACAACGGATGAATTCATGACAATTTTGAACAATAAAAGCTGATACGTTCAGTTCTATTCCATGATCAAGATTGATCTGTGAATGTTTTAAATTTTTATTTACATCTATTCCTTTTTCACAAAACATTTTTTTTTCATTTTGATTTTGTTTTATACCTTATTTCAATAATTAAAAGAAGGTAAAAAAATGTTTGCACATTTTTCAGTCGTGTCAATTTTTTTATTGGTCAATTATGTTGCAAGAAAAAATTTTTAAAACTTTTTTAAAAAGACTTAAAATAAATAAATAAATATATGTATAACATTAACTAGAAATAATAATTTGTTTTAATGTTTAAACAAGAATAGAAAAATGTAATTGAAGTATATGATACTTACTTTTTCCTTATAACTTCAGTGCTCAGCAAATTCAAAGTGAATGTGGTCAATTTTGACAACACAGCAATACTGGAATAAACCTAAAAACAATATCATTACAACAAAAAGAAATCATCCAACAAAAGAATAGACAATTTAAGCCTTTTAAAACTATTATAAGTCTATAAGCTTTTTTTGTAATTTGTATTATCGATTTTTTTAATACTGTTGTGAAATGCATTAATGCACTCCAAGTGAATACCACAGATTAAAAATTAAAAATAGAAATTTACAATTAAAACTGTATTTGTAAAACAATATTTTGCAAGCAGTGATTTTTAAATTTGAGCTCCAAAATTTAAATAGTGAGGGTAACTGGAGTAAAGCACTGATTTGTTTTCTGTGAAGTGTTTTTAATTGGAAAACAAATGTAATTCATATTAAAATGCTTCAATTATTGTAAAAACTAATCTAACTAACCAAATTTAATTTTAGATTTTTTCACATTTTATTTTTGCATTGGTACAAAAATCTCTTTAAAAATGTTCACTATCTATAAATTTAAAAATTACCGCAGTTACTTTCTCTGGCTCTCTAGCTGTGGGAATACCGCAGGACAGAGTGCTTGGACCAATTCTTTACGGCAATGCCTCAACTACACCAGCCAATTCCTTTACATTTTGCTGATTAACCTCTGACCCCGATCCTTCAGTTTCTTTGGAAGATATGCAAAGACCTTGATTGATGTAGTACTGCAGGCAATAGAAAATGAAGACCAATGAATGCATTACCATATTTACATTCTGAAACAAATCCTCACCATCTACATCAGCCATGTACCTACCCAAAATCTGACTGCATTTATTACCTTGGGTACCACCGCTTAACCCTCAACCATATAATCCTTAGGTCAGTCAAATGCTCCATAGTATGCCTCCTCCAACACTAACCTCTACGAATTTAAAATCCTATTTACACAAAAACTCATTACTCAAAAATTTACCAAGATCCATGGAAAACTCCATCACCCCTATAGCCTTGCTCAAGTCCAACTGATCCCATCCCTGCAACCTGATTCTTCATCGTTCATCTCCTTTCTCAGGAATTGTCATAAGCTAGAAAGTGAAAAAGTCATATTAAAAAGCCAGGAAATGCTCCAAACTCAGATTCGTGTCGGCCAATAGTCAAAGAGGTAGCGAATAAAAATGTACCCTTCAGATCATTGTGTCCCATTTATCTTGCATAGCACATTCACTAGACAAATGCAACTAAATGATGTCATCCATATCTCAACTATAGTCAAATATCTTGGACTACATCTCGACTCCAAATTGATGAGACAACATTCAATACCTAGATACAAAAATTAGAGGATTTGAACACTTTGAGCAATCAAAATTCCTTTTAGGTGGAAGATCTTCATTGTTCATTGACTCAAAGTGACTCACAAGACCTCTAAGGGCATACTCCTGTTACCTCTGGGGTTCTGCAGCCATAACATATATAAACAGGATACAACTTACACAAAACCAAGAGTTAGGGCATATTAAATAAATATCAAGCCCCCCTAAACAAAATACTCATACATATTCTTAAAGAAAAAAAATCAAGCTTGGTCTCTTCTAACACATCCCTCTCTGGGTCCTAGAATCCCTCAGCATCAGCCTATTTTTTGCTTCTTCGGTGCTTGCTTCCTCAAGGTCCTCTGCAGTTCTATACAACCAGAAGAAAATCACACTTCAGGCAATCAACTATTTTGTTTTTTCCGCTCATCTGCAGCATCCTTTCTTGACTGTAGCCTGCCTGTCCTCCCCACCCGGCATCACTCTCTCGTTCGCTCCAGAGGGGCCCGAGCTGCTTACATCGCTGTTCTCTCCTTTCCTTCTTGCACAACCTGGGCGTTTTTGACCCCCTCACCACCAGCTTTCTGGTGAGCTCTTCCATTTTGAGAAAACCCCAGTTTATCCAAAAAATTTTTTCTTTATTCCATGTTCTTGTTTCACCCCTATGAGATTCAACAAAAAAATTTAAAAAACGAGTACTATTGTTTGAAAAAAAATAAAAATACACTTACATTGTTAGCATCCTTATGGACTATGGAAATAAAAACTTGGTCTCTCCTGTAGTGGATGGGATGGGGTTGCATTCAGTTAGGGTTGGGGTTGGAATTAGGTGTGGGTACCCTAAATACATAATAGGGGTATTAGTTAGAACACTTTTTAAGTAGAGTCGAAAATATTTGGTGATTATTTTTTGTTGTTGATTGTAGGTAGGTATTGCCTATTCGTCATTGAAATTAAAAAGTCAAATTGAGTTTGGTTAGCAACTTAAAATGGAAACTGAGCAAGAAAGGCGGTTTGAAGATGATATGAAAATTATGATGAAGTGGGGAGGACTCAACAAGATCTTCTGTATAAAAAAAATAATTTCTAAATAAAATTGGATTTTTGTCAACCCACAAATTCTTGCCCTCTACACAATGCTACATTTCAGCATCCCACCATTTTTTTAAAATTGAGGATCAGGTAAATGGCCATTGTACCAAGCTTTTGTCAGTAAGATTAAAATTTACAAAAGTTGAAGTATGCCCCAGAATTGGAAATGTGTACATATTTTTTTACATATCTTACGTTTCAAAGGGGTTTTTATCGATGAGACAAGACTCTTATAATATAATGTATGTACTTTTAAATTGCATGGTGGTAATAAAAAAACAACAACTATATTTATAGACAAAAATATTCACTTTAATATATAATATAAATACATTGTTCACATTAATTTTTTAGATATAATACTATATAGTACAAACAAAAGTTTGTCATAGATTTTTATCTCCCGTGACAATCTTTATCGGAATTCCCCTAGCTATAAAGGCGGCTTTGTTGGTAAAAAGTGATGCTACTTCTCTTGACTCTTTTATTGCTCTTAAGAGTTCTGGCTCTTTTTTTACCTTTCCTTCTGGCAACGGTTCAAATGCTGAAAACACATTTGGTATGAGTTAGTAAAAAAAACACCTTTTATTTGAAACTTACTTTTAACATCGATTGCAGTTCCAGGCAGCCAAAGGTTTGCGATGTTCATCGTCATTAAGTCAGTATCATGGGATGTGACTGCCCACAGCATTCCAACAGTACAACCACTTAAAATAAACAAAAAGATTTTTTTAAAATTTTATTTTATTAAAATTAGTAAACATGCTAATGTTAAATCTTTAAATAATAATTCCTTCCAGCAATACTTGATCTTAAATGTTTAATAGTTAATTTTAACTCATAAATAACAATTCAATGAAACTAAAATACTTACAATAATCCATAAATGTTTAACAGTTATAATTAACCATATTGATTTATTGATTTATGATTGATTTTTATCCAAGGTTTTGGTTGAAATGAAAAAGTTAGTGCCATGAGTGGGATTCGAACCCACAATCTTCAGCTTCAACGAGCTAATTTCGATTCCTGCTCTTGACACTAATTTTTCCATCTTGGATAAAAAGAATAAATAATTAAAATAATTAATATGCTAAACATATATGGATTGATATAATAATTAAAGAAGTAATCACTTCACTAACAGCTTCCCATAGCCACTGCATAAGTCGCTGAAAATCAAATCCTGATTACATGACATTCGAAAAATGGCAAAAAGAAGGAAAATTTGAAAGGTTTTAGGTTGAGAAGAGGAGTTAGTGTCAGATGGGATCGAAGTCACGATAGCTCAAGTGGTTAGACCAGCGGCGTAATGAGCCAATGTTCGTGGGCTCAAAGCGAGAAGTTATGCTATTTATTAAATTAAAGTAGTATTTTGATTATAACACTTACTTTTAACACTTTTACAATATAAATTTAAATTAAGCACATCAAACAAATGGCATTAATTACCTTCCTGCTACAGCATACTGAAGTACATCTCCAGTCATTTCAACAATTCCCCCATGGTCTTTCAAAGCAACGCTTGAGCAACCGAAAAGAAGCTGTACAGGTTTGACCTTCAGCTTTGATACGGTTTCGCTCGCCATGTACTGACTGCCACTACCATGACCGCAGTATCTGTTTATAAAAGGTACCATTTTAATTATCAAACAACAGAAATATTAGAAGATATAAGTTTATTGCCAACATACACAAAAGTATTACTCTTCGTCAGAGCTGAAATTAGTTCTTCCTGCGATGGTTTTTTACCTATGATTCCGACCCAGTTTGGAAACCTTTTCTTAAGAAATTTAGCAAGATTTTCCTCCACAGTTGGTAAATCACCTTCAGGATTAACTATGTAGTAACATATTTCATTTTCAGGCAGCTCTCTTAAAAACATTCTGAATATACATCTATTTCAATCTGATCAGTAAAATTTTAATTAATATTAAGCTTACCTCAATCCATTTTTTATTTCATTTTTATGCAGCATGTAAAGGCTGTGGGCAAAATGCAATGAAGGCACCCTAGAAAATGGATGTCGTCTGAATATCAACAAATTTTCCCAGGGTAGCAAGTCTAAATGCTAAAAATAATAAAATAAAATTTACTTCTAAACAAACACACTTTTTAATCAAGGGAAACCTCATCCAATATTAAAATGACAGGATATCGCCTCTGAACTGGAAGCGAACTGTAATCTTCTCTAATATTGGTAATTGTTTCATATAGTTCATCTTGCAGTGTTTCATTTTTAATGGTTATGCTGAAAATCCCATCATCCAACTCTTCATCTCTTAAATGCACTGAGCCTTCAGCAAGGAGATAAATGACATATCTTTGCCTCCTAAAATCGTTGGATTTAAGTAGCTAAAGTTTTAATTAGATAGCTTCATTGCATTACTTAGTAACTTCAGGATATTTTTTAAGGACCTCATCAATTTTCTTTCTTATTTCGTTTTCTAAGTTCTTATCACAAAGCTTTCCAAGAAACAACACCACCCACTGTTTTAAAGCCATTCGACCAAAATCTCTACAATAACTCTGTAAAAAAAATATTGATAGTTCATTTTTGTTATTTTGCTTATTCAAACACTACAACCTCTGCTTCATCTGCAGCTTCCTTTCTTAATTTTCTAATACACGATGAGACACCTTGGCGCATTTTCAATTTTTTTTTCACATTCCAAAACCCTTCTACAGGGTCCTTTAGTGCATCAGCTGGCCAACAGCTTTCTACTGTTAATGGCAGTTGTGATCTAAAATGAATTTTGTTACAATATTAATTACAAAATATTAATAATTTAAATTTCTATTACGGCGCATTCCCACATGGCAGTCTCGTTATGTGGAAACCTTTGAGTTTTGGGCTCGTCTCTGGACATCTAGGATTAAAAAGTTCAAAAGGGTCATACTCTCTTGTCACCTGTACTATTGTCCATTCTACACAAAAACACAAAATCAATATAAATTCTATTTATGTATTTCTTTTTGCATTACCTGAAGGCATTTCTTTGAGCCTTTCAAGCATTCCTTCTGCCTCACGTTTAGCATACCCTTTCGTGAACGATACTATGTCTGCATCCAGCCTAAAGCTATCAAAAAATAAATTTATTTATTGCAAAGTATTGTAAAGTAATTCCTATATACAGGAGGGCTTAACATACAACTACACATTGAGAATCATGGACGAGGGATCGAACCACTTTACAATACTTCTTTAGAACAATTTTCAATTAAAAAGCCAAAGGGTGGGCCAGGATTCAAATCAAGGACCAATAGCGAGCCAGACATCCTGACCACTCGGCCACCACGGTCCCTTTATTCATTATATTGTGTGTAATAATTGATTTTGATTATAATATTTAAATATATAATAACTCAACTCACTTCCCTTCTTCCCTGGCGATCTCAAAAAGGGTTGCCTGACGTAAGCCTACTCCGTGCGATTCAGTCAAGTGATATATGGCATTGAGCTCCTCACCAGCATCCAAACACAACCTTGCCATCTGTCTTCTTGATACTGTGGAATTAAATTAAAAGAAAACTAAGAACTACTACAATTGCTACTGTTAAAATGATCCATTAACAACTTGCACAATAGAAACACTAATAATTCTGAGACAAAATGACAATTTTCTATATGTTAGGGTTGCGTATGAATTTGACAGTTAAAATTTTCAGACAGAGGAGAAAATAATATAGTTTATTTCTATTTACTTACTGAATAAATTTAATTTTATGCATTGAAACACATTTTCTAGTATTAGTTTTAAGCCTCTGTAAGTATTTTTAAATGTATTTTATTTTAGTTATTTCAAATGGATTTTGTTGTACTACTTGGCAGGAACTAGATGATCCTTTAACAACATAAAAATTTATGTCAATCATCAGTAATGGATTGTAACAATTGATTGATCCATTTAAAGCTGATGTTCTAAGCAGGTTGTTATTTTACCTAAGTATAAAGGAAATTAATTTAACAATTGATAGATCATCCTTTAACCACATCCTGCACATAAGAATTTATGTCAATCATCAGTAGTGGATTGTAACAATTGATCGATCCATTTACAGCTGCTGTTCTAAGCAGGTTGTTACTTTACCTAAATATAGAGGAAATTAATTTAACAATTGATAGGTCATCCTTTAACAACATCCAGGTCATAAAAATTTATGCCAATCATCATTAATGGATTGTAACAATTGGTTGATCAATTTACAGCTGAAGTTCTAAACAGGCTGTTACTTTACTTAAGTATAAAAGTATGTTTGTTGTATGTTGCTAAAAAAAACAAAAAATTGCTAATTTATGTCAATCATCAGTAACGAAGTAAGATTGACCCATTGAATGATCCATTTACAATTGATGTTCTAAGCAGGGTGTTACTTTACCAAAGTATAAAGGAGGAACTAGATGATCCTTTAACAACATAAAAATTTATGTCAATCATCAGTAATGGATTGTAACAATTGATTGATCCATTTAAAGCTGATGTTCTAAGCAGGTTGTTATTTTACCTAAGTATAAAGGAAATTAACTTAAACAACTGATAGAGGATCCTTTAACAACATCCTGCACATAAGAATTTATGTCAATCATCATTAATGGATTGACCAATTGATTGTTCCATTTACAGCTGATGTTTCTAAAATAACAATTGTTACTGCTAAAATGATCCATTAAACTTTAACAATCAATGCTTTGTATCTCAGACAAAATTATATAATTTGACCCATTTGGTTGGTTAAACCTTTCTGAAAGTGGAAAAATATTGTTTATTTATATGTATTTACTGAAACAGTTTAGTTTTATGCATTAAAGCACAAAATACAATATAACCACAACATAATGAAAAAGAATTTCTGTGGAGTACAGGCAATCTACAGAAATGTAAATTATTAAATTTATACACAATAAAAAAAAATTAAAAAAATAAAAACTGATCCTTTAACGACTTGCACATACGAATTTACAATGTTAGAAGTATCAACCACTTTTTCACCCATGAACACTAGATCAATGTATAGTTTGAAGAAAAAGGTTACTACAAGCTTTCGATTTATTTTAAAGTCATCATCAAGGCAAAACAATCTTAAATTTGTTTACATATCTAAGTGTTTTTGCAGGTAATCTCAAATTTCCTTAAAGACTGATTCAATCCTAACACTGCCAAGGACTGTAACAACTGTGACAAGTTACAGTCCTTAGCAATGTTAAGGATGAGTCGGTCTTCAAGGAGTTTGAGATTGCCAGCAAAAAAAACTTAAATATGTCAGTCTTTGCACATATTTAATATTGTTTTGCTTTGATAATGACCTCAAAGTACGTCGAAAGCTTGGCTCCTAACAACTGAATTTACTTTTTTCATCGTCTAAAGTGTTCGTTAAAAGAATTTATGCCAATCATCAGCAATGGATTGACCCATTGATTGATACATGTACAGATGATGTTCAAAGCCAGTTGTTACTTTACTTACTGGAATATAAAGGCCCGTTGAGTTTTCCCGGTTCTGCTTTAATGATCGTTTGTATATTCCTGATTATCTCCTCCTTGTCCATGATCTCGAGAAAATAAGTTAGTAAGGATTAAAAATCAAAATGACTAAAAGATCCCTGGACAGGTTTATCACCGACTTCTTTTTGTACAAGTTTGCCCGCCAATTTTAACGAAGTAGGGTTTAAAATAGGGTAAAATAAAATTGTTAAGACTTGCTCGGTTTTCCTTTTTACAGACTGAGAGAAGCGCTTGCAGATAGTTTTAGAAATCCTTCAGAAACAAATATCCATTTTTTTCTTGTAAGTTCTGCGTTGGACGTTATCACAAAAAAGGCGGCAAATGGAGGAAACTATCAGGCTATACTTGCTGGGTGTAAATATTTGTGTACAACAACTTTTCGTGTTGATGATTTTTATTTAATGAATATCAATTTTGTTTCTGACCTGTCAACATCAACGCCGGTTTTTTAGTTTAATTTGAATATTAATTGTTCGGACTCAAACAGGTTCTGATAGCGTTCTGGGTCTGAAACAATTGATACTTTAAATCAAACAGAGCAGAAAACAGTTGATAATGTCTGATTTGGAAAGGCATCTCATCGATTTGTACAATCAGCTCGACTCGAATAAAATAAAAGACAGAAAGGTCGGTCAATTCTTTGCCCTAGATTTATTTCGAAGTCGTAAACGTTTAAAAAAAATCCTTTGGTTTTCCTATTTCAGAAGTCTTTCGAAGAACTCAAACAGATCCTGCAGGAGTCAAATTACACATCTCTAATTGACAAGAACTCTACGGTTAAAAATAAAGGCGGAGTCAACTGGAATCAACTTTTTATTTCTGCTCACAACGGAGCAATAAAGGTGATTTACTTTCCATGAATCCGATATGGATCTTGCTAGTCCTTTATCCCTGTGAACTGACTACAGACTAAAAACCCATGTGGACAATGTGGACGATATATATAGGTAAAAACCGCAACGCACGGAAAGAAAGAGAGCAAGAAACAATGCTGACAATGGAAAAAAGATTGTCCAAATGCATTGGTTAAACTGAAGAATTCAAGATATTTTTGAAGGAATCAGATTTTATTCAGACAATATCAATTTACAGACCAAAAGAACAAACCAATAAAATTTTATGTGCTAATATATTGTAACAAATATTAGTCTTATTACAATAAAGTCGCTTGTTCACAGCTCAATTTATAGATATACACTCAAAGACAAAAAAGCAGGACACTTGTATTTATTTTTTATTTTCCATAATAACTAGGTATAAAGATTGATAATCGACTTTAAACATAAACACATTAATAACTTATTATTTACCTTCAAAGAATGCTACTAATCCATTTACAAACTTTAGATTAAAGTAAAGAAAATCAGTTCAATTTCATCCTTTCCAAAGCCAACTTGTCAAGTGAATTAATTGTTTTCTTTGATGAAATAAGTATCACCATTAAAGCATGGATTTAAGTTGAGATCTCCTTGAGCAGATGCTTTGGCCAATGACGGATGTAGCATCTGTTACATAGTCCAAGCCCTGGGTGAGCTGCGCTCTTCCATCTATTATGATCTACAGCAGTTTAGCACCATTGGAAGTCTTGATCGAAGAGAAGGTCATGGTCGACTGCTAAAAAAAGAGCTCTAAAACTATCGTAAGGCGACCATGAGAATAGCCTAGTCTTTAGATGTCCTGATTCAGGTGCTCTACTTCTAGAAAAGCAACTATTTACAAATCAGCTTAGACACTTGAACTATAGGGGGGGGGGAGCGTTTCTGGTCACATATGATTGTTGGTTTGGTTTGTGGCATTCAGATGACCAAGTGTATGAAGAACGCTTTGCTTTAGGTGCTATATATAACAGCCTTTTCAAAGTTGGTCAGTTGTGGTATGGGGTGAAATCAGAGTCCATGCCCATATCATACAGATTATCATGCAGAATAGATCTTTGACTGCATAAGGTGAGGAAGTTCTTCTGGAATCTGTGTTCCCATTTGCTACGTTATTGAGGGTAACTGTGTGTAAAAGCATGATAAATGTAGCTCGAGTTGCCACCCATCACTTGATGTAGGGATTACTACAATTAATTGGCCAGTATGTTCTCCTGGCATGAATCCTATAGAACACTTATGGGACATGAAAAGAGATGGATTATATATATCATTCGCTTCCAACAATAAGCAACAAAATACGAGTGTCCAGGTTTTTGTCTTTGATTTTTTATAGATTTTTTCAAAATTTATTGTCTTAGTCAAAAACAAATTGTTGGATGATGATATTCACCCTTTCATAATGTAACAATGTTTTAGAACCATTAGAATACTGTAAAAACTGGTGAAATTTAGACGTATTACTCTATATATTTTACAATGGTTGGGTTATTGCTGTGTCAGGTCTTTTGGTTTTTTGGGGTCGTCTGTGGAAGGCACGGTAGAAATTTGGGCTCATTGGGTCAGTGGAAGACTTGGACTTTTCCATAGTGGTGTAATATTGCAAATATCTGTCTACATAAAAAAATTAATTAAATTAAAAAAAGACCATCGCAGTACCCTCCGGGCGGCGAGGCAGGTGCCCATGATAGACGGGACACCCAGCCTTTTTACACATTTATTGCTATTATGGTTCACTTAATTATATTGGGTTAAACTTATTATTTGTGATTAAATTTATTCCACCAGGAAATGTTTTGGTTTAGTTAAATCAAATTTTAAATAGAAAAATAACCAGTAATATAAATCTTGTAGATTGCTGAGGAAGGAAAGACTTTTCTTAAGACCCAAAAATTCACGAAAACTTCGAAAATTTTTCAGCAATAAAAAACTGTCTGAAGTTTTGGAAAAATGTGAGATTTTTATTTTTAAAATGTTGAATTTGAATCTGCTCTCTGTTTTTGTATGTTCTATTTCAAACTAATGTAAAATTAGCTTGATTAAGACACTCATTTTCACAAAAACATTTTGGCAAAAAATCCTGTTTTCAATCTTAGGGATAGGACTTTTTTTGTGTTGAACTAAAAGCTCATTTGAAAGTATGTCGGGTTCAAATTCTGGGGATCTTTAACTTACAGTGATTCTGGGCCAACGCCTAAACCTTTGCGGCCATTGACAGCCCAAACAACCTGAATCTTACCTGAATTAATTGACAGAATTAATTCAATTAATTATTCTTTTTATCTAAGGTCTTGGTTGAAATGAGCAGGATTAGAACCTACATCCTTTGGCTAAATGTGCCACTGCTCTGACCAGTTGTGCTATTGTGACTTCGATCCACTTGGACACTTAACTCCTCAACTCAACCTAGCAGAAGGTTGTGGGTTCGAATCCTGCTCGTGACACTAACTTTTTCATCTCAACCTAGACCTTAGATAAAAATATTAATTAATTGAATTAATTAATATGGTCAATTATGACTAAACATATAATGGCTAATAACTAAATTTGTGTAATGCCATCAAATATATGTTTGTAAATATTGTAGTTTATTTAAAGTAATTTTATTATATTAATCCATATAAGTTTAGCTGCCTTAATTGATTATATTAATTATTTTATTATTTTTATTTTTTAATTTTATTATTTTCTTTCAGGAAGCTGAATTATGTCTGACTGAAAAGAGTGAAAGGAAAATTTTTGGGGTGAAAAATTTTATCTCTATCATCCTAGAATTAGTGGCAAAAGCAAATTCAGGTAAATAAATAAAAAATTACCATTAAAAACTAAGTAAATTCGAATTTTAATATATAAATCAGTTGTAGGTATACAGTTTTAGATTGTTTATTATTAATACAAATATTAAGCCGTTTTAAGGCAGTTACGACACTAAAAATAGTAAATTTGTTTCACAGTCTCCATTTTTCCAATACATATTTGATATTTAGGTTTTTATTGTTTGGACAGCAGATTGTCCATTCTGATATATATTGTTATTCAGATATCGTGAGATGCGGTCGGGTCTCATGATATCTGAATAACTATCGATTAATGGTCACTAATCTCTACACATTCTGATATATAGAACTTGGGGCTAAACATTTTATTATAATTAAAAAAAAAACACATTTTTAAATCTAGACATTATTTGGTGTGGTTTGTTTTAACAATTAATTTTAAAAAAACTGATTCATTAGGAACATTTTCAAAACCTCACTTGTCTCATCTTTAGAATAGAATAGAAATTATATATTTGCGTTCTATACAACCAGAAAATTCAATTGAAATAAATATAACAAAACTGGTACGGAACCACCTGCTTTCAGTAAGTAAAAAGTTGTATTTGTTAACAGGATGCCTGGTTACGTTATAAATTTTGAAAAGAAAAAATACATCCACATTTGTTTAGTGGTCATAAATGACCATATTAATTATTCCAATTAATCATTCTTTTCATCCAAGGTTTTTGGTCGAAATGAAAAATTGGTATCACAAGCTGGTTTCGAACCCACGACCTTCGGCTCAATATGCCGCTGTTCTAACCACTAGCTGAAAGTCGTGGGTTCGAAACCAGACATGACACTAATTTTTCATCAAAAAATACACTTGTACACAAACAAAAACTAAAAAAAAGTTTAATTATACTGTTGGATAATTTAATTTATTAGGGCTTTTATAAAGGGTGTAAAGTTATTATAACTGTTGTAATTAATTTTATTTTTATTTAAAAATCTAAGTGCAAAATTAAATGAAAATTATAGTATGCGGTAGTTGTAACTTTAGGCATTTGACATATATGCAAATGTCTGGTGATTAACAAAGTATTATAGGAAGGAGGGATTTTATTGAATTTAAAGAGGTGAATACAAAATTTTTTTAGGAATATTTGTTTTGAATTGAGCCATCCCTAAACCATCCCTAAACTTCATCATAGAGATGCTTTGTATGATATCTTAGAGGTTTTTAAAGAATAAGTTAGAATAAAGTATTATTAGCAATCTTTAATATTTTTATGTAGCAATTTCATGCATCAAGATTTAATGATATTTACATCATAATCAATTTTCGTACATAAAGTTTTTAAATTATTGCAAAAAAAAGACAGGTATCATCTGCATAACTAATAATCTTTGCAGCTAGTTGAAGTTAAGCATTTCATTAATATAAATTAAAAAAAAATAGGACCAAGTACTGTACCTTGGGATACAACAGATTTAGTTACAATATAAGCACTTGTCATTGTCTGTTTTAGTAACCTGCATTCTACCAATAAGATATGATGTAAAGAGGACAAACACTGATCCAGAAATGCCAATATTTTTGAACTTTCTAATTAATGATCCACAGAATTGAATGCTTTACTAATGTCCAGAAAAACCCTATAAACGTAATTTCCGCAATCAATTTCCCTGAATATATGATTAGTAACCTCAAAAAAAGCTTGCTAAAGTGAAAAATTTTAGTTTGCAAAGTAAGAGTTTTTGCAATTCCCTTTTTACTAATTACTGATTTTTATAAATTTAACTTATATAATTAACAAACAGAATTGAACCTATGATTTCTTGCAGCCTGCTGGCAATTCCCACTTTTCTGTAATTGACCATAAACTTCCAGCAGGCTGCAAGAATCACCTGGGGTCAGACCAGTGTTATTCATCTATCCACCAAAGTTGGGCTCCAGGGGCTGTCAAGAGCAAGGTCATTTCAGCCCCAAATGGATCAGTTTTTAAATTGAAACTCACACTCTCACTCACTCTTAAATACATTCTTGCCTATTTCCATACCATCCACTCAATTAGGATGGAGTACTCGCGAGTACCCCCACATTACATATTCGTGCTAAGAAATACATTCCGTCTCAACTATGCTCTCTATATTGTGTCATTGAATGACACCCTTCAATTAAATTGGACCCATCGAGCAACCTTTCTCTATATGAATGCATGGGCTTTATCCCAAAAGTAAGGGTCTGAAATTCTAGGTTAGGTGAATTTGATTATCTTTTCTGTGATTCAGATCCTCCAAGCTTCTATTTTTGACAGTGCTCGTGATATGGGCCAGTGTCTCTGCCAAACAGGCCCACTGATGCTGCCACTTTTTTTCAATCGTGTTTTTTAATGCGTTTTTATCATCAAATGGCTAGATTATGGTGATTAAGCCCTCAGGTTGGGATGTCTCGACCTTCGCCATCTTGTCCGCTCATGTTATATTTTGATGTTGGAAGTAGTGACTTTTAACTGGTTCCTGATCATTTTGGTCATCCTATCCTTATTTTTTCATCCAGTCAGTCAGCTTCTGGCCGTCTCCACGGGCCAGTTTTAACCAAAATTATGAGATAATAATTTTGAATTTTATTGCGAAAGCAAATTAATACAAATTTCATTCTGTATGTGATGTTCAAACAGGTCATTTCTCAGTATATTGCATATTAAAATACCATATAAATTTATTAAAATGTTGGAAAGTTAGTTTTGTTTGCTTTCACTTAAAAAGCTATAGACAAGCTTTTTAGAGGCTTGTGGGAGAAACATTTTATTTATATATTCTATTTTCAACAGTGTTCATGATACGTGAGAGCATCTCTTTCAATCTGGCCCACTGATGTTGCCACTTTCTTTTAATCGTGTTTTTTATTGCGTTTTTAGCATCGAAGGGATGGATAGTTCATTATGTCCCGTCCTTTGCCATATTGTCAACTCCAAACTCTACTGGCTGTGGTGATCTTTGATGGTTCCTGATCATTTTGGCCCATATTTGTTTTTTCCCCCTAGACACTGGTTCTTGCCGTCTTCGTGGCCAGTTTTAACCAACATTATGAGATAATAATTTTGAATTTTATTGTGACAACAAATTAATACAATTTTCATTCTGTATGTGATGTTCATACAGGTCATTTCTTTGTATATTGCATGTTAAAATACAAATATATTTATTAAAGTGTTGAATTTTTTTGTTTGCTTTCTCTGTAAAAAGCTCTAGACAAACTTTTCTAAGGCTTGCGGGAGAAACATTTTATTCATAAAAAAATTAAAAACTACATTACAATGTAAAAATCCCTATATTTTAAAACTAGAAAATTATACAATTATCAATGTTCTTCATCAATAAGAAACATATCAACTTTGTTCTTATAATCATCTTGTAGTTTATCCATTTGATTCCTAGTCGCCCATTGATAACTTTTGCATATTTTCTCATCGACGTTTCCGCTGACTAGTTGTGCCTTGAAGAAGAATATTTTGGCTCCGACAACTCTGTTGGACACGGACTTAGGATACTTGTACTTGTAGAAACCCGAAGGCGCATTGCCGAGAAACTTCACCACCATGGAATTTCCGAGCTTTTCTTTGACCACCCTTTCCGCAGTCTCGCGGAGGGACGTTTCACCCTGAGAGAATTTCCCTTGGGGCAGGACCCAATGCTTTTTGGCTCCGATGTCGTCTTCAATTAGGAGGAGCAGCCTCCTGTCGAGTTCCCTGTCGGTGGATTTGGAGTCTCCTTTTCTGACCCCCTCCGCAAACTGGAATTGCTTGAGTTCACTCTGGCACGCATCGATGAAGTCGTGTGTGGTCTGTTTGGGGATTTCATCGACATTCATCGCTGACAGGTCCTTCATCTGTGCCCTTTTATTTTCTTCTTCGATCCTTTTCTCGAAATCTGATAAGTGGCTATTCTCGAACTCAATTTCTGAGAGGATCCCGGCGACTTTCTTTTCCATATCGGTCAATTCTCTTGATATGACTGGCAGCCTTTCTAGGCTCACGGCGCTGAAAAGGTCCCATTTTTCCTTCTGGGTCGCCTCCGTTGCAAACTGCTTGCAGAAACGGGCGAACCGCATATTCGGACGAACAAATAAGTTCATCCTCGGCAATTTTCTTGTCTTTCCGACTGCCGAGGTTTGCGACAACCTGAACCTGAACGTAACCTTGACAGTTAACCGCGGAGAGGTATCAAAAGCGGCATGTGGACCAAGCTCAAACGTACCTGTCTAAGGTCATGAGAATGACAATTCCTGTTTGACTCGGTCATATTAGAAATAGCAAATATAATTGATTAAAATATATAACTTCGTTTATTTATAAACAAACTTTACCATTAAAATGTTATGTTTAATAAAATTTGGATTAAAAGTTCAATAATTAGGCCTTTTTCAGACGAGGAGGTTTGGTTGAATCAACTGTGAAGACTTTTCTTTGCTGGTTTCACACCAGGCAACTTGTGGAATCAAGCACTCTTCCCAATGGGTGGTCACTATGATGTTAGAACCCGAGGAAGCAGGAGCACTTCTTCTGCTTGCTCTTCTGCAAAAAGAGAAGCAAAAAAGGAGGAAACCCAGTAAAGAAAAGTGTGGGTTTATCCATTGTTATAAACTTGGGAAACGGGCTCTTTCTCTCAAATACTTCTTTTAATTTTGTCGCTCTACTCCTCACATCTCATGTCCCATATCGCGGGACTAATTGAAATATGTTCAATGAACTGCTCCATATTGAAACTTGCAATTGCAACACTTTCCATGGTGAACTCAGTTGACTTAATTGGGCGATTGGTGTGAAGGACAAATGCCGAGCAGTGTCTTTTGAGTTGAGTCAACCATTGGGGATGAGAACGTAAGCAGCACTTGCCTGCTGATGAGTTGACTGCGTATGAAAGGGTTGGGGCAATTCCCAAACATTTTGCTACCACATTACACTCCTTGACACTCGTCCGTTCAACTAGTTGAATCAACAAGTTGCATTGTATGAAAGAAGCCTTAACTTCCATAAACCAAGCTTCTCTGGACATTACTGATGAAGTGGTTTTGGAACACATATCAAAACTAGACTCTAGAAATAGTTCAGGACCTGATAACATTCCATCATACTGTTAAAAAGCTGTAAATTTGTTTTTTTTTTCCACCTGTGCTTTCATTATTTTTCAATAAATCTTTATCAGTTGGTGTTTTCCCCACCCTCCTCAAAGTGTATGTATCTTTACATAAGAATGGAAATCGAAGTGACATTACAAATTATAGACCCATATGTCTGCAACAGTAAAAACAAAAGTCTTTGAATCTCTGATTTTAAAAACTGTTGGTCCTCTACTAAATCCTTACATAATACTTGAACAACATAGTTTCCACCCTTCTCGTTCATCAACACGAATCCCTTTTTTCAAGATTTCACTATCAAAACCTTAGCTATGCATCAACAGGTGGACAAAATATATTTAGATTTTGCCAAGGCAAGAAAAAAATCTCATTTAGTGTATCTCAGAGGTCATTACTTGGCCCATTTCTTTTCAAAGTATTTATTAACAATATTTCTCCTTGTTTTTACTCAGTTAATTTCTCCCTCTTTGCTGATGGTCTACCCCCAACCTTGACCACAACTAATTAAGGTTTTTAGTTGAGATAAAAAAGTCAATGGCACGAGTGGGACCTAAAAACCTTAATTAATTGTAATATATTAATTGGTCAAGCGGACCACGAAATTAGTGAACTTGACCACAACCTTGATCACTACATCAGCATAATTACAACTTTTGGTCAATTCTGTCAGCAATTTATAACTCAACTGAGGTCCAACATCTCATCATGGCCTTTTTCAACAACATTGACCCAATATACGGACCTGAAACAAAAAAACTTGTCCTTTATTGTTTTTGTTAAAATAAGGAAGATAGTTGCTGTTTTATTGGATTTAATGTTTTACTATAAAACTACCAGTTTATGTGTAGCAAAAGGGTGAATTAATCACATTGAGAAGGCCTGAGGATGACTTCAAATAAAGTCGAAAGCTTGGCAGAACTGTTTTTGGATCAAGAAACACCCCAAACCAAGATCACTACATCAGTATTTATACAATTGTTGGTTGATTCTGTTGATTTTATTATTTTAGAAGTGACAATGAAACTTAGCTTACTGATATTCGTTTAGTGGATCCTAGACCAGGAATAAGGTTTTTTTCAACTAATAATCTCTTTTGTGTGGGAGAGAGTGCTGACTTCAATACTAAGGACAACATTTGTATCCTAGCATTGCAGTCTGATAATTTGACAGATTAAATATTAATTCATATTATAGTTGAATATAATCTCCCCACTTAAGAGAGCTTCTATGGAAGATCGGGGAAGAGAAAGAAAAGAAAAATAATGTATGACTCACCTTCGCTGTAAAAAAACAAAAAACACTTAGGCTATTTGTAGATCCCAGTTTTGTAGAGTATTTAGACAATTGAGACAAGTTTTTAGTTGATCTCATGAGTTTGGAGAGTTTTTAGAGCTACCTGGCTATGTGATACTATCGTTTTTGTTGCACCCTTGAGATGTTTGTTATTTATTTTGTGTTCATAATAGTTCAGCTTGAAGGTTTGTCGTGTTTGGGGGCCATATGGTACTCAAAGTTAGGTCCTTTGTGCCTATACCCGTACCATTTCCTATACCATAGAAGAGCTCCAGGTTTACCTATTTTTGTTATATCTTTCCAATTAGATCTCTTTTCAACAATTATTTTCAATGGTTTTTCAAAGTATAGTATTTTTTCTGATAAATCAGAAATAGTTTTAGCCATGCCAATTATTTTAACCTGATCAAAAATGTTAGTATTGCCATTTATTGGATGCTTTCTTTCCAATGTCTGATGAATTCTCAATTTCATGATCATCACCATTCTTTTGATGTATTAAAAATAAAAGTAGCAGTGGCAGCTTGAGTATACGTTTCATGTGGCTGTAGTTTTTGTTGCAGTTGTTTTAAAAACACCTGTGACGCTATTCTTTGAGCTGTTTGTAGTAGTTCATCTGCCTATCTTTGTTCTACTTTGCTCAATTGTAAGGTATGTCCATAAGGTCATTTTAGGATTTAGCCTCCAAGTTCTACCTTTGGCATATTCATTGCTCCTGTGAACAATCCACATTGACTTTTGGCCAATAACTACTTTTAGGTATATAACTTCTTTAGAATATTTTTTTTTGTTTGGTTTGTTTCAGCGGCCTGTAAGATTCAATTTCTTTTTTCTGATGAATGGCACTATTGTTGACTTGGAAAATGGAGAACTGAAGCCATTGAGTTTTTTATTTTCTGTACAAGATTACAAAGGGCACTAGTGATAGATTTGCCAGTTTTGTAATTAAATTGCTTCTTATGTTGCGGTGTTTTATCCAATTGGATGCTCTTAACACAATTGTTTTCTCCATCATTTTTATGAGAAAGGTGGTAATACTAATTGATCTGTATGATTTTGGATCTTTGAAATGAAGACCACTCTTGCTCTTTTCATCCGCCTTTTTGTAATACTTCACTTTAAAAAAACAACAACGTAATATACACATATGTTGTGACCATTTAAATGATTTTTAAAAAATATATTAAGTTTATTTACATTAAGTATTTTTTATTTTCAGAAGTACCTAGATTACTGTGCAGTAATATTGTATCATGTATACTAGAAGCTTCAGAAACTCCTCACAACAGGAGGCTTTTTTCAGAAGGATATTCACGGATGCTTCATGACCATGTCCTCTCATGTAAAAAGTACTGGAGCGAGTTAACACTACTGCAATGGATAGGTAAGGATCATGAGTACAATGCCAATATGTAAAAAATTAAAAAAAAAAAAAATAGACCTGCAGAAACTGTGTCAACTGCTCTTGGAGGAGGCAAATTCGGACAAAATGAAATGCACCCTGGTATCTTGTTTAAATTTTGTATGCCTTCACGGTTCTCACATTACAAAGTTTCTACCACACATTCACAATTTGTAAGTATATAGTTCTGGTTCTAACTTTTAATTTAGCATTTATTTTGGTCTTTTTTTTTTAAGGTTAAAGGAATTACCTAATTTTCTAAGTCAAATGAGTACCAGTCAGATGCCTGGCTTGCAACTGAGTGTTATCCAATTATCACTTACTATTTGTAAAAGGGTAATTATTAATTGTTTTGATAAACAGTTATTTGGTATTATAATCACATTTTTTTCCAGATCAAAGAAGAATACAGATACTCGGTTTGTAAATTTGGAGAGATTGCGTGTCCTTATTTAATCACACTTTATGAATCAAGAGATGTCATCAATAAAAAAGTATTTAACAAATAAAAGGAAAATAATATTAAATAATTATATGATTAATTTGTGTGCGTATTTAGGAACTAATTGCACAATTGTTAATTGAAATAGTAGAAGTACATCATCCCTGTGGTGTAGCTAGCAATTCTCCAGGCGCTCTTGCATTTTCCTGGGATGATTGGACTAGCCAGCTAAAGACACTTTACAAGTAAACTACTTGAGCAATTAAAAAATAAATAAATAACAATAATTTAAACAACATTGTAATTTTTTTAGAACATTAGAAGATGAAATATTTAGTATATTGAACTCAAAGAATGTTCTTTCTCCTTACATAGTCCATCTAGCTGTTATTTGCGCCAAACAGGTGATATTAAATTCACCTCAGCTTAATGGAAAAAAACAGTATTAATGTATTTTTTCTAGGTATTTTCAGAAAACTATGCCAAGCAGTTTGGTTCTCAGGAATCGATTGATTTCAGTTTTGACACACCGTCGACGTCAAAACGACGAAGGCTCAATTCTGGGATTGACTTCTTGATCAGTACAGTCCAGACGAAACCGATTGCTGACGTCGCTCCTTTGTAAGTAAAACTAACAAGCAGAAATTCCGCACATTTATGTTTAGACATTGTATGTTAATATTTACAATTAAATTATATTGGACATTTGGTTTAATTGTTTTTCAGGCTGATATTTTTAGAAGCGTTAATGGAAAGATATCCCGAGATGTTTACCGAGGAAGATTTTCTCAAATTATTGCAGTACACTTCTGAAAAATTACCTATCTGCACATTGACAGTTGTAACTAACCAGCTTTGCAGGTTTGTTTTACCCAATAAGATTGTACTTAATTTATGTTTTATTTGTTATATTTTTGACCAAAAAATAAAATCATGATTTGTTAAATTGTATAACAGAACATCTAACACTCTCCTTATGAAGTTTACCAGACATATCTATGTGATAGATATGTAAAATGCTTATCAATAATTAAGAATATTTTTTTAAGAATTGCTGTTCAGCTTGTAAACCTTGAAGAAGTTTTAATAGACAAAACAGAAGGCTATGAAAAAGAAATTCAGAATTTGTGGCTGAATATTTGGAACACAGCCATAAAGTAAGAGAATTTATTGTTAATTTGTTTGTTTGTTCAAAAAATAATTAATAAACAACTTCCAGCTTTTTACATTTCTCAAAAGAGATAGGATTGAAACAGCCAAGCGAAGAAACGCACCCTTTAGTCCGAGCCTTGATCAGAAAAGGTTTTCAGACTTTTATGGCCGATTCGTTGCTGAAACTTTATTTAACAGGTGTGCTCCCGTTTGCCGAAGAATCACTCAAGACTTTTATATGCCTGTGCCAAAACGGTGTCATATCAGAAACACCAGAGGTAGCGTATTTGAGTAAAAATATTTTCAGCTCTTAAATTTTTAAAATCAAAGGTGAGGAAGAAGCTCTTGGAATGGCTTATTATAAACAGAGTACTCGACGATTGCTCTTCAGCTGTGTTGTGTGGACAAGCTATGTTCGCTCTTTTGCTCAAATCAAAGTTTCCAAGCGATGAAAAAATTGTTCCAAGTCCAAAATGGAGGGAATCTGAGTTGTACTTTTTGTCTACCTCTCTTGAACAACTTCCAAAAACAATAGTACAAAGCAAAGGTAGCAAGTGATATAAATAAAAAATATAAAAGAGTGTTGATCAAATCAAATTTCAGAAAACAACTGTAATGCTTTGATAGAATATCCTCAATTTTTGAAGGAAACCATACAAAAATTAAAAGAAAAAGAAGAAGAATTTATTGGAATGAATGATCCTCTTGTCGCCCTTCCTCATGCGACTGCTCTCGTTGTCCTTACTTCTTTAGCTCTTCAACATAAAATATCTGGCTCGGAAGAGTGGGTTTTTACATAATTTCTTTTTTAAAAATTTTTCCATTTAATTCAACCGACACATATTTCAGGATTAAGAAATTGCTTGACAATTGCTTAGAACTTCTTTGGCCATTTTTAACAAATCAACTGAAAGAGAGCAGGGAAGAAGTGATGAATGAGTTGCTCATTGCTGCTAACATATTTTTCCAGGAAATTGTCAAACAACCGAGTTATGTGAATAATAGAAATGTGGAAAAAATGGCGCAGCACGTTTTTGTTTTTTTCATTCAGGATTACAAAAGTTCAACAAGTAAAGTTGAAACCATTAAAATTCAAATATATAATGGATTTTTATTTCCTGCTTATAATGATTGTTCTTTTAGCGAATTCGATGCTGACCCCCTCTCAAAAATTTGCGTTTGATGGTAAATATCTTTTTTCTCTTTAGTAAGACTCACGTTTTCAAATTTTAATGGTTGATTCTAGGATTTGAAGAAGTGAAGAAGGTTAATTACGAAGATGTTCCATTAATACAGCTCAACTCTCTCAAATTAATTTTAAATTTGGCCATGATTAACAGCACCTGCAACGGCAATTATTGTATTGAGGATTATCTTTTTACAGTTTGCAATGACACAATTCAACCTACTACATTGAAGGGTTTTAAAATTGTAAGTATTGTTTTTATTAAGTATTGTTTTCATCCAATATTTTCACTTAAAATGGTTTTGTTTAATTTTAAATAGATTTTGATGGTTTTGAACACGATTCTTGCCAGAAAAAAGCTGCCTAATAATATTTTGACAAAGGTTTTATTATTGGTCAGGGATCTTTACAGTTCCAGGTTTAAACACCACGAAGAATTAATTGTAATTCTTAAAATGACTATGAGTAAGTGCTTGATTTACAATTTATTTTCCAAGTTATTTACATATTTTTAAAAATTGTAGATGTTATTCCTCATGTGTATGATAGTAATGATATAGACCACCATGAGGATCTTTGTTCGCTCATTTCGACCTGTTCTAAAGTTATCATAGAGAAAAAAGATTATGGCCCTGAAATAATGAAACATTTTGTCGACGTTTTGATTTCAATGGTCAAAACCGACAGGAACAACAAGTGGAAAATAGAGCATGCAGGAAACGGCATCAACTTGCCCACTGCTTTGCAAATTTTAGAATTTTTCAAAAGTCCGTCCAATCAGGTGTGAATTTTCCTTTAAATAATTTCAAACAAATTACTCATCGTAATGACTTTAGGTCAGGTTCAAGGCAATCGAACACATTCCTATTATTTTCAAGAACGAGGTAGTATCACAGGACCTGATGGAAATTCAAATGGAAGCATTTACCAGACTTATGGAAGCTGTTTCCGACCTTTTCACCGTCAAGGTAAGACAATTTTTATAAATGACTCCAACTTTTAGAATTTGTTTAATGACAAACGTAACAATAAAAGGGTGGCTTACCTGAAGAAGACATCGAAGAAGAAGCGCTGAAAAGAAGTTGTTGCGCCTTAAAAATAATCGCCACCATCATAACCAATTCCTATGTTTGGAGAAGAAAAGCTTTGTTTAAATTGTCTACTTTAGTTTCATCAAAAAATATACAAAGAAGTATGTTGAACCGTTTTAATCTATAATAATTGTCTTAAAATTATTATATTTTATTTTTTAGCTTTAATTCAGCGGATTCTCAACCAAATCCAAGTTGATATGAATCTATCAAATGTTACAATGCTGTTGGAACAAAATTTGGATCACATTGTTCTTTCTTGGTACGAGCTGTTTAAAAATTTTAAGGTTTGTGGTACCCCGGAAATGGATTTTTTACAATATGGATTTATATATTTAAAAAAAATATTTATGAATAAAAACTGTAGTAGAGTTTTATTTACTTCATTTGCAACCCTAAACAGGGGTTTATATGCCTTGTAGGTAAGACAGCTATTAGTTAGTCAGACAGAAGATTGGCTGAAAAGTGAACATTAAAAAAAAAAACTTTGTCAAAACCGGCATTGGGCCCTTCTTCACATGTGGATTTGTTGAACAACCCAAATGCATTTCAGCATTGTGCCACTTCCTCACTGAAGATGGCACAGTGCCGAGTAGTTCAACAGACCCAATGCCAGGTTAGCGTGGGTTCACTGACGTGCAAACCAACACGCAGCATCAATTTTAAAATGTAGAAGATAATAGATACTTAATAAAATGATCATTCAGTGATTTTTGTTATTAATAATTGCATACATTTCATTGTTAATGATAAAATCTAAAGGACTAAAAAATTAAAATAAATCCATTAATAAATTTGTAGGATTTCCCTTTCAGTTTGATGGGTTGTATAAGCAGGACTGATTTTTTCACTGATTATAAACAATTTCTTGTGCCGATTGTAATATCAAAAAAAGACAAGGCAGAGTTGGATTTTTTAGCCCTTTCTATAAATATGGATAGATCAACATTAGTCCAGGTACGTGTGCTATTTGTGTCTAATGTGAAAAAAAAAAAAAAATAAATGAGTTTTTTTTAGGAATGTTTTCCTGAAGTTGTGTCGTGCCTTTTGCCGAAATTTTCTCCAGCAACTGAAACGATGCAGCAAACATTGTCTATACATGCATTCATCGAACAAATCATAGGTATTAAAACATTAATTATATAGGTGTAACTCTTCCTTTTATTTTGGTTGTTGCTGAATTAATCATGTGACGGGGTATTTATTGAATTTCACACCCTCTTTCTTTGTTTTACTTTTTATTGCTTGAATGTGTTTTGGGACCACCACCATACTGCTTTTCAAGGCTTGTTGGTGCTCAGTACAGTTTATAAGGATTATTGAATTTTTTCAGGATCCCATAAGTTTCAAGAACTTTTAACGGAAAAGTTCGAAAAAGTTCTTGTTTGCATTTTTAGCAAGCTGCACGACTTGCATTATTTCAACCAACTCTGCGGCGACGATCATTCAGTTGCTTTTCCGGAGAAAACATCTTTGAACATAGACTACGAAGGAATTTGTGCCGCACTTTCATACCTTCAGGTAATGTGCTGGTTTAAAGAAGTAAAGGGGGCAGTTTTAAATTTTAATTTCTGCTTTCAGAAAACAAGCCCAGATCCAAATAGGGAGCTGTTGGTACTCCTGGCTCTTGAACATCCATTACATATACATAATACAATGCACACTCTGTTCACGTACATAACTGTGGCTACTTGTGATGAAATCAGGTAAAGGTTATCTCAAAAAAACAAATCTAAAAATAAATAAATACAGTGCTAATTTTAAATCGTTGTTTTCAGTATAAAGGAGGTAAATATATACTCAAAGACCAAAAACAGACACACATATTTTGAAGTTTATTAAAATCCATGTATTTCTATCATTATATTAATATACTTATTTTAATACAAACCAAATTAAATGAGATAAGAAATTCATGAGTTTTAATAAAAATTATTTAATTCAAAGTGCCTGTTTTTTTGTATCTGTCTTTTGAGTATTTGTATGTTGTTGTTTCTTGTTGAAAACCGATCAAATTTCACATGTTTACTATAGATTTTGGGTACTGGTCTTTCTTATTTTTTGTGATGGTGCGATCAGAAGGACATTTTCTATTGCAAAACCAAACCTATGATTTTAGACTCAATTGAGAAAAAATTGTTGAAACCATTATTGAAATAGTTGGGTATGCCAATTTGAATCCAACATGAAAAAATGTATAAAAGCGTAGTAGTGATTGAAATAAGAGCAACATGTGGCTGAATGGTTAGGGCGACCACTTGTATTTGCCACGCTAAAGTTCTGGGTTCAAATCCTAGCAGAGCCCATGGCTTTTTAATTGATTACAGTATGAAAAAAGTATTGTAAAGTGGTTTGACTCCTCGTCCACAACACCCAATGGGTAGTTGGATGTTAAGCCCTCATGTATGACAGGAAATACTTTTTTACTTTTACTTTTTGGGTTGATAAGATTGAATTTTTCATATTTCAGTCCAACAAATACCAAGAAGTAGATGGCAATAGGTTAAAGTAAAATTTATGAAGTCACTCGTAGACCATACACATGAAGTTTGTTCCGTGAAGTTACATATGAATGATGCCCACATCTAAAACAACAAAGTTACTGAATATTAACTGTAGTTTTCCATTTATAGAAATTTGTTTTATTGATTTAACATCATGAAAATTTAAAAAAAATGTCCATAATAATTAACCGTCAGGTTCCTTGTTAAAAATACATTTGTGCAGAGAGGTGATGAAACCAAATGCTTGCCCAAATTGTGGCTGGAAATAGACCTCACCTACCATATCCTCTCGTTAGAATCTTTAGATCGTCTACAATAAAAATTATACAAATAAAACGTATGGAACATGGAATAAAGAAATGCTTTGAAATTTGACAAGAATGTAGTTATTTGAATGTTCCAAAAATTTCACCTCCTACTTCAGCATGATTTTTTTTTAAATTAGCTTATTGGCCATAAACCATGTGATACCCATGAACTGTCACAAAAAGGGAGAACCCACCTACCCAGCGCCCGGCTTATTGCAGTTCAAATGGCCCAAAACTTATCAGCCAAGAGTACAAAAAACATACATAAAAATTCAGAGTTTAAAAATTTAACATTAGATGAACATAATAGATTATAACTGTAACTCAGAGGGGCAAAACAGCGAACCAAAATGAATCAATATGGCCTCAGAGTGCATTCTCTCCATGTTTGTGTACCGGCAGCCCATTCACCAAATCCACCCATGTGCCCAAGGTATATCTTGTCCTTCTGACCCATTTGGAACACGGGCATTGTGCAACTGTGGCTGTGCTGAAGAAACTGGCCTATGGGATTCAGAGATACTAAAACTTGGATGCTATACCTACCCTGTCTTAGAACAATATGGAAAAGTTCTCTGATATATAATAATCTGTGGAAGAACATACTGGAAAAGTCCCGCACCGTCAAGTAACAATAACAACACGCAGAAACTCGCTTTATTTTCTGTTGTGAAGATTACAATCTGTACTTAATATGAAGTGTCTGAAAAAGTTGGTAGAAAAGGTTATAAAAAAGAACTTGCTCTTCAAAATCCCCAACAAGGAGATACTCAATATGTAGAATGCACAAAGAAGTATACAATTTACAGTCGAATCTTAATGAATGCCTTAGAAAAGGAGGAAAATCAATTTTGGTTCCTTTACTAAAAGGCTTGAATGTTCTGTTGGTTTTTTCTATATTTCGACCTCAACAGTTTAACCACTGCGTTAACTCACCTGAGGAATGATTAAAATAAATCCGAAATGTTGAGGATTGAAAGAAAAACTGGTTATTTTTTTGAGATGACCTATTATCCCACCTTTGAGAAGGAAAAATCATAAGTTCTGTTGGTATGAAGTTTCACCCTAGAAGTTGAACTCTGAGACCTGAGATACCCTGTACAAAACCAATCTGCTTCCCTTTCTACACAGTTTCACTCATTTATTTATTTTATTGCAGTCAGGGTCACATGACGCAAAACTGAACAGTCAAGAGTCATATATAAACATCTAGAATTTAAAAACTACATTAGATAAAAAGAATAGATTATAGCTAGATAATAATTACAATAGATAATAGTAAAACTTTTGGCACATTTATATACATATGCTTATAAAATCATTTTGACTACTGATAAGGAGCCATAGAAAGGGTCTGTGACATCTCCATATCAATTAATGTGCCTAACTACCTAGAAAAAGCATAATTACTTATAATTTGTCCTATGTTGGGGCTCATGGGAGCGATATCAGTGCTGGGGGGGGGGCCTAATTCCATTGCAGGTTAGATCTCCTATGGTTGACTTTTCACTTTTTCTCCATATATTCTTTCTACACTGCTGAAAGGGGCTGACTGACTTCAGGGAATTTACAAATTTAAATTTGAGTCATTCACGGCAAAGTCGAATTCTTATACTATTACATAGGCCAGTCTAAAATCATTACAAAAAGAACTATCAACATCTAGACTGGTAGAGGAAACCGTTGAACTCATTAATAGGACTATCACCAGGTATGAGAATAGGGTAACCCTCATATGGATACCTGCTCATAAGGGGTACTATGGCAACGAGGAGGCGGACAGCCTGGCCAAGCAAGGATCAAATACTGCATTTGTCGGGCCACAACCGGTATTACCCCACTCTTTAAGCACAGCAAAAGAGAGTATAAGTAGCTGGGGCATGAAACAATTCCTTAAGGAATGGAATATGTCCCCCGGATGCAGGCAATCGAAGGAGTTTCTGAAGGAAATCAAACCTAAAGAAACGAAATGGTTACTCTCTAACTCTAGGAGGGGAATAAGGAGGCTGATAGGTATCCTAACGGGCCATTGCCCCTTGAGAAGACACCTCTTCATAATGGGTACTCTACCAGACCCCTTCTGCCGCTTCTGCGAAACAAAAGAAGAAACGGCTCGACACTACCTCGCAGAATGCGATAGGTATGCTAGGGAAAGATTTAATACTTTCGAAGGAGAGGACATAACCAAAACACTCCCCAGGATAAAATGGTACACAATCCTGGGGTTTGTGAATAGGTCCAAAAGGTTTATGCAGGACTCGTGAGCCGACCAGGTCCGGACCTTTTAGGGATGGGGTACGGGCCTACTCAGGCTTTTAACCCCTCAGGTCCTGGTCGCCCGCCCTGTGTAATATATATATACTATTACATATAATTTAAAGTTCTTTAAATTTGTTTTAGGGCTTTGGCTCTCTCGCAGTATATTGCTTTCTGCTATGAACTTTTAAAAAATATAACACAAATCAAACGGACAGGTGGCTATGTCATTCGCCAGGTCATACATGTACTTCTTATGATGAGCAAAAGCGAATTAGCGATACCCGTGCTCCATTATATGTACAGGATCATCACAGTGTCACTACCGCATTGTGCGATTGTGTTTAATGACCTTTTGACTCACATTGTGCCCACATTAGTGGCATTTGTCAAACAAAATCCTACTAAAGGTATCATTTTAATTATATATAATTAGTATGTGGATTTAACAAATAGGTTTTCAGATGAAATAGCTATGCAAATCCTTGAGCATTTGCTCATCAAATGCAGGTCAATGTTCACCTCGGTGGAAAACCTTGATCCTCTGCCCAATAGTGATGTATTTTTAACGTTGAAGAAAAGTCAAAACACCAAAGATAGCCTGAAAGACGTCATTAAAAATTTCCTCGCTGCCGGTAGCCAGAATTTGGATCCTTCTTATAGGACAGAAGGATTAGAACATCTTTGTCAACAGGTTACTAAAATAAAATGTTTATTTGGTAAGCATGTTAACTATTTACTTGTTTTTTCCATAGCTCATTGTTAAAAAGGATGAGCTGGCCAAATTTTACGAGGAATTAAGAATGTCAAGAGGCTTATCTGAAGACTGCGCCCAAAGTCTTCTACACCGTCTTATAATCTCTTTGATACAGTTGACAACTTCAAATAATTCTGAAGTAAGAATAATTATTTAGTAAATAACTAATTGTCTCTTTAGCGTTGATTGTATGTTTTTTTGGTATTTATTTAAATTTGCATTTCCAGATTACAAAATGCGCAGCCCAGTGCTTGGGGGAGATAGGTCCTTGCAATTTAACAACGCTTGTTTTAAAGCCTGAATCTCAATCCCAGCCACCTTCTTTCTGCAGCAAAGTTATATCTCTCCTTATACCACTCTTGGTATGTACACAGAATCGCAAAAAATTTACAACGACTAAATTAATTTTGTCCAGGTTAACAATGACCCTGAACTTGTTTCATCAACTGCATCGGCTCTCATAGCTTTGATGAAAACAAAAGAAGGTCACCAGGTCAAAGACTCGCTACAGAGAACTGAAAAATGTTATATATCACCGTTTGTTTCCAAAAGCAGCAAGCAGAAGAGCTCGTATTGCGTTGAAATGCATGAACAAAAGCTGAAAGAAAGCTTGCATCTCTGGTGCCCTGATTATATCTATTTGTTGCACGCTGAGTGGGTGAGGGGGCTGACATCTTCAATTCTCAACGCTTTTACAAAAGAGGAGTCTTTTCTGAGGCTTCTCATACCTATAGTTGACACACAGGTCAGTCCTATTGAAAAATGCTTCAAACTCATTTGCATTTTATGTTTTTAATCGAATTTATAGGTCCATATTGCAGAAGAGTTGCTCCCTTATTTGGTATATATGATTTTAAAACATCAAGAAAATTTCATTAGCCAAATCGAACATAAAATAAACGACTTTTTTAAAAAACATTTCAACATGGCACATGGAATAGGAACGCAAGTGGAGGATACCAAATGTAAGCTTCTTTCTTTTTTCTTATTATTGTTATACGTTGGGAGGTATGAATCTTACTTGTGCATCACTGTAATGAATAAATCACTGGCACAAAAAAATTTGTATGAGGGGACCACAGTGGCCGAGTAGTTAGGGTGTCCGACTCGTATTAGCCATGCTAGCGGTCTTGTGTTTAAATTCTGGCAGAACCAGAATTTTTTGTTGTTTTTAATTGAGAATACAATGGAAGAAGTAGATTTGACCCCTCATGCGGACATCTAAGCCCTTTTGACAGGAATTACTTTTTTAATTTTCTTTTTGGCATGTTCAATATAAAAAATGCAGTTGTTTCAAATACATGTTATAATATATCAGTTTAAGAAATATTTTGTTTTATTTTCAGCCGTTAATATTTATATGAACAGGGCATCAATACAGTGCATGCTACGTGTTATTAATTTTTACCGACAACAAGAAGCCATGAGTGAAATCAAGTAGATATTAAAACAATTTTACTTTACCTCTGAAATACAAGAGTGCAGTAGTTTTATTTTATTTGTAGGCTTAGTAAAAAGCTGGGCTTGGATTACCTTTATATTGCTCAAGCCGCTCAATTTTGTAAAGCGTATTTCACCTCAATTCTGTATGCTGAACTTTGGGCTGAACAAATATTGAGGTAAGCTTTTATTTATATGTAAGAAATGTGCCTGTATACAATTTTTTGTTTTTAAAGTGATTTCCAAATCCCGGAGGACTTGTCTAATCTCTCTCCACTTGAGAAGATAAGCCAGTACAAGCCTGAGGAAGCTATCATCCTTCAAAAACTCCTGTGGGAGGTGTGCTTGATCCATCTCGCTTTCTTTAATTGTTAATATTCAAACTGTTCCCATTCTCCTCAGGGATACAAAGAAATAGGTGAATTTGATGCGGTTTACGGATGCGGAGACATCCACTTAGTCGAAACGTCCGGGAGGATCAAGTTCTACTCTCAAATGGGCCTCTGGTCTAAGGTTATTGAGCAATGTGAGCTGAGCCAAGATCCCGCATTCACCCAAGGTTCTTGAGCTGATTTTACGTGATAAAATAATTTTTTAACGCTTAATTTTTTGTGCTCAGATTTAGTGGACGCTTTAAGGATGAGTGGGAAATTTACGATTGCCAAGCAAGTTGCAAATGACAAATCAGATTACGAATGTGCTTGGAGGCTGGGAGACTGGTCATTAAATCTGCCTAAAGAAGGTCAGTCTTTGAACTTATTTGTCAAACAAATCTGTGATGGTTCTTATACATGTTTTATCCTAAATTAATGCAAAATTATTTCCAACTATTATGAACAAGTCTAATTATGGAATTTTTTTCCTAAATATTTTTCGTCTAATTTTTTATTGTTTGTTTATTTTTATCTTTACAACTAATGTAAATATAAATTTACTAATTAAATTAAACAGTTATAATCAGAGATCAGATTTTTATGCATTAAAAATTACCAAAATATGCCATAAAATATGCGGTTGAAAGCCCTCTGAAATATGCAATAATATGCTGTATTAATTTGTTAAAATAAGCAATGATACGCAGTAAACCAGTTTTTTTTAAAACTATTATAGTAGCTTTCAACAGAAATATAGATAATTAAATGAAATAGATATTAAAACTTTAAAACTAAAAATAATTAAAATTTACAAGTATTTAGAGTTTATTTACATTTAGCAAAAATATTTTCTCACTTACATAATTAAATTGTTTATGTTATACTAATTGAGTATAATTAATGTTAATAAACCAGTACTTCTCTAAATTGTCTTCCGTGAAATTTGGCCTATGGTTACTTAAAATTTGTGTGAATATTGAAATAAGACCTAAGAAGGGGTTTTGTATTCTTTTATCAGTATTCCTAGGACTTTCTCTTCTCGTTGTTGTGGCCTGTTTAAGTTTTGTTCGAATTTAACTGACTTAGAAATTATAAATGATGGGGTGAGTGTGGAGTTCAATCCTTTTCATCAACTTGTTGTTTTTTTACAGTTTTTAGTATGCTTTCCCCAAAAACCAATAAAATAATTTAAATATTTTACATGAAAAATGTGATTTTATGTCAAAATCCTTCAAATATGCGATATTGTTCAAATACATGATTTTATGTGATATTCATCAAAAATGCAAAAATATGCTCTATAAAATTTAACCTTTGGCTTCCTAGATACATGATTTGGATAGATAATTGATTTCCTTGGTCGTATTGGACCACATTTTCCTTGTGCACTTAGAACATACCTTAGTGTAATATGTAATGTTTGATACATGTTTTATTAATTTTTTTTTCTAATTTGTTTATAGAAAATTATAGTGGTTTGTTATATGGTGCATTGAAAGCAATACATAATCAAGATAAAATCACCGCTTGTCAACTTGTGGATAGCGCTAGGGTGTTGGTTGTGAACAGTGTCGAGCATGCAAGCCTTGAAGTTGCAAACAACATCTATCAGCCGTTATCCAGACTGCGAGCACTTCGAGTAATCTTTTGAACCTTATAATAACTAGCCAAAAACGCCTGCCAAATCTATTCCTTATTCTTTTCTAGGAATTGGAAGTCAGCTGTGAAAACAATGGAGAACTACAGTGGAAAAATGAGGAGAATGGTCGATGGGTCGATTTTGAGCCGATTTATTATCAGAGAGGGATGTTGATGGATAGAAAAGTTCTTCCTGAAGTCTGGCTTAACTTAGCCAAAAAGGCGACCAAATTTGAATCATACTTGATAGCTCAAAGGTGATAAATACAACTTCAACAATTCCTGGGCATGTTAAAGAGTTTTTGGTTGCTTTAGGTGGCTTGAAAGTATCGAGAAGTTGAACCCTAGGAAAGATGTTTTAGATAAGGTGTACCTTCAAAAAGCACAGCTTGCCTGGAAAACCGGCGACTCTTTAAGGGCAAAGTAAAAATTGATCAATAAAATAATAATTGGATGTTTTAATTAAATTGCTTTCTAGATATTTAATTAAAAAGGTGATGGATGAACAAAATTATACTGAATCGTCTTTATTGTCTCAAGCGCTTCTCACTTACGGTACCTGGATGGCAGAAAGCAAATCTGAACAGGCTTCTGTTATAATACAGAAATATTTTGAAAAAGTAATTTTTTTTGTTTGAGGGGGATGATTTTATAAGTTTACATTGAGTTTGAATGAGAATTTTTTCAGGCAAGGTCAGTTAGTGAAAGAAACAGAAAAGAAAGATTGGCGGCTGCTGATTGCCTCGCGAAATATGCTGATTCTGAGTACCAGAGGTTGATACAGTATTTTAATTCAAAGGAATTTAGCGAGAAGGTATAATACTCTGTGCATTTATTTAAAATGTTCAGTTACTCTAATTTGGGACCTATAATGTATTATTTTCTGGATCTTTTAGTCTCCACACAGTGTTGTGTATATTTAACCAATGAATTTTTTCCCAGTGTGAAAATGCAAGAGTAAGTCAAAAAATGTTAGCTGAGTTACAAAAAGGAAAGGCCGATTCTGTTGATTACATTCGAGTGACCAAGACGTACGAAGTTCAAGTTGAACTCGTAAACGAGGAAATGAAGACTTTAAAAAAAGAGATACACACTTACCTCATATTGGCCCTAACGTATGGTACATTAGCATTTCGTCAATAAGACAAATTTTTGATTTGTTTAATAAAATTTTCAGTGAGTACATCAATTGCTTGATACTCGGTGAAGGCGATTCAAATGATCTCAAGATGTTCCGCGTTGTTTCGCTCTGGCTTGGCTTGTCAGACACACAACACAAAACCTTAGAAAATGAAATAAACAGGTTCATGCAGAAAATCAATTCGCACAAATTCATACTAATTCTATCGCAGTTGGCAGCAAGGATCTCTGATGAGAAATCTGCCTTTACTTCAGTTCTCAACTCAATTTTAAGTAATTAAACTATTTTTATAAGTCTGTTTTTCTCTGCATTTTAGAGAGAGAAATACTAGAGCTAAAACTTAGCTGTACTACATGTGATCATCTGGTTCTTTACTCTTTCTAAGAAATTATTTAATCTTTAGAATATTTGTTTCAACAATGTTACTTTTTTCATATTTTTTTTCTAGTACGTTGCTGTAAAGAGCATCCATATCATTCAGTGCCGATCATCTTAGCCTTAGCAAATTCATATAAAGATGTAGATTACCTCCAAAGGGAGAAAAATATTTCATCGAAAGCTTCTTCGAGCACTTCAAAGGAAAATTCAAAGCCGCGTGTCCGTGGTGCTTTGTAAGTCCTCATAACACCTCTGTTTTAACATTGTACTGATTGGATTGGTTTTATAAGGCAAATTTATGAGGAGCTGTTGAAAGATAAAAATATTTGTGAGATAGTTCTAAAGATGCAAGAGCTCTCATTGGCCTATATAAGCCTTGCCAATTGCGACATCCCAAGGTCTATGCGTCCAGGAGATTACAAAATAGCAACTGGGGAACCTATAAGAAAATTAAAATGTTTAAACATTCTCCCTTGCTTATCGATGAGCATACCAGTCAACAAATTAGGCAACTATAGTAATATAGTTTGTAAGTTTTTATTTATATTCAATATTATTTTATTCAATAATATTTCTAACTAGTTCGATTTTTAGCCATTCAAGGTTTCGCTGAGGTTTATACCCTAGTAGGTGGGGTCAATCAGCCCAAAAAAGTCAGCTGCATCTGCTCAGACGGTGTTACGAGGTACCAGCTCATCAAGGGCAAAGATGATCTAAGGCAAGATGCAGTGATGCAGCAGGTCTTCACAGTCATGAATATACTACTTAGAAGTGAAGAAAGTACAGCGAATAGAAAACTTCTTATTAGAACATACAAGGTATTTAATACTTACTAAGCTGTTGTGGATTTTTATTTTTTATTTTTTGTCTTGAAAATATCCATAGATTCTTTATATGCATCAATAACAGTGAAAATAAACCTCCATACTTCTTCCCGTATTGAAGGGAAAATAACTTTTTCCTTGCTTCTTACATGATCTAATTTATTAAAAGAATGGGAAACTTTATGGATCATTTCTCATAGTGATTATTGTTTTAGGTTGTTCCTCTTTCTCAGCGAAGTGGATTAATTGAGTGGGTGGATAACACAGAGCCCATCGGTGTGTACCTCGCTGGAAATAATTATAGACAGGGGGCGCATAAAAGATACTATCCGAAGGATTTAAGCACTTTGGAATGCCGCCAAAGAATGCGAGACGTTGCTAACAAGTACGCACAATTAAACATTAAACGATTACATTGTAGTTTACATTAAACTTTTAATTTTAGGAAGGCAGACATTAAACTGAAAGTATTTAATGAAATCTGCTCCAAGTTGAATCCGGTCTTTAGGTATTTCTTTACTGAAAAATATCCGACACCGACGCAATGGTTTGAAAGCAGACTTGCTTATACTCGCAGGTTGTTTATTTTGTTTTATTAATTAGTTATTGTAGTATGTTAAATTAATCTCACAAAATTTTAGTGTTGCCACTAACTCAATGATTGGATATATTCTTGGCATCGGAGATCGGCATGTTTGTAACATCCTCATGGATCTTAAGACTGCTGAAGTTATCCATATAGATTTTGGTAAGGATAAAAAAAAATATTTCAGGTTGAAACATAGGATTGTTTATTTTTTATTTGAATAATTTTCAAATTTATTCTTACAGGAATTGCGTTTGAACAAGCTAGAATCCTTCCAACACCCGAGACTGTGCCTTTTAGATTGACTAGAGATATAGTCGATGGTATGGGAGTGACCGGAGTCGAAGGGGTTTTCAGGAGATGTTGCGAAGAAACCCTAAAAGTACTGAGAAAATGTCAGGAACCAATTTTGACTACGCTTGAGGTGCTTCTTTACGATCCTCTATACACGTGGACGATAACACCCAAAAAGGCGCAAACGTTTCAGTCCGAAGATGGATCTAATTCTACCACGATCGATTCAGGTTTGTTATATTGATAAAAGGTATAAAAGCCATGGTTGATGTTAATGCATTTTTACAGAGGAAAAATCGTCCGAAGAGTTGAACGCGCTTGCAATGTGGGCCTTGCAGAGGCTTAAACAGAAACTCGAAGGGCGGGAAGGCGGTGGTGCAACCGGTGTCGAAGGACAAGTCAACTATCTCATTAACACGGCCACAGATCCTGCCAATCTAAGCGGGCTCTTCCAGGGCTGGCAAGCTTATCTTTAAATTCATTTTTTAACTTTTATAATTAAATAGTAAATAATTTATTTAATAGTTCAATTTGTATAACTGTCACCAACACACAAAATGTAAATAAATAATTGTAATGTTTCTTGTTTTAAATTATTTCTCATTCCTTGCCTCCCATCTTCCATCTGACTAGGGAATTTAATTATCTAGGATATGCAGATGACCTGGTGCAGTCATGAATGGACACTTTTCAGGTCACCACAGAGTGGGGCTAATATGTGCTCAAGTTAAAAAAAGATCGCGCTAAACAAATATTAAACAACTAAATAAAATCACACAAAGAGTAAAAATTACCATTGGTAAATCCTTTGTGAGATAAGCTGAGCACTAAATTAAACTATGTCCCTATGGTTATATACAGCAGTTGTTAGAACCATGATAGCCTATCAATCGGTGATTTGGTGGATAGATACATTAAAGCTTACCAGAAAAGAATAGTCATCTACTTGAACAGACAGGTGGCACTAAAGGCAACTAACTACCTCATTGATAGTAAAGTTTAAATCATTTAGGATTGCATCAATGCCCTGCAAAAAATGAGGGAAAACAACAAAATAACACCAGACAAGAGGCAATGAGACGGCTGATAAAAGGCCAAAAAAAGTTTGCTCGGAACACCTATCACCTTTGAACTCTTTAGCGTCATACCAAATTGCCAAAAGATCTATCAGACAAGGGAACATGGAAAATAAGTCAACAATGGGTTAAGCGTTAGCGATAAAAAGGTTAAGACCCCTTCAGGGAAAAAATACTTCCAAGTAGTTACTCCGCGTGAATATAACTACAGCATGGATGATGACCATCGTAACATAGACTGTTTCACCGATGGTTCACTTATTAAAGGCAAGGGAAGATGCTGGAATACATATACCTAAATTAGGGATCCGCATCTCCTCCCCTCTTGGTAAAAACACCTCCGTTTTTCAGGTAGAAATATGGGCCATTAATGTTTGCTGCAGAACACATGGATAATAAAATCAAGGGAAAAGATATTAGAATTTTTTCCGACAGTCAGGCTAGTCTTAGGTCACTACAAAAAGAGTTATCAACATCTAGGCTGGTGGAGGAAACTGTTGATCTTATCAATAGGATCACTTCTAGGTATGAGAATAGGGTAATCCTCTTTGGATGCCAGCACATAAAGGACACTATGGCAATGAAGAGGCGGATAGCCTGGCCAAAGAAGGTTCTAATACTGCGTTTGTCGGGCCACAACCGGTATTACCTCACTCTATAAGCACAGCGAAAGAAAGTATTAATAGCTGGGGCATGAAACAATTCCTTAAAGAATGGAATCTGTCCCCCGGACATAGGCAATCGAAGGAGTTTGTGAAGGAGATCAAACCAAAAGAATCGAATTGGCTATTCTCTAACTCAAGGAAGGGAATTAGGAGGCTGATAGGTATCCTGATGGGCCATTGCCCTTTGAGAAGACACCTCTTCGTAATGGGTATTTTACCAGACCCCTTCTGCCATTTTTGTGAAATAAAAGAAGAAACGGCACAGCACTACCCCGCAGAGTGTGATAGGTATAGATCTATATATAGGCACTGAATGTATTCTTGGGATAACAAAAACTTCCATCACACAATGGATCAAGAAAAGATGAAAAGAGAAGTGGATAAACTATAACTAGAACTAGGTAAGCTAGGTAAAGGAGGTAAGCTAGCTAGCTTCAAGGTAAGAAGTGCCGCCAGGTATAGATTCGAAACTTTTGAAGGAGAGGACATTACTACAATCACTCCCCAAGATAAAATGGTCCAAAATCTTGGGGTTTGTGAACAAGTCTAAGAGGTTTATGCAGGGCACGTGAACCGACCAAGTCCCGGACCCTTTAGGTATAGGGTATGAGTCTACCCAGGCATTTAACCTCTTGGGTCTTGGTCGCCCGCCCTGCGTAATATATATAATATATAAGTCAACAATGGGTATGAATCTTAGAGCAAAGGTGATGATGATGATGATGGATACTAGGAAGTTGAGGTATTTGTTCCCCAAGCACCGCAGCCTTCTCGCTTATTGTACTTTCCTAGTTCCACAGTTCAGTTTGTTGATTCGATCCTTATACTAAAAAGTACGAGGTCATTGTGACCTGTCACAATTCTCAGATGGTATATATGTAGTCCTACCAATACTCTGAGTTTAGTCCTATCTAACCATAACAGGGAAGGGACATACCAATAGCCAAGTGGTTAGTGTGACAGACTCGGCTTGTAGTGCCTGTGGTTGTGGGTTTGATTCCCACCGTCGCCCCTGGCCCTTTTTTCACGATACCCTTCCTCCCCCCAACTATATACAATCATCTACTCAATTATATACTCTGGCTAATATGCGAGTTCATAAAGCCATACAAATTAAAACAAGGTTGTTTTAGTAGAAGCTTACCTAGTACTAGTTATAGTTTATCCACTTCTCTTTTCATCTTTTCTTGATCCATTTTGTGATGGAAGTGTTTGTTATCCCAAGAATAGGTTCAGTACTTATATATAGTTTTTAGATCCTCTGGCCAGTGTGTCTGTCTTTTGCCCTTGTCTAGCTCTAGAGTTTATCCACTTCTCTTTTCATCTTTTCTTGATCCATTGTGTGATGGAAGTTTTTGTTATCCCAAGAATACATTCAGTGCCTATATATAGTTCTGCAGATCGTCTGGCCAGTGTGTTGCCTTTTCGTTACCCAAAATTCCTTTGGGTCTTGGTACCCAAGATACCATCAGGTTGTTGTGTTTTCCCAGGTTTTGGAGAATTTGCATGATTCATTGACTAATTTTGATGTCATTTTTTTACACGGTAATGCTTTAATAGCCGCTTAGTTAAATAATCCAAGTTTAAAGAACATATTTCTTCAATAAAAAATAGATCTATGAAGATGCTAGGTTTCATCATCCGGAACTCCTATGAATTTAAAAATCCTCTATGTTTTGTCCATCTTTATAAAGCTTTTGTACAACCCATACTAGAATATGCTACACCTGTTTGGAACCCATTCTATCTAAATTATCAAAAAATTCTTCAATCTGTGCAAAACAAATTTTTAAAAAAACTTTCCTACAAACTCAATCTTCCTTCGAATTCTGCCTACCCTGGAATCCGCTCTAAATTTAAACTTTTCGAACTGGCACTAAGAAGGGATTACTTTGATTTTGTTTTTGTATTTAAATTATTAAACAATCTCATTGATAGTCCTTCTCTCCTCTATCAACTACAGCTACACGCCCCTTCGCACTCTCTTAAAACCTATAAATTATTTTATATTGAATTCCAAAGCTCTAACTACATGCTCTCTTCTCCTCTACACAGAATGATGATCAAGAGTAACAACATCTGCAATAGCATTGACTTCTTCAATAGTTCTGTGCAATCTGTGAAAAACCATATCTTACACCTTAGTTGAATGCTTTTATATTTCATACTGTACAAAATTATTACAATTTATTTCATTTACTAGTTCAATTAATTCTTGCACTCTAGTCTTATTATATATTTACAAAGAGCATTATTTTCATTAAATATGTACCTAATTATTGTAGTTTCAATTGTCTTTCAGCTTTATTTTGTTTCCTCTGCCTTATTTGGTTACTAATTATGTCTTTCATTTTTGTTCTTCAGTTTTTACTCTTTAATTGTATTTTTATATTTATCATTTATATTTACCATTTATATTATTACCATGTATATACGTCCTTATTCTTTTTATATATATTATTTGTATTTTTACATATATTATTTATATTTTTTGTTATTGTAAAATGTCTTTTTTTATACGATCCGTAAATAAATAAATAAATAATCTTATGAGGATATTTTTGCCAGTGAAACCTCTTTTAAGATTTTCTAAGGATTTGATTGTGTGTATTTCAGCTTGAAAGACTGAAATACTTCCCAAATGAGTTTGATTGGTCATATTTCGGCTCCTTCTGTGTACCATATCATTGTATCTGATTTCTTCCTGAATTTATTTCTGGAGTCTAAATGAGCTTTTCTTCAATTTTCCTAGTATACAAGTGCAATTGACATGGTTGTTTTCATCACCCATGCAGGACAGAGGTACAGTTCATGAAAGGAATACAGAAACTAATGTCATAACTAAACCTAGGATGTGTCAGAACAAGAATGACTACTGAAGGGACACTGCAGACTACTGCGGCACGTGTACGTTACACAGATATTGCCAGGAAGAATGAGAAACAGTGGAACAAGTTCGCTGTTGGTGTGAAGGATAGCTGAGTACCCACATCTAGGGAAAAGACAAGCCACAGCCTGAATAATACACAAGGAACCCTTAACAAAGCTTAGTAAAAAGCTTGAAGCTTAATTAAGAGCTCTAGACAATAATGAAGATTGCACAATAGACTGGTCGCAGTGTGCAGATCGTTAAGAGGCTGACTCCTTTTAACCATAATTTCAATCTTGCTTTCAATCAATTCAGTAGTGAACTGTAGTCACTATTAATATTGAATTTATTCACAGGATTGTAAAATGTTTAAAAAAATTATTAATAAGAAGAAACAATCAAACTGCTGACTCAATTCATTGGCCAATGTCAAACGGCTAAGTATTGTGGTGAAAAAAAAAGAAACTTTTGTATGTAATTATTTTATTTTTGGGTAATTATTTATTTTCTTGAACAAAACACAAATTAAAATTTGAACTTCTTAAAACCATTAAAATTGTACATAAAATCCAAAACATTCTATTCTAAGAAGTAATACAATGATTTTATCTTGCTTCACTGATATTTTATTTGACTATTTAATTATTTACCTATTGTACTTATTCATAAAACCTATTAAATTAACATAATTTTAAATAAAATCACAGATTTTTATATTTTTAAATTAAATGTTTTCCTGATAAATTAATTAAAACATTTTAATAAAAAATAAGCTAATTTTCTTTGGCTTTAATTTTGTATAACCATAGTTTGTACTTAATAAAAAATATTTTTATAGCAATAAAAAAGTAAATTATTATTTTTTTAGTATTCAGGTTTCATTTGCTGAAATAAATAATATGCTTTCATAGATAAAAATGTTGTTAAATTAATGTATCCTGTTGTTGATTTAATTTTTAATATATTTTCAATTTAATATGAATATATTTTCATAAATTTGGAATAGACAGAGTTGGGAATGCAGCTCTCCATTGGCAGGGACCTTGAAGGCAAGGGTTGTTCCTCCATCCGCTGTAGTCCGTCCATTGGTAGTGGGGCCTGTTGGTCGAAGGATAGTACGGCTTCGGCGGTGGAGAATAGTATGTTGGGTATTCTGGCTTTTTCAGAACATCTTGTGTCTGGACAGTCCCTTGGTAGACAGGCACATCCGAGCCATTTCCATTTCTATCGACTTTGTTCGATGTGACGACGACTTTGTTCACTTGGCTATGGACAGTGTCGTTAATTTCTTTCATGAATTTCTTAGCTTCAGCATCACTTAAAAGGCCCTGGATGACAGGGACCTCGTTGTTCTTGTTGTTCTCGATTATCTCCTCGACCTTTTGTACTGTCGATATCTTCGAAGGGACGAAGTAAACGTATTTGCACAGTTCTTTTGAATAAGGGCAATGTTTGTTCCCGAGCGCTACTACTTGGTTTTGGTATTCATTCGGCTTGGCAACAGGAATGAAGTTGATCTCGTAGAAAGCTTTTATTATCTTTGGACTTAAACTTGAGTCTAAAATGGGATACTTGTCTCCTTGAGCTAGCGGTGAAAATGTTGGGTTTGGTAACTCTATCTTTGAGTCAATAGAGAAACCAAATGCTAAAACAAAAATTGCAATGTTACTGTCATCAATAAAAATATTTTAAAAAAGTATTTGAAATCAAAGAAATACAATTCAAATAGGGAGTTTATTATTCATTCTTTCAGTTATTATTTTACTGTTTATTGGTTGTATAAAGTAGTGCCTTGAGTTTAATTCAAGATTCTAAAACAGCGTTCGATGATGTAATGACAAAACAAAAATAAAAACTTTTTTTTAATGTGACAGACTTTTTTTAAAACTATTATACAACATAATTTTTCATATCATTTTGCACTTATGCTTAAAATGCATTACATGCAACTTGAAGCAGTTTTCTTTGTGTAGGGGGAATTGATTTGACCTTCTTGAAACACTATGTTACTTGTGAATTAAGAAAATTGACACAGGATTAAAAAAAAATAAAAAAAATTAAAAGACAAGGAGGAAAACTTAATTTTTTAAAATTGATAATTTACGTGGATCATAACAAGCAGTTATAAATTTTAAGGTTTTAAATTACTTTTTTTAAGGATATTTTATGTTACATTATAATTTTTCAAGTATTTCTGTTAGAATACTTTGGATCTTCTCATGCATGTGTGTTTGTTAATATTGAACCTATAGAGGTCAACTTAGTGCAGTGAAATTACTACAATTCTAAAATTGATAATAAATACCAAAGGACATACACAAATGCACTTTTTTAAAAATCCAATTAAAGACTACATTAATTGCTAATAAAAGATTAGATTGTATCATCTAGTACTGTGAAATGTTTTCGTTTGGTTTGATTGGGTGTGATTTGACAGTTTTTAGTCATTTGGTCTGCCTATTCTTGCTGGTTTGGTCCTTCAACGTATTTTATTACTCTTTAGTGCTGTTTGTCATGCATAGTTTTAAATAAAAACCTTAAATAACAACTATTGTTAGAATTACATTGTTGCTTTATACCAGAGCAAAATAAATGAGTTTTCTTTCTTTTTCTGCTTAGGGGTATAAGCAGGCTAAGGCACAGACGGATACGGCTGTACAAAACTAAACTAACAGTGGCCATCTCCATGCAGAACCCAAGAAGAAATATCACAATATAAAATAAGATCATCTGAATCTGATCTATATGAAAATTGTCAACGAAACAAGACTTCTTGAATATACCTTCAATGTTAGGAAAATTTTGTAATTTATTAATTTATTTTTAAATAAGTTTAAATAAGGGGATGTTGATGAAATGCATCTGGCTAAAACTTTAGTGGGAATGGGTAAACCAGGCAATGATAAAAAAAAAAAGATGAAATTAATTCATTAAATTATTTGTATAAAATTGTGTTCAGACTTTATTTTAGTTTAGTTATTTGCAGGTCAAACAGTGAGGATAGGAAGAAGTTTTTTACAAGTTTTTTTTTAAAATTCTTGCCTTCTTTTGCATCAGGGGGATAAGCAGGGTGAGGAACCAACACAATAGGCAGACTGAAATGATTGGAAACGATCAAATTACAGAGACCCTTTTAGACCACAGCACGACATCTCATGATGATATAAACCGATCTTTTATTGAAAAATAATGCGATGATATAAACCGATCTTTTATTGAAAAATAATGCGATGATATAAACCGATCTTTTATTGAAAAATAATGCCTCAGATGCCTTTAATTGGATTTTTAAAAAGTGCACCTTGCCCTCCAAAAAGTTTTAGTGTTGATAAAAAAGAAATTGAGTGATAATAAAGTTAATAATTTATTGAGTGATATAAGTTAATGATAAGGAGATTTCTTTTTGAGGTCTGCCTCAAAATGTACCTAACAGTGGCTTGGTCGTTTCTGACCATTTTTCTCTGGTCATCTTCTCATTCGGACGGTCCAAAGCTACAGAAAAATCAGAAAGACCATGCTAAAGTTAATAAAGTCCATAAAAATTAAAAGTTCTTTAATGGCTTTTTCAAAAATGTTCTGCCATGTCAGAGCTACCAAGTCTTATTTATTATTAAACACAAATAAAACTCAGGTTTCAATGTACACTACATCTTATTTTTTTTTAAATTTTACTTTTTTCTACATTGGCAATCATAATTCATCATATTCGGTGAAACATGGCAATTTCACTTTTAAGAAAGAAAAAAGTGAAGCATCTCCGAATGCACAACTTATTTATCACACACAAAAAAAAAAAGGAAGTGGACTTCGCCGCTACAATTGAGAAAAATGAGTTTCCACTAATATGGAATAATAATTCTTAATTATTATAATTTGGGAGACAATCATAAAATGAAACAATGAGGTGTTCTTTAAATTGCACCGGAAGTCCATCTCATGTTGCAATTTAATTATTCCCACAGCAAAAAGACAGGCAATCTTAAAAAACGACCTGAACAATATTCTTATGTTAAATCTCTTCAAACGGCTAAGTTAAAAAAATTATCATTTTAAACTATAAACAAAAGGAATTTTAAAAATACGACGATTGGTTTAATAGAACAAAACCATCCCAACTATCATGATGTGCACATTTAATTTAAAAAAAAGGAAAAAAACCCTGACATTTGCATTTATTTGTTTATTTTCCATAATAACTATTGTAAGTATAAAGAAGTTGTTTATAAATTCCATGGAGAGAGTAGCTGCGGATCCATTGCGGACAAATAAAAAGAAGAGAAAGGAAAAAAAGTTGAGTTCATCATCATCCTCGCCACTTCCAGAGGATAAAAATGAAAAACAACTAAATAAAAGGGAAAGAAGAAAACATAATAAGTATAAAAATTTTGTATTATTAGATTTGACCTCAAACTTGAACACAGCATCAATAACTTTTGTTTCCCTTTATAAAAGTTACCGTTTGCCTCTTAGACTTTTTACATTAAAAATAGAGAAATGGTTTTTTTAAAATTGTTTTCTTTGATGAAACAATAAATTTGGGTAAGCAAATAATTATTAATTTTTTTCCTTAAAAGCATGGTTTTAAGTCGAGATCTCGCCTGAACTTGTTCTACCAACAACGGAAGTAGCGTCCGTTACATAGCCCAAGTTATGCCGCGTTCTACCATCCAAGATGGTCTTCACCGGTTTAGGGGGTCACCGGAAGTCTCGATCGAAGAGAAGGTAGTACGACGGCTAGAGACGATCGTTTTATTGCTCTTAACGCATTATGGAACCGGCATTTAACGGATTGTCAACTCCGAACGGTCCTTAACGTAACGGTGAGTTCTAAAACGGTCATCAGAGAATAGCCTAATCTCATCTTTTTAAAGAGATTAAACAACATACCCCACCTTTATTATTGCAAGCTTAGTCTCCAGACGTCCGTCATCAGTTCTCACCTACTATTCATAAATCAGCTCGCTTGGACATTAAACAACGGCGGGATGTATTTCTTCACAGATGTGTGCCGGTTTGGTTTCTGGCGATCAGATGACCTGGAACGTGCGTGGGGAACGCTTTGCTTCATGTGCCATGCGTGTGTCACATACCAGTTATGGCCGTATCGAACGGATTGTCTGTTGATCTTTGACTGTACGAAGGTACATTGCGGAAGTTCTTCTGGAAGCTGTGGGGTCAACTTCGTAACGTATGACAATGTTCGTCCGCATGTCCTCCAGTAGCCACCCATTATTTGAAGGATGTAGGGATTACCACAACGAATTGGCTAGCACGTTCTCCTGACTTGATTCTCATAGAACAGTTATGGGACATAATAAAAAGACGGGTTAGACATCGTTCGCCGCCTCCAGCAAGCGTTGAACAGCTTCAAAGCGACCTGGATGAAGAATGGGTTTCTGTCCCACAGGACGCAGTCCGATCGCTTATTTACTCGATGCCTAGGTGAGTTAAGGCCCTCTGGAAGACTAGGATGTAATACGCGTCATTAAGAGCAAAACCAGGTATAAATATTGGTCAAATTTTAATATTTCACTAAATGATTTTCCGGTATTTTGGTGAATTTTTTTAAACCATCACGCTTACATCATTTTTATTAAAACACAAGAATTTCGGATCTCGTTTGATTGGTTTACATTGAAATATGTATGCTGTAATTAATTTAACGATAAAAATTATGTATAGTTTGAAATAAATGTCAAAATACGAGTATCCGGTTTTTTCATTGTATAAACGAAAAAATTAAAAACAACATGATTGACTATTACACACCTACACAATAATTGACAAAATAACACTCAGACAAACCGCTTAAGTTGGCGAAGCTCTTATTATTAAGTAGTAGAGTTAAGAAAATTTAAGTAGTATTTAGTATTAAGTAGGATTTATTAAGTTAAACTAGGTAATAAATTGTTAGTTAAATTTTAATCTATCATTAAAGGATTTTTTGATTTTTCGGTAAATTTTCTTTCAAACCATGTAAATTTATGGTTGTAAATATCAAATAAATGTAATAGAAAAAAATAATTAAAATTCATGAATTTCTAGTCTCGTTTAATTTGGTTTACATTAAAATAACAATGTTTAATAAACGTTTATTAATAAAACAATAAAAATACTGATGGATAAATTTAACCGCCACTCAATTTATTTAGTTTAAAATTAAATCCATTAACATTCTACATCATTCTACAGGTAATTTTAGAAGCTATCGTCTCAAAATAAACAGTTATGCTTTGTTTACTTTTATGCTGATAATCTCATTTGAACAAAAAGTAGCATATGCCTTCCAATCCGTACGCCTAAAAATCGCTTTCGATTTTTTTTTCAAACTATCAAAATTAAATAATTTTTCTTAAAACCATGAATTTTGGTCTCTTTAATTTGGTTTAAATTACAATAAGTATGTAATTATTATAATGATAAAATACATATAATTTGAAATAAACAAATGTTTGTTTGTTTTTGTTTTTGGGTATATAATTAAAACCTATTAAGCTACTAAGAAAAGTAGCCTGCTGGGTAGGGGTCACAAAATACATCTAAAAATTGAAGACACACCAACTTGCTATATTTAAGACTGTACTCTTGGGCTGATGAGACAGATATATGGAAAAGATATTACAAGGTGGGTGTTAGAAAAAGGGCACTCGGCCATGGATCCAATATTTGCCCTTTAGCATGATCAACTTCGTTTGGAGACAACCTAAGAAAAACGTTTATGCTCCATAGGTTGATTTTGAGGGGAATTTACAGTATTGATCGAAATAGATCATTTTTTAAATTGTACGCATTAGGTGTGTCAACTGAGTTAGTAAAGGCAATCAAAAGTTTATATGCCAACACTGAAGCTACAGTATGTAAGCTGTATAAAGGTGGACTGACTTCTAGTTTTTTACTAGAATGGGATCACGCAGGGATGTATATCGAGTCCTCAATTGTTTGCCCTGTTTCTACATGACTTTCCGGAAGAAATTGGCGGCGGGTTGTTAATTGACAATATCAAGATAAATGCTTTACTTTGAGCCGATGACAGTGGAGTTTTACGGCTCACGATAAGAAAGTCGAGTGCTGGAAAGTGGAACCTCCGAATAAATTTAGAAAAGACAAAAATCATGTTCAGGAAGGGCGGAGGAAGGAAATGTTTAAATCATAAATGACATAGGATAGGCACGTCAGTTTAGTACCTAAATATAAAGTGTTTCATGTGCTAACATGTCAGGTCTGGAATGGTGAAGTTTATGATCAGGTCGAAAATCTACGTTTCTTTATAAAAAAAGCTATTCAGGATGCCAATAAATACACCGAATTATGATTTATGTAAAAATGGGGAGGGGCACAATTTTTTCTTACACCTTGAAACTTCAGTTTTCTTACACTTTAAGTATGTTATTTAATCACAGCCAGGAAAGATTATTGTGTATGGAAATAAGTACAAAACTTTTTAGTTTAAAAACTTGCTGGTGGGAGGATATACATCTAGATGCACATCCCAGTTTGGATCGGACAAGTCAAAATAACCTGGTATTGGGTAAAATTGCACAGGGTCAAAGAAAAAGAGTTCGAAGGATCGCAAGAATTGAAAACTTTCAGGACTACAAACGTTTAAATTTTAATGTTAGCCACATGAATAAAAACCTCTCAGCAGAATATAAAGATATTATTTTTAAAGTCCGAGGTGAGGCTAATTCTCAATTGCAAACCCTGGCTGATAAATGTAATATAATATATAATCCATTATATTTCGGGGTCCGATTGACCAAATAATATCTTTCAATTAATTAATCTTTATGTAATATATTGGTTGAGATAAAAAAGTCAGTGTCATGAGCGGGATTCGAACCCACGACCTTCGGCTAAATACGCCGCTCCTCTACCACTTGAGCTATCGTGACTTCGATCCACTCGGACACCAACTTCCCATCTCAACCTACCTTTTTTATAACCATCCCTAAAAATATAAGGACAAACTATAAATGTTCTTTATGCAATTTAAATAAGACTTTTAAATACCACTTAACACTTTTTAGAAGAGTGCCCCATACTGAACCATCATGTGTTTCCTTCAAAAAGATTATGTTTCAGAGGATGATGATATTTCGTTACTAAATGGTAGTAATTGGAGGGATTTGGTTCTGTTTACAAAAGCATCTTTATTATAAAGTAACGTGCTAGTAAAATAATATTAAATAACCATATCATACCATCAACCCACTACAATTTAAATAAAGAAGAGATGAATCCAGATGAAGTCAAACCTCATCTGGACCCATTTCTTTTTTATGTTAGTAAAATAATTTAATTATTTTTTCATTAACGTTTTTTTCCCAATTGTTCACTTTGCTTATTTTTATATTCCGTTTAGTATATATTTTTTCTTTAATTGTTTATTTTTAATATTTAAGTTTTTGAAGACTCTGGCAGACGGTTAAATGACCGATTTGATGTTAAGAAGGAGGACAGAGTTCGATTTTATGTTTTGTAGAGTGTAGTTTTTTTTGTAAATATATAAATATTTTTTGAATTATGATTTTGTTATAACGAAAATAAATATCATATATTCATTCAATTTTTTAAATTATCAGCAGCTTGCATATGAATTTTCTTATTCTTTATTAAATTTATTCCAATGTTTGCTTGTGGATTTTGTCATTTCTGTATAATTTTTCGAAAAAAAACCACTACACCCTCAATAAATTAAAATGCAATTACCTGCACCAGCTAAAGCCAGCGTCTTGCAGACAGTGAAGAACATGACTGAGCCCTCAGCGTACCGGGGGAACACGGAGAAGATTGGTGGGAGGCCATTGTACATGATTATACCAGCGGTCATGCAAGTTTTTCCCGGCCTATCTTCACAAAAGGGATCCCTTTCTCTGACCGTCTAATTTTCCGTGTTGGACGGATTGTTTACGATGTTTGGGTTAGTTTTTTTCTTCACATCGGGCTCGTTTAGAATCGTCAGTACCGTTTATGGGGAACCGGGATCCTTGGGATTCTCGGGCGTGCGACTGGCCCAGATTTTTTTTCTTTATTAATTTAACCTGAATTGCTTTAGGAAAACGGGGTTTGTTGATGGACGATACAAATGGAACAAGGGATTTTATAGGATTGGCACATACAGTAAAAAGCAAAAAATTCTGCCCACTTGTAATATAACTTGATTTGTATATATTTTATATATTAATCAAAGTTTCACGTTTTTTAACGTTTAATAATCGAGTCTTTGCCTAAAAAAGTAAAGTGCCAAGGAAAATGAAAAATAAAAAAATTAATATCTTACAATTAATTAAGGTTTTCTGTTGAGATAAAAAAGTCAATGGCACGAACGGGATTCGAACCCACGATCATCGGCTTGATACGCCGCTGCTCTACCACATGAGCTATCGTGACCTCTCCACTCGGACACCAACCTCCCATCTCAACCACACCTTTTGAATTAAAGCAAAAAGGAGGGAAAATTCAAAAGGTGTGGTTGAGATGGGAGGTTGGTGTCCGAGTGGAGAGGTCACGATAGCTCAAGTGGAAGAGCAGCGGCGTATCAAGCCTAAGATCGTGGGTTCGAATCCCGCTCGTGCCATTGACTTTTTTATCTGAACTGAAAACCTTAATTAATTGTAAGATATTAATTGGTCAAGCGGACCACAAAACTAGTGAATTTAAAAAAATTATTTTTTTTAAAAGACGAACAGATAAAATTTATTTTAATTTCGTTTTACATTTTTAATTAACATTTAAATGTCGCGTATTTCCTCTTCTTGCCTTAATTACATCTCGATGACGCATCGGCATACTTTTTACCAGCCTGCAAATATCTCTTTGCTTGAGGTTAGTCCATTCTTCACGAAGAGTCCTTTCAAGATCGTGGAGTGTATCAGGAAGGAGGACGTGCTGTTATTCGTCTTTTGAGGTTATCCCATAAGTGTTCGATGGGGTTCAAATCTGGAGAACGGGCTGGCCAGGCTAAGAACCTGACGTCATGCTGTTTAAGTTCCGTTTGTACTATGCGAGCGACATGCGGACGGGCATTATCGCGCATTAGAATAGGATTGTCGCTGATTTCATCGAGGATGGACAACGTATATTGTTCCAAAATTTCATCTACAGCAACACCTCCACAAACAACAACCAACTCCGTGCGACTCCCCATTGCAATTCCCGCCCACACCATCACTGAGCTTCGTTGAAAAGATTGGCTCTGGGAAAAATTATAGGCTTCGTACCTTTAATTTCGCCTTCTCCTCACTCTTTCACGCCCGTCTGGGGATCGTAGAGCAAATCTACACTCATCTGTAAAAAGTTCAGCAGACCAATCGTCTAAAGACCAATACCTGAGTTCTCGAGCAAATGCGAGTCGTGCAGCTGCGTGTGTTCTGTTCTTTTCGGGTACCCGTACGGGGGGGGGGGAAGCCATCAGTCCATACTGATGTAATCTTCTTCGAGCCGTTCAGAAATTTGGACACCTTACGGGAGTGATATCCGCAAACCGCCGATAGAAAAGGTTCGGACGGAACCTAGCTGGCATAATCTAAGCCATCATATTACCCAGGGTCTTAGACATGTTGAGTTTAGGTTAGTTGAGTTCAGGTGCTGCATTGCTGGCTACTAAAAGAAGACTGGCGAGGACTGCACACTCGTTCAGCTCAGGTATTGCCTTTAGTTTATTTAATTATTTTTATTATTGTTTCGCGACCACACCAGCGCGCGCCCCATTTAACGGAGCCTACATAGAAATGTGTAGTTCAAAATGACAGACGCAATTATTTATTTACTCATTGGCGTACGTACAGAATTTTTTTTTATTAAGCAAAAATAACACACAAATCCATTACTGAAAATAGTGAAATGATTAAACGCATTTTACCACGAAAACATTAAGTATGAAACGGCCAAACAATAAATGTATAATGGCATACGGAATACTTGGAATACTTCGTTGATTAATGTAATAATCATTGTAAATAATGCTTTAAATCATTGAACCAATTATGTAGAAGATCGTTTTTAAGATGTTTTTCAGGAACATACAACCATTTCGACATATCATTTTATTACAGCGATATAGATTTCGGGGGCACCAGCCTCTCCTCTTCAGTCTATATAGTAAAAATTACAAAGTTACATATTAAGAAAAAATTTTTCCATTAATTTTCCAAATTAAAATTATATAGAAAAAATTGTTATTAAATTATATGTCGAAATGGTTGTATGTTCCTGAAAAACACCTTAAAAACCTTAAGCGAACACCCACGAGGGAAGAAGAGAAGAATAATTATTTAGAAGATTCTAAAGTGAAATTTGATTGTGAAGAACCTTCGGTAACATCTTAATAGGGAACATAATCGCCGGTAGATAATTGCTTTTGCTCTTGATCTTGGATAAAGAATGAATTCCATGAAAATTTCTGCAGCCGAAAGTTCAAAAATTCCAAAACACGTTATTTAATAATGACTGAATAAAGTATCATGCGGGGCAACTCAGATATATTTTCATTCCATTTAAGAGGTAACAGTCTGTTAGCAGGAAAAAATATGTAAGTTTAAACATTCCCATTCGTCCAAGACGTAAATTTCATATTCTACATAGTTTTGTCTATAGTTTATTTCTCACCGATTTAATTCATAAGACTGTATCATACTGGAGGAAAGAGTCGACTGAATATATCTACATTATGAAACCGGAATGAATCAATTTTACAACCGTAACCCGACACTTTCAATGGCAGTGTGAACCACTGGAAACCGGAAGGCATCGATATCCATGGATAAATGGAGAGCAAACCATTAAAACTAGTACACCGGGAGGGGGATCAATTATCTAACTTTTATTCCGTGTTAGATAATCTAGGTTCATTTATGTACACGAAGATAAAGATTTAATTGTTTTATTAAAACAGACATTTTTACTTACAAATATGTACTTAAATACAGTAGTTTGGTGGAATTTTTGTCCAGCCGCACTTAACACCAGCTGGTTAAATTATAACTAAATTATTATTAATTTCATCTCTAGAGCGCGGCTTATTTAGCCGAAGGTCGTGGGTTCGAATCGCGCTCGTGACACTAACTTTTTCATTTCAACCAATACCTTACATAAAGATTAATTAATTAAAAGAAGATATTTGGTCAATCGGGCCTCGAAATATAATGGGTTATTTATTATCCTGTACCTGTCGTCCAAACTATAATTACCTACCTTTGGCAGCACATTCTAATGGTACTAATTAGCCCTCCAGTGTTTAAAAAATTTAACACAAAAACAACAAATAACATCTCTGATGTATTCCAGCAACATCAAGAAGTTTGTCGCAAGCCCCAGAAACTTTACTGTCCAACATGCAGCCTGGCGACATTAGTGGTGCATGTGACTGTGCATAGGCCTGACACCACCTTGTATAATCCTTTTAAAAAAAGATAGTTTCTACCCACAGTAAGTTGTTTTGCAACGATCCGGATTTCGAGCCTTTTAGCTCATCATCAGGTTGAAGGGCTTCTACAACCACGTCTCTCGACATGAATTGCCAAAGTGAACCCGCTGATACCTCCGCCAACGCGACGTTCCAATTAGCAGCTGATTTTTTTAATGGCGCTCAATTTGAACGTGCGAAACGCGGAAATTACAACACAAATAAATATTGTAATAGTAAATACTGTTTTTATTTCTCTAAATAAATTTACCAACTCAATTGTAATGATTGTGATATTAAATATATAGGACAAAGCGGTAGAGGAATAAAAACAAGAGTAAAAGAACACTTGCCTAAATCGAGCAAATTTTCGGAATTTAAGGGCCATCTAAAAGAAACAAAACATAATTTCCATTCAAATCTAAATACAAGAGTGTTACATAGTTTCAACAAAGGGAAAGAACTAGATTGGTTTGAGAAATTTGAAATTAAAAAATGTAAAATTGAACATGGTGATAAATGCATTAATAATATAACAGATTTTGATCTACCTCCCATTTTAAATATGTACATAAATACTATCAAACATCCAAATAATTAAACTAATTATTTTAATTATTATTTTTATAGTAATTTAATAATATTAAGTATTTACTATTATAATATTTATTTGTGTTATAATTTCCGGGTTTCGCACGTTCAAATTGAGCGCCATTAAAAAAATCACCTGCTAATTGGAACGTCGCGTTGGCGGAGGTATCAGCGGGTTCACTTTGGCAATTCATGTCGAGAGACGTGGTTGTGGATTTCTTTCAACCTGATGATGAGCTAAAAGGCTCGAAATCCGGATCGTTGCAAAACAACTTACTGCGAGTAGGAACTATCTTTTTTAAAAAGGATTGAACACCACCTTGTATAGTTTATTGGAGACTGGACCGTACACAGAGTAGAGGGAAAAGTACGCGGATGTACTGTACCCTTGTTACTTTACCATAAACATGGTGAGTAAAAGTGAGTTTTCGGTCCAATATCACCCCAAGATATTTAACAGACTCAGCCCAGGACACAGTTACACCTTCAATTTGGATCTTTATATAAAGCAATGGTCTACTCTTGCTAAAAACTATTGTCTCCGTTTTGTGACGACTAATTTTAATTTTTCAACGGTAGAAACTTTCTATGCAGCGCATTGCGTTGTCTAACCTGTTCGATATTGTATCTATCCTCCGACAGAAAGAGCAGAGAGCGATGTAGTAATGGCATTTAGAGCCATTTTTACGTTATTAGAGCGAGGTATTTTGTTAAAATATAGAAGGAGCAGGATGGGTCTAAGTATAGAGCCTTGAGAAACACCAATTGTTTTAATAAAATTATCTTGTTTACACCAACATTACAGTGCCACATACACACACACTCTCACTCCC